TTGCATTCTGCGGTTTTTGAAACATTTGATTTAGAAATGAGGAACCATGATCAAAAATCGTTTGCATTCTGCGGTTTTTGACACATTCGATTTATAAATGAGGAACCATGATCAAAAATCGTTTGCATTCTGCTGTTTTTGAAACATTCGACTTATGAATGAGGAACCATTATCAAAAATCGTTTGCATTCTGCGATTTTTGAAACATTCGATTTATAAATGAGGAACCATGATCAAAAATCGTTTGCATTCTGCGGTTTTTGAAACATTCGATTTATAAATGAGGAACCGTGATCAAAAATCGTTTGCATTCTGCGGTTTTTGAAACATGCGATTTATAAATGAGGAAGCATGATCAACAATTGTGTGCATTGAGGTAATGCCCCCCATTACACTACCCAATCAAACAGGGAAAAAAGATGCAGCTGGAGACATTCACAAAAACTGTGACCCCTGTGCCGAAGCCGACTGCTCAGGCTGCAGATGGGAAGAGACTTGACGCAGAAAGTGGGGATGGTGGCAGTGTAGCATCTTTGTGCGCGATAGACCTTGAACATTACCCCCGATGCTTTTTATTCTGTATGGTATTTTTGCCAACATTTAGCCCCTAAAATTGTGACCCAGTTTTGTAGGTATATAAATCCGCCAGCACCATGGAGCATATGGGTGATGGTTCCGGTTTGAACCATGGGTCTGAGTCGCATGAACCGCCGATGGCGATTTTATCTGCAGATCAAAGATGGCCTCAGAACCATGTTTGGGATATAGTATCTCCAAAACCATGCTAGCCCCAGAATTAAGCTCTTTTTGCAACAAAAAGAAGGGCCCACTTTGGATATTTTGCAATTTTAGATCACTTTAGACGGGACTGAATGGAGCTCCATGATACCAATATATGATTAATCATTACCAATCCATGCGATGAACCAGGGGATGGGCCCTCTTAAGTTGGACGCATATTTCATATCTTTCATATCTAGGAGAAACATAGAATGAACAAAGTTTAGATCTTGATGGGTGCCTAAGATACATATCTTACAGATTCTTATATACAGATACAAAAAGGTAGGAAGATATGATATATAGATTGATATATAGTATATGTCGAATATAAATATATATATATAGTATATTAAATTCTATTACAGGTCGACAGATATCCTCGATAAATCCCCAGGTTATGGACAGCGTGAATACGTCACGACAGTCACGAAAGTTCTGTTCATGGGATGAAAACTATGTTGGTACCAGAGATTGGGAAATTGTTAGAATTTCTCTGGTAGCCAAATATACCAGGATTAATTGTTAATGACTATCTCTGGTACCAATAACAAAAAATGATGATGATTATTTGTTAATCCATGATACCATCTGGCTATTTCACGTCGCGAACTGCAAAATATTTTGTTTGAAAGTAAATCAGCATAAATCATCTTTTTCTATTGGCCATGGCTTCCATAGCTATGTTCAATAACCAGATAAGAAGATAGTAAACGCTGGATTGACGGAAGTAGTTGTCTGGTGATTTTTCAATGTGCTGCTGAGACCGCAGTGATCCCTTTGATCCACCATTGGAATGATGACGTTTCATTCTTGTCCATTGAGTGATTCATAGAACACCATATCCATTGGTCTAACCACTGGTTAAAACTTAAAACTCATATCAGCCAGTAAACCTATATCGACTCACTACTTCCAAAACATTGGATATCGAAGCTATTTTGGCTAGGTTGGTGGCATAATGTCATGGTACCCGGGCCCGTGGATTCTGATTATAATTCATCCCATTGATGTTGGTGTTTACCATCCATGGTGGTTGGCTGAATCATATTTATGGTGTTTGTTTAATGTTTAATGTTTGTTGTTCTTGTTGTTCTTGTTGTTGTTGTTGTGTTTATAAGACTTGGTAAAGATGGTGTTGACCATCCATTTCTGTTGGTGGAATCGCAATGTTCTTCTTGACTCCTCCATGGTCGTTAAATCATGGCTAGACCCATGCTGGCTGTGCATTTATGTATGCCCCAGAAAAATCGTGGTTCACCCACATATTGTTCTTCAATCCTCCACTTTTGTTTAAATCCCTGTCAAATTCCATATGTTGCTTGAATCACTTTGTTTTGCTTGTTAAAATCACCATATGTAAATTAATTCATGTAATCCTCCAAAGAGATTCAGCAAGAATGTTGGTCAAATCTCTTCATCTTCATTCGATTCCACCAATGAATAAACTGGTTGGTGGTTTGGAACATTGTTTATTTTCCCATATATTGGGAATGTCATCATCCCAACTGACAAACTCCATCATTTTTTCAGAGGGGTAGGTCAACCACCAACCAGAATAAATCATTCGGATCCCCATCTTCCACCAGAAGCGGTACCAAGTTGTTGTGCACCAGGAACAAAGAGGACTTGGTGGAGCTGTAGCCGGCTGTGGTTTTGAGTTGTGATGGTTGGACCAAAAAACTGTGGTTTTGAGTTTGCCAATTTATAAAGATTATATAAAGATTTAAGTGTAAGTTTGGTTTCTAACTACATTTACTCAGTATATTTATAGGTAAATTATATTGAGTGATAGGTTTTGTTGACCAACCTGGACTATGACGGACCCAAAAATATCGATAGTTTGTAGAGTTGTAGATATATCTACGGTTGGAGGGGTGAAACATGGTGAAACATGATGAAACTATATGAACAAAGATCACTTGGGGGCCTAGTTTCTGTTGAAGGCATAGGATTGCATCATAGACCTACAGGCTTCTGGACATCAGGCAGGTTTGTCTGAAATTGGTTAGTCCAGTATATCCTTGACTGGTTAGTCAGTAGTCACTCATGAACTATGGCCATGATATGGGGGTGATGTGAATCTTGGCAAAGCCATGTAGAATGCCAAGGTAGTTTCGACTCGAAGACCTAGGATTCACCATTGGAAGTTCTGCTCCAAATCCTTGGGGCATTTTTACATCCCATGCAGAATACCGCCAGTTTTGCCAAACGCTGGGCCGCTGGTATACGTCCCTTAAATCGTCAATGGGAACATGATTCGAAGCATGAAAAATAGGAAAAATAGGGGCGCTACCAAATTTTAAGATGACAAAACCATCATGGAACGTGTCTCGGACATGAATATGGTCAAAGTCCACGACCCACCAGTGCCATCAAGGGATGGCCATCACTCCATACCCGTTATCTGGATGGATTCCCATTGTGATCATTGTGGGATGGATGAACCATGATGAACCCATATATATATATATATCATGTTTTGACGGTGGTACTAATACGTTTTTCTTTATTTTTTTAGAGTTGACATGTGGTATTGACCATCCATTTTGTGGGTTACCCACTAGACTCACTAGACCCAAACACAAATGAATCAGCAGGGAAAATGCGAAATAAATCTTAGGTGTTTGCGGAGCAATCGGTGAAGTTGAACCCCAAATCTCATCTTTGTACTACACTGTGAGGCCCCCGAACGATAGATATGTTGACGCACACAACTTGGTTAACTAGGGTTTAGGGGGGAATGTAACGGAATGTAAGTATAGTTAATGGGTTTATAAACCTAACTTATGAGATAAACAAACTAGAAACTCTGGCCGTTTTGCATGCATTGCTTTGTAGTGAAGCGGCCACGTCTCACCTCCCAGAAATCGGCAGTGGGTTTCTCAGGTTAGTGGTCTAGCGGAGTGTGCAAAGGGCACGTGAAGCCAGAAGCAAAGTACAATCCGTGTGTGCACACACATGCTGGTTTTTGTATATTCTGAATTTTCAGCATCTGGGTTTCAATGCCCAATTACCCTCTAGAATCGCATTTCTTCATGGGTAAATCAACCCACTACCTATGTTTTTCCCACCAAGGTCTGTCTGAAATGACCAAAGCATCGGAAGTTTTGGTACCTTCCAGTAAACTAACATAGAGTTATGGAAAATGAGCCATTTATATTACAAATGGTGATTTTCTATGGCTATAGTTTACCAGAGGGTATCTACCCCAATTAGAAACCCAGACCAGGGTGTTGATGCCATGGGTTTCCACATGATTTGAGTCTTGAAATCCGCTGCCGCGTCCCTGTTGTGGGCGGGCGTGGGCGGGCGGCGTCCAAGATGTCGCCTGGGTGGCCTTGCGTTCCGCACAATGGCGGCCTGGGGGGCTAGGAATGACCATGACTGAAAGTCATGAGGCACCGATAGGTGATAGGGTCAATTCTAGAAACCTCATCGTTGGCTGTGGAAAATATGGATGTTCCACCGTGGTTCTCCATGGCGACGGGATGTTTGCACCATTGTGGCTCCCATTTTGGGGGGTGTTATTCATTCCACTGTTTACCTCACCTATTCATTCCACTGTTTACCTCACCTACAATTGGATTATATACCTGCATTTCAAATTTCTTTCTTCCCACCTTGCTCTCAAGTGTATGGATGGGTGAAGATAAGCCAACAACATACCTCAAGAGCACCGAAACAACCATGTTTGCAGGGACTACCTGTGCAAATTTCAAATTTCGGGTGGCACCAACAAGCCATGCAACCAAATGTAGATTTGTTACATGGTCAGGTTCGATCCACCTGATTCACATGCCTACAGTATACCCTTGCTTTCATTCATAAAAAGAGACCCTTTTGAATCCACCGTGGGTTCTCTGCAGCTGGACGGCCACCCTGTTGCGCATTGCGGCGAATTGGAAAGCAATGTCCGGTTGATTGACATGGGAGACGAGGATGTTGTTGACTACACTGAGTGACTTTGTTGGAAGACCTCTGATTTCCAGACTGGGTGTCTACATTTTGCTCAGGCCAGAAAGATGCTCTGGGTCGTGGCTATAGCTGTGGTGCTACCGCTGTGTTCTTTGGCTCTTTGTGGCAAGTGCCTTTACAGATGAAAGCATTACCTGTCTTCAGGAGCTTGAGACCGCGAGAAGTTGGAGAAGTTGGAACATATAGGCAGAGCTCGAAATTGGAGTCCAATCGAACACAGATTGTTTGAAGCTGGTTTGTTAATGTCTGTCACATTTCAGGCTGCAATAGCCAATTTGAAGTTGAAGGGTTTGTCGTGGAATCGTTTGGCCGCTTGTGCTTCAGTGCTGTTGGGAACAGGTCGCATGGCGTTCTTCACTTACTTCCTGCTCTATTTTCTGATTTTTGGTGCAGCTAGTGACAATATGTATCTTCTTTCCAAGTACAATTTTGTAAATAGTGTGTCGTTGATTGCATTCCTCATCACACCGCTTGTTCAGATTTTGATCGGGCCCTCGCAATATCTCGCAATCGTTGGGGATGTCATGTGCCAATGCTGTCCTCACAGTGATGGGCTCCCCACTGAATGCTTTGCTGCTCGGCATGCTGCGTTTGAAAGGGTGGTGCAGGCTGATGCCTTTGCAAGACTTGGGAGCTATGGCCAAGCAGCGAAACGAATTGCTGTTCACGGGATGATCAACCCCCCCAAGAGATGCATCGTCTCCTTTCCTGGGAAGTACTGGGCGGAATGGGACTGCTGTATCTGCAGCAGATGAGCAACAAATGTGTTCCCTTGCCTGTGTCTTCCTGACCGACACTAAGTCGGGTCTCGGACAACATATTGAGGACCCTGAGCAACCTGATGAATGCTATTGCAAAGCTCTATATGGTAGCTTGCCAGCTGAAACATATCTGAGTGAAGTGGATGCAACCTCTGTAGACCAGAAGCAGCTTGCTTTCCAAAGAGCTGATTCAAAAGCTATGAGACAAGTCTTGCTGACCAAGTATGCCCATACGACCCGTCTCGAATGGGAGAGACAGAAGGCTGAAGGGATAGAAGAGGCCTACCGACGCTGGCAGGAGAACGATGGACGCGCGCCGTGGGGTTGTGCCTGCTTCCACAAGTGGAAGGAGAATGTTGACCAAGCGCTTCAGCAGAACCAGTCCCTCCATGTCTACTTCGAGGGCCGAGTTGGAGCCGGCAAGGTTGCTTGGGATCAGCTTGTTGAAGAGGTCAGAAAAGCAGCAGTAGAACACAGGGGGCTGGGAAATTCACAAACAGAAGTGGCGTACTTGGACAAGCTCCAGCTGCCTTACGTGGAGCATGATGTCATGGACTTTCGTTCCTTCATTCAGGACCCCGTCACAATTCTGGAAGAGACCGTTATCTCCATATAGGTATGGGCTCACTTTTTGGCACCGGGGTTTTGACCCATACCGATATACCCAGGTAATTCTTGGATTTGTTGCTCATAGTATCACCCACTCTACGCTCTTGACGTCTGCCTAATTGGCACAACGAGTTGCTGTGTGGTGAACCAAAGGACAAATAACACCTAGACGGGAGCATCTGCTGGAGATTTGAAAACAGGGAGAGCAGTGCCGAGCTTTGGTGCTTGGAGGACCATTCCACGGTCTTCGTAAGCGGTTCACAACCCTATACTGATCGTAAGTCCCCGATTCGTGGGGTTATCCCATATAATCATATATAAGATAGATTCTATTAAACTGGTTGTAAATATGGTCATAAAAAAACAAGTTAGTGGCTTGATCCTCCAAGTACCAGCCAGCCGTGGCTATGATGGTGAACTTCAATCTTTCGTGTTTTTTCTTGAGATCTTGTTGGTGAAACTCCCACCAAGGGCATGATGTTTTTCTGGAGAAATTGAAAAGTCAACTCCCATGATTCGACGAAAAAAATCCTCACGTTTTTGGAAACCAACATCTATTTCAATCAGTGATGGCAGAATCCCAATGTCTCATCAGTGTTCACCATGTTTGATGATGTTTGATGATGAATTCATGATCTTTCTTGACGGTTTAATCCACAAAAATCCATCATATGTGATCATTTTGCTGGAATCACCCATTTTCTCCACCATTTTTTGCGGTGAAATGCTCATGTTCCATCATGTTTAGTGGTAAAATCCACGTATTTTCCACCATTTGTCCAGGTTTTTTCCAGCATTTTCCACCATGCTCCCGGTGAGATCGCGCGGGGAACCGGCAGGTGACCCCAAGGGCGGCATCCGCCGCCGCGACGTCCGCGACGTCCGCGACCTTGCTCCGCCGGCGTCGGAGCCGCACGCGGCGCAGCCCAAGGTGGGTGTGGGCAGTCAATATGAACTACTTAATATCAATAGTAATAGTACTATCTTAATAGTAATAGTCTATTAGTACTACTTAATATTCACCAGTCAATATTCACCATTCAATAGTAATAGTCAATTGATGGTGAATATTATTTAATACTATAGTACTATTAATACTGGGTTAATAATGAAAATAACTATATATGGATAGTAACTATACTTAGATGGGCCATGGAGTTAGTTAACTAGTTAGTAAATGGATAAACAAATTGGGATATAGGGGGTTATATCCCCAGTTACTAACCAGGAATTGCTAATCCCATGGCACATCTAAGTATTAGTCAAAAGTAATAGTAAATAAACCCTATTATACAACACTAATATGTTGCTATTAATAATGGGTTAATGTGTGGTCAATAGTAATAGTCAATACAACCCATTGTCAATAGTCAATACTGAGTCAATAAGCTAATAGTCATTGTGACTATGGTTATAACAATTAGTAACATGTTATTTGGGAGATTTACTCATTGGGATGGTCATTGGGATGGTTTATTCTTGGGTTTACCTCATTGTAAGTTGGATGTACCAATGAGTATATATCCAATGAGTATATCGTTATTTCCAATTAGTATGGTATATCCTCATCATATTGAATCATAGTATCCTCATTGGTATCCCAATGATATAATATGTCCAATGGTAATGATGGGATATTTACTCAGTAGTATCCCAATGAGTATACATCCAATGTGTATATATTTATATCCAATTAGTGTATTCACTAATATCACAAATCCCAATTAGTACTTGGGGTTTATGATTGGGTAATATTGGGTATACCTCTATTTGGGATGATGAAAATAACCGCCTAGTGGTTGGTGAATGGGATGGTTTATGATTGGGTTTACCTCATTATAAGTTGGTTTATTCCATTCCCATGAATTCTAGATATATCTACCCATAAACCATACTTGGTGGCTCATCCCGCGAATCGTACGTGGGTTATAACCCTGGTTATAGGTGGATTTACTTATTCCACTTTTTTTGAACAAACTGGGGTTATAATCCATTTACTACAGTAACTGGGATGAGCCACCAAGTAATTACTACAGTAACTGGGATGAGCCACCAAGCAATAATTTAATATCTTAAATATAGTACTGTAACTAGTAATTATGGGTACCAATTTATTTGCTAATATAGTACATGATCAATATATTGGTATATATATATATACACATGTATCGGTATATAACAGTAACTTACTTGGTATGTTAAACAATGTTCAATAGTTTAATCCATGGGCTATAATCAATTATAGTCAATATATTAGTACATTTGCTGGTATTGTACTTGGTATATTTGTCAATATGGGTATAAGTGACATTGGGTACAACAATAAGTGTATATATATAAATGGTTAATAACAACCTATACTAATCCCCAACAAGTAAATTGTATATTAGTCAAATTTAGTCAACATAATATCAACTAGTTGATAGGAGTTACAGCCAAACATCTTAGTTGGCTCAGCAAATATCCCTGTTATTACCATATTTGCCCGATTTACTATAGGAGTGAATATGTTTTTCGTGTTTTTCTTTATAATATAGGAATATGTGTTGATATTAAGTGGGATGATCCTCGAAATAAGATTTCTACTATACCTAAAATCACTTCGCAAGGCGACAGTACCTGGTGCAACTGTTCACAGTGCATGGCGAAAGTCCTTGGAAAGTTCACAGAATCGATTGGCCCATTCAAGGAGTGTTTTTCTGCCCACATGTGCTTGCCATTTTGTGACAACTTGCTTTCCGAGATGGGGATATTTGATATCAGCATAATGGGACCATTTGCTATTTATTTATTCATACAGTGGGGATATTTGGTATAGTTCTTAAATATAGGGTTGTTGGTATAGTAGATACTAACCCCAATGCTCCATGTATAGAATAGTTACCAGCAATGGGATATCTAATTTGAATATTTGGCTGCCATGGTGATATTTGATAGGACTTTACCAGCCATGGGGATTTAAAGGGAGTATCGATTCATTATCTTAGGTTATAATTCAATGAGACTACTTTACCCATCTAAATCCAATTAATATATATATATATATATATATTAGATATATTAGTAGATAGTCAACGCGGCTATTTCATGGCAATTCTTACTAATATAACTTTACCAGTTGCTAAGTGTGATTTCACCAGCCAAGGGCATTGTTTGATTTAGTGATGCAACGATCATCATGGGTTACCAAAAAATGGAATGCTCTACTACGGTCGTGGGATTCAAAAAATGATTCTACCAGTGGGGATTTTTTTCTAATACAACGGGATTATTTATCAATACCCTCTGGTAATTTAACGTAGCTGTTGAAAATGGCCATTTATAGTGAGTTTTCCCATTGAAAATGGTGATTTTCAATAGTTATGTTAGTTTACCAGAGGGTAATCCAGTGGGGATACTTGATGGTAATATTTGCCAACATAGGATTTTAGAAAAGCGACTAATATAGTAATTTAATACCATTCCCCCCATATTAAACACCTCCATTGCATGGTCCGAAATATTCATGTTATTCATCTCCACTAAACCATGATTTCCGGTTGGTGTTAAATATCGAGGGCAAGGACATTTAAGAACTAATCTGTGAATAGCCTCCAATAAACTAACATCACCATGGAAAAAAAAAACATGTTTTTAATAGGTAAATCATGGTAAATCATCGAACAGAATGGCGATCAATCCGATCAGTGGCTGCATTGGCTGTGGATACCCTCTGGTAATTTAACATAGCTATTGAAAATGACCATTTATAGGTAAGTTTTCCCATTAAAAATGGTGATTTTCCATAGCTATGTTAAATTACCAGAGGGTACCCCATGGTTGAGAAAAATCCCATTAAATATCTATTTTTGTTGGTTAAATCACCATCTTCGTATGGTTAACTCTGGGGCACCACCCTTTTCTTCGCGCAGGTCACCAATTGCAAGGTTGGTCGCCCTGGGTTGTCCCGGTGCTCAGCGGAGGGGAGTTGAGTTGCCGGGGCTTGGAATAGCTCCAAAAAAGGGAAAAAAAACGCGGAAAAGACGGTGAAGTGATGTTGAAAGTAGGGAAAATGATGGTAAATGATGGTAAATGTCTATGGTTTTCCAGTTTCCGAAATCAAAGTCACGAATTCTACAGCTTCAAGTTGTCCTTGTTTTCGTCCTTTTCCAATGGCAAGGGTCGTGGTTTGGTGCTTTTCCAGGTGATGTCGTTGGAGGAATAGGGATGGGAAATACCCTCTGGTAATTTGTTGCGTAGCTATTGGAAACGAACATTTAGTGCGTTGATTTACCTACCAAAAAAAGGATGATTTTCCATAGCTAAGTTAATTTGCCAGAGGGTACCTTCTCAGAAGGTGTCTGGAAGTTTTGACTAATAGTTGCTTCAAGACGGCACGGGTTAAAGACGGTTATGCACTTTCGATACTCAAACATGGCAACCGGACATCATTTATGGATGATGTTCCCAGCTGTGGACTTCCATTTATAGGGCATTCTCCATTGCCATATTTGACTACCTGATGGTATCCAATTGGGGAAAACAATTTGGTAAATTTAGCTAGTGAACAGAATCTATCTATCTATCTATCTATCTACCTACCTATCTATCTATCTATCTATCTACCTATCTACCTATCTACCTATCTACCTATCTACCTATCTACCTATCTACCTATCTAATCTAGTCTAGTCTAGTCTAATCTAATCTAATCTAATCTAATCTAATCTAATCTATCTATCTACAATTAATGGTGGTTACAAGCCAACTTAAACCTGGGGGGGGTCCCACCTTAGCTCCACAGATTCCACACGGCCTGCGCCATGGCGTTGGCGCAGTTGCCGCAGCTTAAGCCGCCGCGGCCGGTGTTTTTCGCGCACCCGCGGCCGGCGCCGGTAGCGAGAGGAACGGGCCATGGAACCATGGATTTTCAGCAGGGATATTTTATAGAACTTTTTTTGTGTAACTACTTAGAACCATACATGGATAGGGATATATATGGGTATGGATCAATACCTATTAATACCATTTTAAGGGGAATGAACATCCATTTATCAGCTATTTTGATGTTCACCAGGGGTACAAGGTTTTGACACACTGCCATATGATATATATATATATGGATAGTTGGTGTGGATAATCATTAATTATCATTAATTTAACTATATGATATGTTCTCTTTTCGGCCATAGCTATCCCATTTATGGCCATTGTGGGTTCCCTTTTCTATCCCAACTCATGGAGGTTATATCATGTGGCATTGGGTTTCCCACATTAACTAGCTAACTGGTAATGGAGATCCCATTTATGTATATATATATATTAAAAATGGTGGTTTAATGGTACTACTGAATAGGGGGTTTAAGGGAAAGAGATGAGAATATATTGCGGAAGATACACCCTTTGCAAAAATCAAATATATGGCAAATCCAGTCGCGAATCCTAAGTATTTCTATGGTTTTTTCTAACTTATTTCTGGGGATTTATCCATATATTGGTGATTTAATGGGACTTCATGGGGATTTCATGGAGAAATCTGGGAAGATCATCAGGTGCCTTAACCAGGCATTTTTTGGGATATTCTGTGACCGTAAAACACATCTTGGATTTAAGAATCTTCGCAAACATTGAGCTGGTTGGTGGTTTGGAACATGTTTTTTATTGTCCAGAATAATATATGGGGTGTCATCCGAAACCCATTGACGAACTCCATCATTTTTCAAGATGGTTTTTGCACCACCAACCATTGAGCTTTGTCCATGACGAACTGGGCCAAGGGAGGATCCGTGCATCTACTAGTGGTTCAAATAGCCCATCCACTGCGGAGTATTCCACAACGGGCTAGAAGAAGCCTGGTGACTACCCGCGCAAAATGGGATCAACGTCCAAGTAAAGCACAAAGATGGACCGCCCTAGGCCCATACAATGGGGTCCTTATGGAGTTAAACCATCAAGAATGGCCATTGAAATGCCTAAAATCCTAAAACAATTTCCAGACTTTGAGGTTACTTGTCAAGCCAATGAGTGTGGGATCATTAACTAGATTGGCCCTTGTTTGGGATTATCGTCAATGTTCCAGATTCACAGTTTGTTGGTGGGACAAGTTTGAATCAGTTAATCTCCATCCATAAAACGGGTAACTAATCCCAACAAGGTATCCTGCCACGTTTAGCATGAACCTGCGACGAGCGAAAAAACACCTGGAAACAAGGTGTCATCAAAGGCAGCATGGAGGCTTCATCAAGTGAACAGGCCGGTGATAGATCCAATGGCCACGTCTGATCCTGGCATATCCTGGCAGCAAGTGATGGCTTTGTTCTGATCAGGCGCCCAACCCTAGGGACCCTACCATTGCCCTATCCCTTCCAATGGGCTGCGCATCCCTGGGCGAGTTTGCCAGCTCTCTGGGGCGCGGAGCTGAATATATGTCAGATAGAATGTCAAACAGAATGCCAGGCAAAGTTTCAGATAGAATGCCAGATAAGATGTTAGACTGTAATCATATATGTCAGGATATATGCCATGGCAGGGATCACACAAAGTGAAGTGATTACGTTTATTCTCTTCCTCTCTCTCTTGTTTGCCTTGGCATTTCGTCATGGCAGTTCTGTAACTGTACCTTTTAGCAGGGGATGAGGCGGACAATCCGCCACCTCCTCCCGCATGCCTCTGGTTGGTGGTTCTCGTTTGACGACAATTCCAGGGATTTCTGTGAGAAGGCCAAAACCCATAAACAACCAGCGGGAAGAAAATTCCCTGAGGAGCCTCAGGGTGATTTTTTTCTGTTTGAATTGGCAAAACGTTCACCAACTCATTTTGTTTGCATTCCTGCCATGTTTTGGTTGATTCTATTTCCATGAGATCAAGGCCCATTAAGCGGCCCAACATGTTTTTTCTCTGCCACATGTTTGCCACATTTTGTGGAGACGTACTCAAAACCACTAACCTCACATAAATCACTATAGACCTCAACTAAATTTGGTGAGGTGTTTCCTGTTTATGTACCTGAGTTTTCTCCTGATTTCTGTTCTTATAGTTCTTGGGTAAACATTGGTTGGCTATAGATAGGAGAAAGCATTATGTTCAAGTCAAACGAAGTGTTTGTTTGTGATCGCAGCATATGGGGATGGATCAATACCTATTAATACCCATTTTTAGGGAGATGAACATCCATTTACCAGCTATTTTGATGTTCACCAGGGGTACAAGGTTTTGTCTCACAATCATATTAATATTATATAAGATATTAATCCTCTCATCCTGGGTTGATAGATATCCATGTTTTTACTAGTTGTGATGGTCTTGTCCTTCAGATGAACCCCATTTTTTGCGGGGTATCTAACCTGACTTGTCCCTACAGGGCCTACAGGGTGGCACCCCCGAAACCGCGAAATGTGTGTTGGTTTAATTTGGTTTATAGCATTTATTATATATATCCCAATTAACAACAAAGTTCTTTCATCACCAACTATACCCAATAGTTCATCTAGTTCTGTACATCCCAAGTGAGATGTTCAATCAACTACGTAGTTAATCGTAGTTATAGATACTCATTTTGTAGGTTTCCCACCATTTCCGACCATTTTCCCACTATTTTCCCCGTTGCAACGGTTAGATCCCTGAAACGCGCAGGACTCAGGTCCGCCCTACAGGATGGTTGGCAGGCGATGTGGAAACTCCCTACTAAACCATGGTTTCAAAGGGTTGAATAGTAGGGGGAAGGGAATATTTACGATATGAAGAGGATTTTTTTTAAGAACTGGATCATCCCCTTTTAAACTGCTTAACTTAGCTTTGGCTTGGTTCACCCACTTGTAAATGGGACAACCGTAAGAATCAGGGACGAATCGGGAATCCGATCACCAGATTAAGCACTTGCTAAGTGGGATGATCCTCCAAGTAGGAAGAATCACATTGCTTGAGAAGTGCGACTAAGACCCCTTCCGCAATTGGAATGGATTAATCTGGGAACATCACTATGATAATATCGTGATTGTTCTGAGACGTTCTGAGTATTACTCGACGATTCTCCACTAGTCACTAGTCATGCTTTGCTTTCTCAGTTCATGGATTATGATATCCCCAGTTCAGACAAAGGGTAGCTTAATCATCCTCGAACCAATCATCAGCCAGCTGAAGCTTTTGAAACTGCTCACTTACAGTAAACCATCAATCTGGGCCTGCTGCTAGTACATTGCAGGCAGAAATCATTGATTTGTAACTCATATAACCTACTAACCATTACTAACCTACTAAAATATTGGTACTTATGGATTACTTATGGGGATATCACCATGAAACATTGGAATTGACCTCACTGGCTGACGCCACCGTCTTGGGACTGCGATTATTGGCCGTGTCAACTGGTTTCGGTCGACGGCCAGGTGATTCCTGGTACCGCTTTGGCCGCAGCGACCTCAGGGGTACTACTAAATGCGTTGGTGCCACTTCATATGATAATATACATACATATTATGTATGTATATTATTATATGTATGAATATATATATATATACATGAATATATACATATAGGTGGCTTACAAGCCACTTACTAAGCAGCCAAAACAACTCCATGGACCATCTAAGTACCTGGTGAGTAAGGGGGTTACAACATGTTACAACCCGTTATATATATATATACAAATCACAAGCTATCATAAGGGGATATCACCCAGTTGACTAGCCTTTTAACTAACTCCATGGCCGATTTAAATACTTCAAACAAATTGTTCAATCACAATGGTGGATTGTTGCCAGGTTGGAACTACATATATACATTCGAGGGGCTTACCATTCATCCCGAAACAAAGTGGTGCCCTCGAGCGATGAGTTGATTTGTACCTAGTGGCACACTGTGGTTTAAAACTTGTTTCGTCTGGCAGCTGCACAAGTCCAGTTATACAACAACTGAGTCGAAGCGCACCCCGAAGTATGGGCCGCACAAAATGACTAGATCCACTAGATTTGATACTAAACCTTACGGTTAAGTTTGGGTTTGTATTTATATGTACTATTCAGGGGAGTTTGGGTCTAAAAAGTTATCCCTCGCGGGAAGCTCAACCTGCCACGGAGGCCGCTGCGGCCAGCCTGGCGGCACGAAGGTCCCCTGGGGGCGCCAGAGCTCAGTTGGTTTTGAACTCTAAGAACATTAGGTCAATCAATAGCCAAACATGTGGGGATACTATAAACAGCTAACATAAATTGGTGATATTCTAGACTTGGATGGGTGGAAACTAATCCTTTAGTCTTTTGATATCAATGGGATTATCATGGATTATTTGGAATCCATTCGCTGCCTGGGCGCTGTGGCGCGACCAATGAACGTGAGTATGATGAGCTTTGTGGATCGTGAGTGGGTTTGGCCGGGAAAAGAATTCAACGGACTCAAAGCTTGAAGGAATAAAAAACGAAGTGCTAAGGAATGACTTGAAGTGCAAGGCTCGTTGGCTCCAACGGCATGAATGGCCGCCTTTGCGTGCGAAATGTTCATCGATTGCAGGTGAAACTTGTGCAACAAAAGTTGGACACGGAGGCAAGATGCAAAAGATGCAACAAGACGTGATGTCTAGATGCAGGTTGGTGTACATGCTGAGTCGTACAAGTAGCATTTGTTTGCAGGGTATCTAAGATTGGCCATGCAACTAGGGCTTATGACAATTTAAACTCTACTTCATGGATTTTTAAACCAACTTATGTCTGGGGGTCCACCTTGCACTGGGAAAATATGGGGGTGGGTCAAAACATGTCAAAACCTACTTATACCATGGGGATGAGCGTCCATTGAAATGGAATATTACAGGTTCTACTTCACTTAGGGGTGCAGCTCCACCCATAAGTTGCCACATAACCATAATATCGTTATAGGGGCCCCATACTGTATCTCAACTTATGGAGGTGAACTCATTATGGTTATACCCAGAAAATCACACCTGGCCTGCACCCCCAAGAATAATCTGGGATCAAGCCTTTCCTGGATGATAATCAATCCATTGATTGATAGGGGCTTCGATACAGCAATGATTAGGAAACCCAGCAGGATGGATGACCATAAGCCATATACCATGTTTTCGCCATGGCACCATGGCATCATATGTTGTCCTGCAGGAAGGGGCTACATTGTGGCGACTACATACATACATCTGTATATATATATATATACATATATAAATACATATACCATTATATACCTTATGGATCCAAGTACTGTACCTTCTTAGAAAGTGTTTGGGGTATGATTCGGGGTTTGGGTTAAGTAGATTCTCAGACAGTGGGCATGGATCCATAGGGATATATATATATAATGGATATGCGTTTTATATTGTATGTATATTACTGAGGTAATACTAGGTTCCTGCGGGATGAACTGCCCGATGGAGCAGATACAAAAGTTACGGGAACTGGGCAAACATATGCTTACTAACATATTAGTGTTGTATAATAGGATTTATTTACTATTAATTGACTGAATATATTACTATTGGTGTTGTACTTAGATGGGCCATGGAGTTAGTTAACTATTTAGTAAATTGACTATTTCATTGGGATTGTTTGGGGGTAAAAAATCCCCAGTTACTCACCTTCTAACCAGGAATCGCGTTTTTCCCATGGCCCATCCAAGTACGGAAACATCCTATAAAACAACATATAGTCTGGAACAATTAAAGTTTATTTTGTTGAGAGCCCCTACATCAAAATGACCAATAAATTTTATGATGTTCGGATGGTTGATCTTGCTTAGAGGTATGGAAAACCTAAGATTCCCACAGAAGTTATGTAATATGTAAATTTATATATATATATATATATTATATATTATATATATATATTATATATATATTATTTACATACATATATATATATATATTTAAACTGGCGGACTATTGGATACGTACCACCACTGGATCAGACTCCCTTTGCATGGGTTTTCAGTGGCTTCCATCCTCCCCGGGACATCCAGTTGTGAGAACCGGTGGATCCAAACCAATCGATGTTACTTGATGTTAGCCGAAATGCAGACTTTATGTCTTTTATACTATACAATAATTACATACTATATATATATATATGATGGACAAACAGTATCTGTGTGTTGCCCTCATTTTCAACTTCCAAAAATGGTGGGCTCCGCAGGAAACGATGGACTCCACAGCGGGCCATCATGTGGCACGACGACCTGGACGCCTTAGCACCAGTGACCAAGAAGGTCGGGGGCCGGCGATTCGGGGACGATGAAAATTGACACGTCTTCACGAAACATGGGGAAATTGACCGTCACCAAGAAATATTCATTGAATCTTTGGAGTTTTACCAGTTGAATCAAGAGATACTTGGATTTTACCGTTTCAAAATAAGTAAATATTGGTGAATCCTTGAGTTAAGCAGCAAAGGACAGATTGTACCGTCAAAATATGATCAAAATGAACATGAAGTGGTGCCTCAAATGGGATTTTGACCATTCAACATAATAGACAGTTGGGCTGGATTTACCCAATCAAGGTGCTATCAGAATGGTGATCTCAGCAACGGGAATGGGAGTTTTGTTTTGCCAACAAAAAACCTGGATTTTAGATTGATATGGTTTCATTACCAGAAGTGGTTGTTTTATAGGACAAAATATTGGGATTTAATGGAGAAATGTGGGAAGATCATGTTTTGTTTTTTCAAATTTATACCCTCCGGACCTCCCTGAAGTGCACATTTGCATGGTGAAGTCATCTTAAGCGGGGTTTCCAATTGCATATCTGATTACCGGAGGGTAACAGTTTGCAATATGTTCATGGTAGAATCATGTAGAATCCAATTATTTTGGGAGTGAATGGTGAATCTTGGCTTATATATATATTATTATATAATATTATATATATCTTGGTGAAGAACTGGTGCAGAATGGGTGAATGGTGCTGGTCAATGAATGGGGTTCATATTGGCTATACAGTTGTCACTGTTTACATCCATTTTGGTAGCCTATGAATCAATACCTATCAATAGAGTTTAGAAATGAACATCCATTTACCCTCTGGTAATTTAACATAGCTATGGAAAATCACCATTTTTAATGGGAAAATCCACTATAAATGGCCATTTTCAATAGCTATGTTAAATTACCAGAGGGTACCAACTATTTTGCTGTGAACTACAGGGGTACAGGGTTTTGACCCATATGACTGTGTCGGAAAATAGCATTGCCCACCAATTTATGGTACTCTTAATGGGTGAAAATGATGACTGACCTTGAAATTATGTGGCATCCTATTGTCAGACAAGCCAAATAATATGTTGGTTGTTTTGTGGTTTTGTTTCGACACCAAATTTTGCAATCAGATGGACAGTGGCGCCCATAGCGTGGTCGGATCTCCGATAGTCACTATCATACTGAAAATGTTCAATAGACCATGATTAAATGGGCATGGGTCAAAATGTTGTGCCCCAATATTTAGATGATGAATTTCAAAACATGTATTAAAATATATGTGATTCCATAGGTTTTAATTTTTGACGCATCCCGAAATGTTCAACTGATCCATGGAAGGATTTGAAGCTATCAAGTGGGTAACAAGGGTAACAACATGTAAAATTAGTCTTATACCCCAGTTATTAAAATGCAAATATATGGAATGTCCATGAATATCCCCTGGTATATGGGTATATATTACAGGTCATATTGATAACACATCCCCAGACGAAGGTGTACATGGACATTGCCGGCGGTGACTTTCAAGGCCGTATCGTGACCCGACACGAACAGCGCAGGTCATAGTCATAGATCTTACCCTCTGGTAACTTACATAGCTATTGTAAATGGCCCATTGATAGTTGATTTACCTATTAAAGATTTGTGAATGGGGTAGCCCCCTGTGTCTTAGGTTGGTTATTGATTAATGACAAATCACATTGGGATCGTGAACAAAGTCGTTGCCCGAATTCTTGGAGACTGTATTCCTATCTGTTTAAGGGGAAATCTATAGAAAATCCATAATTTGTAGATGTTTCCTATCAAACCAATCAATTGATATGAACAAATCAACAAAATGGCTCTGATTTTCTCAGCCGACGTCGACGATGGGGAGGCGAGGATTCGCCTCGCACAGTCCTACGAGGAATTCAAGGACTGTTGAGTTCTTGCCAACTGCATTCCGTGTTAACTTATACCAAAATCTATGTACCGCTCGGCCTAGAAATACACCTGGCGTAAACACGGAAAGAGCATGTCTTGCTGACCACATCATTTTATGGTTCAGTCCCTACCCAGTTTTGCTGCTCTGCTTTCCTAATTATGTTAATTGTACACGATCATGTCATAACTGACAGTTCTACACAGTCACTGCTTCTGCTGCTGCAATCCCAATATTTTCCATGGCCGTTCTGAATCAACTGCCATTTTTAGTCCCTTCAATCCCCTTGTTTTGATGAAGAGCAGTGCGCTTTGCTTCCAGCTTGACCAAACAAAAAGGTGCACAGTTGTCGTAGTTGGTTTATGTGAAAAGAATCATTGACTAGTTCGATATATCGACGATAAATCCAACCGTTGACCCCCAGTGAACTTATATTTACACCAACTCAGCTCGCAATAATAATCAACTACTTAGATGGGCCATGGAGTTAGTTAACTAGTTAGTAAATGGATAAACACATTGGGAGATAGGGGGCAACAAATCCCCAGTTACTAACCAGGAATCGCGTTTTTCCCATGGCCCATCCAAGCTGGGGCACCTGCTGTGTTTCTAAGGTGCTGGGTCTTTATGCCGATCTGGTCCCCAAGACCTGTGAAAACTTCCGCGCAGCTTGAAGATCATCAGCTTCGGTGTGGATGGATTGAGAGATGATTCTTGAAGATTCCATTGCAATTTCCTAGGTATTATTGTTTAAGAACAAAGATATCTTATAATGTTTTTTGTTTCAAGGGCACAAGAGGCCTTTTAATAGGGTTTGATGGGATGTTAATGGCCAAACTTTGGAATACTATGGACATATGGACCATGGGGTGAAAACTGGTGGTCGAATGGGATTTTCAGTAGGATTTAAGAAGATTTAATGGGATCGTAAACAGGTGAACTAACAATAAATGGGGATTAATAAAATTGTGTGTTTCATGGGACATTTGATACGATGTACCAACCTGTTTTGGGGCTTAAAACAAAGGTTGTGTGGGATTTCATGGTGATTTCATAATGTACCCTTTGGTACTTTTTTTGATGCTCAATGTGGTGGTCAATGGTGGTTTAGTGGATTCCGAGGGGATACCAACCATTTGTATGCAATATTTGATGGCATACAACTAAAAAACAATCATGAACAATGTATGATATTTGATTTGGGGTTTGTCTGAAATGCTGGATTGACCCCCAAAATTGCAGTCTTGATTGGGAAAGTAATGCTACATCAATGAGTTTAGGGGTAACACTTAAGAATACTGAATATACCATCTGGTAATTTAACATGGCGATGTATATCCGAAGATGTTAGGGAAACATACGATAGTCCTGGAACCAAATGGGTGGTTTTCCATTGCCATGTTAAATTCCTGGAGGGTATTGGGTACTTTGATGTATGGTTATTTGTTGACGACATATTCATCTTGTTGTTGGGTAAATTTGGGATCATGTACCTATTGGAATTGACTATTCAAGTGGCCCAGAACCAGCTATATCGTCTTGTAAAGCATGACCTAGGGCTCTAAGATGCTCCAAGTCTATTGCGGCGAGATGCCTCCTTCTCCATTTTGCTGTTATATTTGCCTAATGTGGGTAACACAAATAATAAGCCATCCCCCAGTCATCACCATTTTTATAGGTGGGATTCCAACCATTCCCAGTCATGGGCGGTTTATGATTGTTTTACCCACATTACATAACCTGACAATTTCATCGATGACACTCCCCGTAGAATAGCGAGAAGCAAGCTGGATTGATGGGAAGATCAGGGCAACTCTACAGGAATTCCCCTTTTCATTGGTGGTAACCACCATGGCAAATCCTGTACCAATCCATTGGACAAAAATGCTGTATACCATGGTCAGACCCATGTTCTTTCTGAACAATAACAAAGCATAGGTCGCTTGCGTTATAATTCCTTGCCCTAATTTGAAATACCATCTAGAACCTCTTGCTTAGTATTGGATCTATTTTCTGTGCCCAGTAATTGGGGGTATTTAATTTTACAGAGAATGGTTTAAATTCCAATCATCATGGTCTGTGTTTTTAACCGCTCTCGCGGGGGCTTCCCCAATTTTTCAGACAGATCCACAGCCATACTATGCAACTCCGGCCTTTCAAAGGCCCTTTGCAGCGGTGAAAAAGACTTTTCATACAAGGGAAGTTGCGACCTGGACCTGTTGGTATTGAGTCAACTGGAGGGATGCTTTGTTGGACGGCGTCAGTTTTGATGAAGCAGTGTTCAAAAACCCGATTGGGTGATAGGGGGTTATACAAACCAATATATTGGGGAATATCTCTGTCAACCAGCCAGAAGATTTTTCTCAACCCAGGTCCGAAGAGGAATAAGCAACAAATGGGAATATATACCCTCTGGTAAACATACAAAAAGCTATCGGAAATCACCATTTTTACTAGGTAAATCAAGAATAAATGGCAATGTTCAATAGCTATGTTAGTTTACCACAGGGTAGCTGCAACAAGCAATTTAGCCAACTAACCTTGGGACGATTTCGCCAGCCAAATGGGCCAAATGATGACGTTGATGGGGAGTTCAGCAACATTAGTTTGACCAAGTGGAACTTTCCTAGCTGGTGGTATGGTACAAGGTGATGCCCCATTCTTAGCTATCTTGATGTGTAACGAATCTAACTAGAGTTTATAGATTTATAGTAGATATATGTGTACACTATATATATATACGTATATGATCGTATATGTATGTATGTATATATATATATATATATGGGACTTTCATGTCATTTAACTCGAGTTAATCGCCATTTGTCACCCTAGGCCCTAGTGATGCAGTGGGTTTTTTGGGGGGGGGACCTTGGAAGAGTTGGACCAAGGCTTCCACCGTATCTTTTTCGACTTCATGGTACAAGGTGCAGCTGGAACTCAGTACAGTTGGAGGACCGGATCATTTACGGCACAGGATCATGTTGTGTTTATCCCTATAGAATTTCCTAGGATTTCACCGAAAAGCTACGCACTTTTAACGTCCCTGTAGTTGATGGATGTTGATGGGTTCAGTGAGTAGTATAAACATGAAACATCATGAAACCACAGTAAGTTGGGTTCAGTAGGGTCATCCCTAGGGCTTTTTGATACACTTCACTGGGGTCACCAAGTTGATTGACCTGGTATCTTTGACCTGGTTGACCTGTTCTGTTGGTGATTTTTCTCGTGGGTTTTATTCCATGTTTCATTGGAGATATTTATACCCTCTGGTAGTTTGTTACGTAGCTATTGAAAATGACCATTTATAGTGGATTTTCCCATTAAAAATGGTGATTTTCCATAGTTATGTTAGTTTACCAGAGGGTAACCCATGGGATGCGAATTCACCAAGTAGTTCATGGAATGTGATACAGGAAGGGCCCCGAAAAAAGGTGGCCTATGTCACCGCAACTCTCTGCTTGAAGAAAAAACCATCTGAGCGCGCATCGATGTTGGAAGTGCCCTTGTTCTTAATTCCAACTTTCATCCGCCGTAGAAGAATTACGCCTGATTGTGAAACAACTAGCTGATGGCGAATTCTGCAAATGCGTTCTGCACAGATCAGTACTGTACTGTATAGCATCACTTCTGATGGCAATTGTCGAAGCAATGATCAATAGCGTAGCATCGCGTCTGATGGCGAGTGTAGAAGCAAAGATCAATAGCATAGCATCACTTCTGAACTTAGCAGACATTGAACGTTATTGGCCACCCCCCCACGCTCCCCAAACCCGCCACACCAAAAAAGAACCAAAAGAAACACGGAAAACAGCCAGGCAACCTGCAGCGCAGTTGGCAACTAGTTCGATATATCAGAAGTCCAACAGCTGGCCGAGTTATAAACTAGCAGAAACCTATCGTTTGGGCCCCTTCCTGTTGCCCGGGCAAACCATCTGGTAATCAAACATGGCCTGGAAAACTCTCATTGAGTTTTTGATGATTTACCGGTTTTAATGTCCATCTATAAATCGGGGATTTCCCCATCAGCCATGTTTGGTTACCAGTTAGTTAGTTGGTTGGTTGGTTGGTTCTTTGGTTGGTTATATATCCATAATTTTCCATTACATTTTCCCGTAATTTTCCTATATTTTTCCATTACATCCCCATGTGTTCTTCCATTGCCCAGCACCCAGAAATTGCATCGCCAGGTGGTCGACTGGAAGGGAACAATGAGAGCAGCTTGGGCAGGATCGGGGAATGCTTGATGGGATGCATGTTGTAACTGATGGTAATAACTTAATCATAGCTTCGGAGATCAGAAAAAACAATCTTTAAAAATGGTTAGAACATATATTATAACTTACAACCTCCGTAACTTGGGATGTAAAACCTCTATAGCTATGGTTATATACATATATATATATATATATCAACTTATAAGTGGAACTGCACCCCCAAGTACACCGTCAACATAAGTCAACATGCCCGAAGTGAATGGGTTTATAGATGGTAACTATAGGGCACCACCGGAAAGTACACTCTGATATATATATATATATATAATAGCTATGGAAACCCTATGGCTTTCCGGTTCGGAGATGATATGCGATGGATTTTCATGCATTTTCATACACCAAAAAAGGGGTTCCAGAAATGGTGGTACCCCCAAATGGATGGTGTATAATGGAAAAGCCTATTAAAATGGATGATCTGGTGGTACCCCCATGACTTAGGAAACCTCCATATAATTAATATACTGGGTCCGCTGTTTTCAGACAAAGCCATCTGAAGATGACAGGCAAATCTAATGTTAATGATGTTGAACAAGTATGACAATATGGTGATTTCCAACATGTTCCTGTTCTCGCATCATCTTGCAGAACTTATTTTTTAGGGGAAATCTACAGTCTACAGAAACCTGGTGTATTTGATAGTAAACAAATGTGAAAAAAATCGTTTCCTTGAGATGTTTACCTACCAATCCAATGGTTGTCAGCCAGTCCAACCAACTGGGTAATTATTCAGAAAAGAATCCCAGCACTCCAAACCAACATGACACAAACAACCAGGGAATGCTCTGGGTCAGAGTTCAGCACCACCAAACTGAGCAAATGACCATTCAATGGTCGTCTCTCCTGCTATGGAAATTGTCACAGTGATTATAGATTATAGTACATCATTAATGCCTGTGGGATTTTGTTAGCCCCATGGCCCCATGTCTTATGGTCTTAGCTCACACTCACACATTCAGAGCATATGACTTGTTGCAACGTATAATCAGGCAAGTGCCTATATTATAGAGCAACTTTTCCCATGGATTCGTCGGGAATGGATGATGGCGATGGTGGCAGTTGGAGTGATGATGAAGGTTATGAGTCTGAATATGGAGATCACAGTCACAGTGGTGCTATCGAATCTCACGAGCCTCAACAGAGTGATGTCAACCTACCAGTGCCAGAGCCAGAGCCACAAGAATGGATCTACAGGTGAATTCACTGCCAGACTTTGGTGATATAGGGCCTGCTGTCGGCCTGCTGTCCGCTTCCACAGCGTGTTGCTTCCCTTCCAAAAGCTCCAAGCAGATTTGACCCGGTTGTATGACGTTCACCGGAACTTACACTTTGAGATCCACTCCTTGCAAAACACCAACCCAGCAGTCTGCTATCACCTGAAAGAGGCTGCGGCCAAAGTTCTAGATTCGATTAACCTTCTGAAGTTGTACAGAAGGCAGAGGCATCTAGCTTTACGTGGCTCTTTCCATAATTTCTTTTCACACCATGGCAGAATGCCTACTGTATCTTCATTTTTGGGTATGGCAAGAGAAAGGGCGGGAATTGACATATGATCCCTCACCCAGTATTCCTTGGTTTGGTTGCAACAAATGCAAAACTTGGATGTCACTTGTTCCGGTTGAGTTGTAACATTTTTTCTACCAGGGTGGGAGGAAAATGGATCAAGTCTGTCTAAGTCATTGGAGAAGTTACAGTTGAAACCACAGATTCAGCATTCTGATATGGTGTTTCCTTGACATGTTCCCATCAGTCTAGAATCCATTTGCATATAGATACATGATATCCACAATTCAATGTAGCCTTGCTAGTTTAAAAAATAGTTATGCATCAGCTTCATCAAGTGGGATCCCATACTTAGTTTTGTTGGCAAGTCTTTTTCACAGCAATTATGGCAGATATAGTAATCCCAAAAATATAGAAAACACAAGTTATAACTTATAACTTCTTATAACTATGCTCATGGGATTTTACTATTATATGTCCTTTTTTTCTTGGTTTGCTATATACAGTGTTGGATAGGCCAACAAACATAGCTTGTGTGTCCCCTTCCTGACGTGAGGTATTTATGGTGGTCGTTTTGAAGATGAGGAATCAGGCGCGAGGGCAACTGTCGCAGAGACATATCCTTTGGAATGATAACCATATGTGTGATAACCAAAAATAGAACATGTCGTTTAGCAGTATTTTAGTAGGATGAACACTTGTTTAACTTTTTTTTTTGGTGGTTGCTATAGGGTATGGTCCAGCGTCCCTCACACCTTCCGAGAAGGTAGGTTTATGGTAGTCGTTCAGTCCGTAGTTAATCCAGATCTATTATACATATTCGCATATATATACCAATAATATCCTGATAGATGGTTAAAAGTTGCCATCAAATCCAAAGCACTAAATTCAACCACAAAACAAACATCAGTTCAGTCACTTCAAGTTGCTGTGCTGGATGATTTCGTTCCAGGATTGACTTTGTACCACGAACGTCCTGGTCTACTGGGAATGGCCAATGATGGGGACTCCAACGGTGACGTGGCACCATCCCATGACACCATCCCATAAACCCATCCAGCGGGCTAGTGATAAACCATCCCAGTAAGGCATCCATAGTACCCTCTGGTGAACTAACATAGCAATGGAAAATCACCATTTTTAATGGGAAAATCCACTGATCCACCATTTTTCATGGGAAAATCCACTATTTCGACTGGGCCATTTTCCATTGCTTTTTGTATGTTCACCAGAGGGTAATCCATAGTAATCCGATCATTTTTGGCTCTATTTGGGATTGGTAAAAATATTGGGTTGATCAGAACTTTTAAGGAACAGAAATTAACATCAAATATCCTACGACGCTGAATATTTTTGGATTTGCGCGATGATTTTCTTGTTGGAAAATCCACTTCGACTGGGCGAATCGATCAGGGGAATGTGACTAGTTATTGAATGTGATATCTCCTTTGATTTTTTTTTGCAGAACTGAAGGATCATCGCATTTTGAAATTGGTTAGGAACTGGGGTCGCAACCATTTGTAGCCCGTTTATACACGGAATAACCCAGGCTCGAGGACTTCCTAACCACCGTTATTTTCGCCACTCACTAAGTGGAATGATCCTCCAAGTACACCAGTGGGTATGACGTGCATGTTTGACCACAAATAGCAGGATTGCTACAACTAATTATAGATAAACTATAGCCACAAGGAGGGAACAACAAGACATTGTCTTTCTACCAAATGTTCACTCTTGTATCTGGGATGTTGGGAGCATCCCTGAATATGGGATACCACAGAGACATAACCAACAAAATATATAGATACAACATGATACAACCCGCAAGCGGATAAATTAAACAAACGAACATTGACGATCAAATGACAAAGTACAAGGAAAATTCAAATGTGGGATTTCTTATGAATTCCAGAGTGTTTGCCACATCACAGATGGGCCAAATGTGTATTCGAATTTGGGAAACAGACAAGCTGACCATAGCAGTGGGTGGTTTCAACTATGTGTTGTTTCCGAGGTATTGGAGGATTCATAATCTTGTGGCTTGAAGTAGCCAACTCTTGGACTCATGTAGGATGAAACACTGCAAATAGAATGAAGGGCCTGCGCCATTCTTCCCACTGGCCCCGGAATTGTGATATTCAGAATGATCGGGATCTTGGATTGCAATAGACCATGGATTCAATGGATATACATCTATATATATATACATTGTCATATAATCAAAAGCCATTGTATAATTATGGGCTTAGTTACCTTTGGGGTAAACCAACAATGATTAACATAGAATTTGGACAATCCACCATTTAAAGATCATGTTCCACTATAAAACCATGGCTTTTCCACATCTATGGCAAAGTTAACCCCCGCGGTAAGTTGATCTAGTGGCAGGTCGTTTGTGTCCCGTGGGTTGAGGATCCCAGTTCTACATCACCACGGCAAAGACTGTGCCTTGGCGGATGGCGGTCGGTGTGGTTTGGGTGATGGTATGGTCGGTGGTGGCGGTGGTGGTGCCCCTGATTCTCAGCTAAGATGGGATATGCTGGGATCTAGATATAGCTGGGATCTAAGCTTGGCAAGTTGATGAAAAAACAAACATCATCAAACATGACCAAAAGCTGGGCTGGATATAGCCAGTAGTTTTCAGCAAACATGACTGTGGCACCACCTTGTAAGTTGCTGGAGGCCCCCCCAGTGTGATGATGTGCTAAAGATCGCTACCATTTCTGACAGTCACATAAATGTCATGTGTACCCTCTGGTTATTTAACATAGCCATGGAAAATGGCCCATTTATAGATGGTTTACCTAGCTATAAAATGGGTGGATTTTCCATGGCTATGTTAAATAACCAGAGGGTACATCATTTTAACAGATGGCTTGTCCTAAGAAAAGCTGCTTATTTCCCAGTGAATTTCCAGTGACACATGCTTCTCCAGTCGCACTCCGGTCCCGTCATGCTGCATCATGCTGGATTGTTCAAGGTAGTTGGTTTCCTTCCCGGTTCTTTATCCACCGTATGGGGAAAGGTTCGGGGGTATCTATGGATATCTATGGATATCTATGGATATCTATGGTCATATATCATCAGATATCATCATATATCATCATATATCATCAGATATCATCAGATATCATCAGATATCATCAGGTATCATCAGATATCATCAGATATCATCATATATCATCAGATATCATCAGATATCATCAGATATCATCATATATCATTAGATATCATCAGATATCATCAGATATCATCAGATATCATCAGATATCATCAGATATCCAAAAATATCCGCAGAGAATGTGTTTAGGGCTTTCTTGGGCGCAAATCAAAGACTCAACGCTTGGTGAAGTCCCTGATGTTTGCTGGTGCAATCCCACATCGGCCACATCGTCATCCCCAAGCGACATGGGTAGTTTAATCCTGCAATCCTCTAGTTGTTTGCTATAGATTAGAGAATACAGAACCATAAGCAACAGTATTTTTGTGGGCTAACCAGCAAAAGAATATGATTTTGTGGACTGTCAAAGATTGACCATTGATATATGTATCATTGAGTGGCTTTAGAAGCCAACTTGCAACGGAGGACCATGTGCAGTTCACAGCCCCTTTTTGCCACAGCTGTAGAAAGTCATGTGATCACTTCAGGAATTTGGTCATTATTCCAAGTGACGTTTTTCATTTCAGATTGCCTGATGTGTTTCTTTTCATGAAACGAATATTTCACACCCTAGAGCCTCACCCTATCCAGAAAGGATCAGTCCAAGAATTTAACCCAGTCGCAATGGTCATTTGGAAGATCATCGCACTAAACAAACAGATCATCGCATTGGACTCGCGGACGTACCCTATGATGCCTCTGATCATGATAAATTCATAGATTTGGCCATGGAAAATGACTTTTTTTTTTCTAGGATTTTCTAGGTAAATCATCCATAATCATCCATGTGTACAAACCATTTTAACCATGGAAACCGTATCGCTCGGTTTCCGGGAGGACCACCAGAAAAAATACGCCGAGGAGTGGTTGGATGGGGAACACGTGATCTTCGGTGAGGTATTGGATGGGAAAGATGTGATCCTGAGCATGGAGACGCTTGCTGTTTTTCAGAGACCCTGTCGTGGCACTGTCGTGGCACCTGCGAGTTGGAAGGATCTGGAGATGTGGAGATTTGGGAGCAATGGTGTGGTCTGGATGTCATCATGTGTATATGATTGTATATGTATGTATTCAGAGATAGATATGATAGATACACATGTGTGTATGCCCACATTGTATCTGTGTTTGTGGATATACTCAAGTTTGTCTAGCCATTTGTATACATACCAGTATACGTATATGTTGATCACATTTAAAGTATGATGAAAACCCTTGACTTTTCACAATCACATTCTATCTATCCGACATCTGTATGCATAGACATAGCTGTGGCAAATTTTCCATCAACCTCAACAGCAGTTGGGGACACATGTGCAAAAAGTGCCAAGATATCCAGCACATCACGGCCCAGGGTTACTCATCAGAAGGGCTCCTCACATCATGGCGATGAAACAAGAAACTGCTCTTTCATTTAAAAGAATTGAATTCCATTCAACAAAGATATGTTTCCATACCTCAACATTCAAGAACATTCCTTTTCATTCTCTTCCATTGCAGTCTTACGACTCTCCATACCATTGCCATCAATTGCCGTCTCTTGAGAGCAATGCCACATCATTTCTATGTCCATTCCAGACCAGGAGCAAAACAGTCTAAGAAACTCCACAAATTCACCCAACTTTAAAAAAACAAAAAAAAATCAAACAGTACACTCAAAATGATTCAATAATATTTAAACTATTCAACAACATTACAAGCAACAAAAATAGAGAAAACAAACAAAAAAACATAATAAAAAAAACACGGTTGAACAACTACAGGGGAAGCCAACGAGATTCTGTTTCAGATTCTTGAGCTTTAAACACAGTCCCCATCCATTGTATCTTAGATCATGAAATGTGTCTCTTTGGCTCGTCCTTGATTTTGGGGGCTTCGCGGGACCAACATAGATTGCGTTGAAAGTTGGCAGACATACTTGTTGTTTATTTGCAAACCAGCAAACATTCTACTTCTTCCAATCCCCGAATGATGGCAGGGTCGGGTCGTCATGTCAATTTGTGGGAGAGTAATCTGATTGGTGGTTTCGAACATCTGATTGGTGGTGTCGAAATTCGCTGTTTATTCGGATCAACGCTGAATTTATTTCATGGTGCTTGCTGGCTGAGCCCATACACAAATCTTAGCTGGCTAACAACGCCCCTTTTTTGAATTTGTCTAGTGATCTGAAAAGCCAAAATGATCTCCGCAAAGTACCCACTATATATATATATATATCCCCATCCCCAAGATTACCCTCCAGCAAAATGGAACATTGCTGTGCCCTCCCTAGTTGTGTTTTTTTGTTTTGCATTGAACTATAGTTATCATCCCATCAGTTCAAAATGTCATCAAACCACAGTTCAATGGAAAAATGTTCCCGTCACTTAACCATAGTAATGCCCATTGATGGTCATGTTCGCTGCTAGATCCCAGTGATCATAGCAATTGGCCATTCCTCATCTCTGGGTTAATCTTGGTCAGATTGAACAAACTAGTACTTTAATCTGCTATCAATGGTAAAATGTACATTTTTGTTGACAGGTATCTAGGGTTCACTATGATCTGTACATGATTTTCCCAGCTATCAATTTCCATTTCGTGCGGGGGTTTTCCAGCCACGTTTCAGCTTGGTATAGCTGCGCAGCTGATGCAGTTGGCTCCGTGGAGTATGTCAGCTGACAAAACAATTCCCATACTTAGATGCCCTATGGAGTCAGTTAACTCGTCAGTAAATTTGATTGGTGGTTTGGAACATTTTTTATTTTTCCATTCAGTTGGGAATAATCATCCCAACTGACTTTCATATTTTTCAGAGGGCTTGAAACCACCAGCCAGATAAACAAATTCGGATATCGGGGGTTTAAAAGAAACAGTTACTAACCAGGAATCGCGTTTTTCCCATGGCCCATCTAAGAACAGGATGGTGACCCCACTTATGCTATAATTATTTCCCCGGACTTATAAACCAACTTAGCCAACGAACTGGGGCCCCATCCTGTATGCTCCATGTATGGAATACTTACCTAGAAAACTGGGTCACTTAGGGGGTAAATGTTGGCAAATATACCAGGGGATAGCAATCAGAATGAGAAAAGCAAGAACCGCAAGACTTAAAATATAAATAACAATATGAACACGCAAAATAACTATTCCGATGGATATGATCATGATGATGATGACGATGATGATGATGACGATGATGATAATGATGATGGTGGTGATGATGATGAATACTAATGGTAATAATAAAAATAGTAATATATTGTTACTGCAATTGGCCGTGATGGTCGGGCAGACAGTCACAATGATGACAGCAGACACAGCAATGATGCTGTTCCGGGGCACTGGCTGCGCGGTGCCCAGGTGCCCATTTCAGTGCAATTGATTCTCGATACTGCATGTGTCTGAAAAACATGCTATACCATCAAATGCGTTTCGTTCATGAGAAAATGATGATAAATCATGATTTTTTTGGCACCCCAAGTTCAGTCAAACCCAGATGAGTCAACACTTTCAAAGCATGTCCATATCAATTGGGAGGATGAACATCCATAAATCTGAGCATTACGCCATTTTCTAAAAGCTACTCAGCCGATCGGCACAAAAACCGCCTTCCCATTGATGATGCACGCTCTGCCAGGATGAGGATGACAGGATGACTTAAGAAACCGCAAGGTACCATTAATATAAGGCCACTGGTCGCCTTCAGAGTCGGACAAGCCCTACACTATCCGCCTGCTTTGGGCGCTGGCAGTTTGATTTCCGCAGCGTGGACGTTTTTCTCTTGTTTTTTAGCGCTTCCGCCATTTTGGCAGATCGTATTGTTACCATGCTGCTTACACGCGGCATCTCTCGGGAACGGAGGAAGGCCTTTTCCGCGCTAGATCCGGGGGGGGGGGCAAAAAATGCCAAACCCACGAGATTGACAATTTGAGCCTCGAAGAAGCACTAAGCGAGAGGTTTTATCGCAAAAAAAACATGTGCTTGGGTTTTTGGATTCGCCGCCACGTGCGCAAGTCCAAATCACACGTGCCCAGGAAATGCGCCACTGAATCAGGCGATCCTTCCCAAGAGTCGCTTGGCCATCAGAATGAGGGATTGGAAGGCGGCGCCCAAAAATGAACTGATGGGTTATGTTTGTTAATCTAGCGGTATTAAAAAAAATACAATCAGGCGGTACCGCCTTGTATGGCCTTCCGGAGTGAGTGTGGATGCGATTCCAATTCAAGCGGTGCATCACCGTGCAGACCTCATCAATCCCTGTGATTGTCATGTCTATAACCCAGATGACGAAACACGTTTGCTCAGAAGTTAGTTCCCTGGTTGCTCCAAAACAGTTCAGGACTGGGCCTTCCTTTTTGGACGCGACGTGGTCGAAACCCATTTCCATCCGTCTAAATGCACCCTGGAACCTTATGCTCATAAAATGCCCAAGGCATCCAAGGGCAATGTTTGGCTATTCAATACCAACGCTGGATCTTTCAATGTAAATGGTAAATATTTGTTTTCCAATGAGTGGGTGACGTTCATGTCAAAGCCGAACATTTTCTATGGTCTGTTTAACCATATTTACGGCAAAATCAACAAAACCAATCCGCATGCTGGTAAATAAACAATGCCTGTAAATTCGTGAGGGACAAATAAACAACAGAGTTTGACATGCATCCAGCCAACAATAGGGACAAATTGTGAAGGATACCAAAATAACAACAAGTCAACACGACCAATTGTATAAATTAGTCTCACAAGGTAGTTTGCCAACAGCTTGTGAATGTGTTCAACCACATGCACACAAACCAACAGGGAAATGAAACCACCAAAACTGCGAACATGAAAAAACAATAACTCACCGAACCAACACTTAACATGAAGGTACCCGTGGACAACAAAATGGTGTGATTTCCAAAATCCATGTGTTGGAATTGGTATGGATGAAAACATGGTGGTCACTGTTTTTTTTTGAATCCCAAGTAACAATATCGTGATAGGTCATGGTCAAAAGTGGGCACATTTAAACCCATACCCACTTGGTGCTCCACTAAAAAAAATGTGCAGTCATGGCCATTTATTGCATATAACTGATTATTTTTATGGGATTATACATTCTATAAATGGGGTGAGTTAGTACTTATAACTGGTACAACTAGGGCCATAACTGTGGGTTACAACTGGACTAACGTTACCCCACTGCTGGGGTATGTTGGGATTACCCAATCTCCCAGCCCAGGATTTGTATCATTGATTGTGGGGAACTGTGACGTACCTGCAGGGTAGCAGGCTGGATGCCGTGTGGTGTTCCGAACTGTATTTGGAGTTGGGGTCAACAACATGATGTGTTTGTGAAAAAAAAATGTCGAGCCATTTCACAAAAAACAATGTTGTGTGTTGAATTTTCGCCAAACATTTGGCGGTGGATTAGGCACAAAAATTGTGCAGTATCGACACGGGGCCAATTCTATGGAACCATGAGAACGGGGGGTATGGCGCAATGTGTTGCGAACCCAGACATTTCCGCGGTTTTGCTGTAGATGTTCCTTGCTAGTATGGGTCTATATCCCAGGAAAGGTTTGGTATGGGTCTCGACCATCCAATAGTTGGTTTCCTGTAGATGTTCCTTCAAAAACAATGATGGGAAGTAGGAAACATGGATTATTAGATGGTACAAACATGTACAAACTGCTTGATAAATTCAAGTCTGAAACAGTTTGGAGCAGGTTGGTGTTTTCACGCGATTCTTTACTCATGAGGGGTTGCTGGAGGTCGAAATGTTGCCACGAATACCGCCCAGCCTCCTTTCCCACTCCATACCCGTTACTGGTCGCAGGCGCCGATGCTGCCAACGCTGTTCCAAAAGGGGGGCGGATGGGCAGTGCGCGAATGGATATGTAAAAACAAATAACTCTAGGAACAGCAGGTGATTTATATCAAGCATCATTTGTGGGGGATATGATGGAGATATGATGGGGATATACCCAAGGATTTGGGGAAATCGATTTGATTTGGACCAGCATTCATGGTGATGACTGGTGTCTAAAACTGGCCATGAAACGGAATGTCGTGGGACCCACATGGTGCAACTGATTTTCAGAGCCAACTCTGCAAAAGACCTATCTCCCCAAGATTCCATGCTCCCAGGGCCCCAGGTCATGAACACATAAATCGAATACGAAACATATGAACCAATGCTTCCGAGGGGGGGGTATTTAACATGAAGGAGTGAAGGGATCATGAACACCATAGATTTTCGTAGTACTTTAATGTTATCTTTATCGGTATTATTCAATGTCAATAGTTTCAGTGTCCAATTATTGTTTCTAAATATCGCTCTTCTTATCTCTTCTTGTTGTAGAAAACCACATGTTTGATGTATTTAGACCCATGACCCCAGACCAGCTGGTATCACTTGGATCCCTGCTTTAGTCGGGTCTATTCCTCCGCTGCTTTTAAGCACTAATCACAAATCGTGGTGTCATACTTAGCTAAGCTGTTTCAAAAGAAGATGAACTAGTAGGGTTTATGGTATCGATATCTGTATTCAATTGGGATTATCAGCCAACTATGACTGGGGGCATTACGTTGTATCCACCCTCCATTGGCAAAGTTACACTTTGGGAGATATGGGTATGGGTCAAAACTTAAGAACCAGAGGACCACAGATTTTAGCCTGTTTTCAGTATGAATCAACCAATTCTTGGGGTATCCACTTTTGACCATCCATATTGACAATATTTCACCAACATATTTTTTCTGCAGCTTCCAGCTTCTGTATTCTTGGTGTTTTGAGATTACATGTCATGGCGAATGTCAAGGAATCCCAGCGAGTCCAAGCACCGTATGAGTCGACTCATTGCAGATGCAACTGAGCCCACAGTTAGATCCCCATAGGTTTCAATACGAAACCGATCTATATATATATATATATATGGTGATCGATCTAAAGGTCCTTGTAAGGAGCTTTAATTGCGAAAGCCGTGCATGTTATGTTGGAAACCCTCGCGAAAGTTTTTTTTCGAATTCGCGAAAGTAAAATTTTATTTCGCGAAAGTTTCGCGAAAGTTGGGTATTATAATCATTATATGTAAAGGGCTGCCACCCACTGCCGCCCGGGGTCCGGCAGGAAAAGGGCACCAGAGAATGCGAGTAGCAGTAGCCAAGTTTCCAAAAGTGAGGCTTTGCGAGAGCCAAACACCAAGGCCCCTGGTCTTCGCTTTTCCTTCAGTGCACCCCCTGCTGATGGCCGGGGTCTGTGAATAGGGATATTTTCGCGAAAGTTCCGCGAAAGTTATGCGAAAGAGCGGGCGAAAGTCAAAGTGCATGTTGAAGGGGGTGGGCCAGTAAACTTTGCAAAAAAAATTGTCCTGAGAAGGGACTCCGTGATGCTAGCTGCATGTTTAAAAGGCTACCAAGAAGTGATCCTTGATTCTCTGGCGTAATTTGGCCGGCGGTGAACGAATCTTCATAAGAGGTGTTGTTGGCCAACATGGGCCCCGCGAAAGATAAACATGGAGTTCGCGAAAGTTTCGCGAAAGTAAAATTTTTATTCGCGAAGAATGGCCGTTCCGGGATAAAGGAATTTTGATCAACAACCATATATAATTAATCTTGGATGAATTTGGGATACCAACATGTTAGGACACCTCCATTTCTATGGCTATAAATGGGGTTATCATAAACCACAAATGGGGTGACTTACTGACTTTCAAAATGTGATATTTCGGGCCGTAACTGCGTTAAGAATTGATATTTGATCAGTTTCAAACCATGGACCTTGAATCCGAATGAACCCTGCTATACTATGCTATACCATGTGCGTGAAACCATGTGGGTTACAATACCATGAAACCATGTGGAGGTTTCCTAAGTCATGGTGGTACCCTTAGTTTTCATCCATTTTATTTTCGTATTTTCATGAAATAAACATTCCATATCCATTTTGGGGTACCCCCATGACTCATGACTTTGAAAACCAACATTTAAACCCATGAGCCGACCGCTATTTGGAACAGCTGCCCAGTTTTGGCTGAGAACTCACTTTTTCTATAATTTTTCCAAGCCATGGGTTGTCCACATCAAGGCTGGTTTCGAAAAAAAACACATCTGGCAATCCAATTTTTCTTCGAGTTCGCAGCCCTTTTATTCTGGTGATAATTCCTCAGTTTCCTCAACCACCATGGTGGAGACCAGGCATGTCAGGCTATGATTAGCTTTACCACGCTCTATGGATCGGGTTGTAACTGAGGAATTAACTAGTAGCGCTTAGATGGGGTGACATATCCAATGAAGACAAAGGCAACATTTGCTGGTTGGTGGTTTGGAACATGAATTTTATGACTATCCATATATTGGGAATGTCATCATCCCAACTGACGAAGTCCATCATTTTTCAGAGGGGTAGGGCTCAACCCCCAACCAGTTCGCAAGAAAGTCCAATATTTTAGGCTCGTGACCCCGGAATCCCCCCGCAGTGACCAGCGGAGCGGTGGTTCATGCTGGGCAGCGCTATCGCCTTGCCTTGCTTGCGACACACGCTCAAGGTGGCCGGAAGGAGATGGTTTTCGGGGGAAGTGCCCTGCAAGGTGGTGTGAAAAATCTCCCAATAGATATATGGTTGGTGGTTTGGAACATCGATTTTATTTTTCCATATATTGAGAATAATAATCCCAACTGACTATGTTTTTTCAGAGGGTTTGAAAACACCAACCATATATTGTAAACGCACCCCTAAATGGTCCCAATTTGTGAAGATGCCCTACACCAAACGATAAATCATCAGAGCAGTTGTAATCAAGTTAGTTATGGCCATTTATTACTAGTTATAACTGGTTATTTCTATGGGATTATAAATTATACATTCTATAAATGGGGTGACTCTGGTAGTACTTAAACCTGGTATTTTCCTCGGGCCATAACTGGCCTGTTATTAGTAGATACGACCTGGATTTCTGGGATTACGACCTCACAGAAAACCGGAAAAACATGGAAAATCATGACGAGGTTGGCATTGTATATACCGTATAGCCATTGTTCATGATCATTTCAATAGGGGAAATATTTGGAAAAATATGGCAATCAGCGACATTTGAGGATACCAACTATTTCCAGACCCCAAGTGCAGTAAATGGTAAGGATGAATTTTGGCACACTTAGAGTCACTTAGAAACAAAAAGGTTAGCCTATGTTAGCCTGATGAATCACGGGCTTCAGCGGGGGTGGTAACCAGTCAGGATTCCTTGAAGCAAATCTTGGGGAATGGTTGGCTCTTGCGGGCTAGTATTTGGTCATTTACTGTAACGTCATTTATGTATATAAAGGAACTATCAAATGTCATTTATCCATCACTATCTAGCGAACCACAAAAAACATGAGAAAACAGTTTGTGGGACATTTGAACTTTGTCACAATACTTGTTGAAAACTTGTCCGAGCTTGAATCTTTGGTGGTTACAGGCTCACTGGTCAGTCTAGGATTCAAACAAGTGATCAACGTGGGCGTGGGGTGTCGTAATGCTGGATACCTAGAAACCATAAGTCAAACGAACATTGGTTCCAATCTCGAGTGCTTGTAGTTACAAGTCAACTTACCCGTCCACTTTGTTGGTGTTCTGAATTTGTGAAGTTACCCTAGATGGGAATCAGATGATGGTGCTTGATCTGTGACATGTGCTTTGTTTCACTGCATCCTGTATGCCGAAAAATGACATGATGCCCACTGAGTTGTTTTTTATTGGATGATCGAAGTCCTGCTGTTCTCACCATGAGGGTATTGCCAGTTGGTCAATCTTGGGTGGAAAAAAGATGTTTGAGGGAAAATCCCATAAATGACGGGATAAATCCTCTGGATATATATGACTTATGTTCCAAAAATCCATTGAGCTATTCCCTGGGGATAAATATCCAGCGGTACTAACCAGCTAAACATTTTGTACGGATCCCACTAGAAAAATATGTCGGCTGGAATTCACCAGGAGTTTTGTTTCTCAAAGAATCCGTTGTTAAACTGTCTGTGATAAAGCATTATCACTAGTCTGATGATAAGATATTATAAATTATAGTGAGATCAGGATCTTCCAACTTGTTTTGTTCATTGCTTTTGATGATCAGAATCATAAGAACTTTTTTTTCTGATGCCTTTCTATCTTTTCGCTGGAGTGCTTTTGAAGCCGCTGTAGCTAGTAGAAGAACTTCTCATCGGGAGATCCCCTTCAGTGACGACCCCAATAGATCTTTCCATATAAGCCCTTCTCAGTGGCTGTTGGTAGTTAAATGTGGTTAATATGCCAAAAAATAAGTCACCAATGTGGTTAAATGTAGTTAAATGTAGTTAAATGTGGTTAGAGCCGAATCTTGGGGAGTCACCAAGTCACTTTTGGGGGTTGCTGGGGGTTGCATGGTTGCCCTGTGATGAAATTTTGTCGGAGCTTCCACAGATCATCCATGGGTATGGTTACATGTAGCCCAAAGTCATCCAACTAGTTGAGATGTGGAAGTTTCCATAAATGAGGGATAGCCCAACGTGGATGGTTATGGAAAATCCTATTGCCTATTAATTACAATGACACAATGGATGATAACTGGGGGTACCCCCATTTTAGGACACCTCCATAAAATAGTCACTATACCATACTACATGTCATACCACTGCAGGAGGTTTTTAGCTTCACAAGTTTTTGGAGATAAACTCGAGCCCGAAGGGGCGGACACATCACTAAAGGTTGTACCCTCTGGTTATTTGACATAGCTATGGAAGCTATGGCCCATTTAAAGAGTATGTATGATGATTTACCCATTGAAAGTTGTGATGTTCCATAGCTACGTTAAATAACCAGAGGGTAACTGAAAAACATAGGAATGTGGTCCCCCGCACTTCAGATTGCCATGCTGGGTGAATTGTAGTGACCTGGCCGTGACGTCACTGGAATGATGGTTAGGAGAATTCGCCCAATATCTCGCCTTATTTTAGGTTAGTGAATTACTATCATTTACACCGATGTATCTACTATAAATCCTTAGTGAAGTTAGATTATAAATCAACTTAGCATTCAGAAAGTGGGGCAGCCGAGACCCAGAACCAGGTTTTTTCATGGGGAAATGATGTCACCCTCTGCTGTTTCTGCTTCGAGTGTGCGGCATATTGACGTGTTGGGTGATTCAAGCAACAGTTACAAGATGAGGCCCCCCAGTTCAAAGTTGGTTTATAGGCCCATTAACTATATTTATATCCCCCAAACCGAGTTGACCAAGTTATAAGCCAACTTAGCTATCTAGGGGGCCTTACATTGTATGATGATATTGAATGGGAAATTGTATAATGTATGTAACCGGACAGAATTACAACCACCAACAGTTCTGGGGAAACAAGCTAGCAGCTAGTCACTGTACAACTTCCAGTTTTGACAAACGATGTGGATTCAGGGTTTCTCCAACCATCCATACATAAATGATAGCTACAGCGGAAAGATGGGGCCAGTTTCCCTCTTGTATTCGGGGTGTTGGGAGCAACCCTGTTTACTCAAATGTGAGTAAGTATACTATATGTTGATCATACGTGAGTGTCTGATAATTGGTATACCATCAACATTGCTATATTGAGAACAATTTTTTGCTGCCACTCCGTGGATTTTGGGGGTACTTTCTTGTCAGACATTCTGAATTGAGATCTTTTGAGTATACTTAGATGTGCCATGGAGTTAGTTAACTAGTTAGTAAATGGATTATAATTGGGATATAGGGGGTTCCATCCCCAGTTACTAACCAGTTAGCTAATCCCATGGCCTATCCAAGTAGAGTGGGAATTACAATCGCTCGGTAGCATCAATCTGCAACAGGAGCGTAGAGGTGATGGATTCAGCGAACTCATCATTCTGGTGACCCACCCATTAAAAATGGTTAACAAGCCTTTAGATTGTGGTTGATAGCGCTCTTGGTGTTGCGATATGTCCAAGTGATATTCAGAATCTGTTGATGTTATTGAGTGATTTTTACTGATATCACAGCATGCCCAACAGTTATGGCCATTTATTAGTTATAACTGGTTACAAATGGGATTATACATTCTATAACGGGATTTTTTCAGTACTTATAACTGGTATTTCGGGCCATAACTGAACTGACTTCAATTTTCTTTGATTTCTTCTACAGGATCTGTGGCGGCAATGTTAATCCAGATGATCCTGTTGCAGCTCTGTAATCAACCAGATGATCTTTGACGGAATCGGGTGCAGGGTTTTCCTTAACCTCACATAGCTGTTTTTTCCATCAAAATTCTCCATGTTCAAAAGGTAAATCATCCATAAATGGATCTTGTTCCACAGCTATGTTAGTTTACCTACCAAAGGTCACCTTTTTGTGAAACTGTCTGACTGTTTGCTTCTGATTGTGCTGGCTATTCTGCAGAAATCCTCCTGATGACAGCTGGATTTGGTGAAGTTTCCCCCCCCCCCCGTTGGTCAATTCACGGAAACAGGGTAATCCCCTCCCCCTAATATGACGTAATATTAACCCCCTTGGAAACCATAGGCTACACATACTCAGATTTGGGACCATGTAGAGTCAATATAGAGGCTGTGAAAAATATCAGGGGATGGGATTACTATTTGGAGATGTTGCTTACTTCGGATCCCCCCTAGGCAAATACAAGAAGTCTGGTTGGTGGTTTGGAACATGAATTTTATTTTTCCATTCAGTTGGGAATAATAGTCCCCACTGCCTTTCATATTTTTCAGAGGGGTAGGTATACCACCAACCAGTCAAGATTCCAAGGGCATTTGAACAGTTCAATAACAACATGGTGAGTGATCGCCGGGATCTGGTGACTTATCAGGTGGTGCCCCAGTGGTACTAGGTTGGTAAACATAGCTAGGTTAATTACGTATGTTTAACTAGTTGTTTTGTTGGTGATTTCAGGTGTAATTCAACAGGCTATATACCAACTTATAACATTTTATATCTAGGGTCACCAACTTGTATTGGGGCAATATGGATGATGGAAGCTTCAAATCAGTAGCATGGTCGTACAACATAAAATAGTTGTTATTCAATATATTTCAGTTGAAGTCCGAAATACCAGTGATAACTGGTTATTTCTATGGTTATTTCTATGGGTTATCATTCCACAAATGTGGTGACTTTCTGACCTAGCACTGGTATTTCGGGCGACAACTGGAGGAAATTTGGACGCTTCTTGGGAATAGTACCCCAGATCAATTGTCAAATTCGTGGTTTCAGATGTTGCCAGTCTTTAAAAGTCGATTACATATCATTCACTGCTGGTCAATGGACGACGTGACTTTGGATTCAGGCGGAAGTTTCCATTTTTTTTTTCCGTAACTCGGAAGTATTGACTTCTAAACTTCCATCAATCGTCCTGGTTGCCGCACTCAATGTATGAAAAGAATAGGAAGGAGGTCCGAGGAACGAAAAGAATTTGTTTTTCAAACCCACGTAGGCCGAGCGAGATAGGAAGCAGCTGGGCGGAGCACCTTTGGCCAAGACGTGAGCGGCGCAACCTAAATTTTTTTGTCAGTCCGGGCCAGCGCAGCCAGTTTCCATTGGTAGGCTCCGCTGGTGTCCGCGCGGCGGGCCACCGGTGCGCCGCTTGGCTGCATGGCGCTTCGCACCATCCAAGTTTGGGGGGCGCGCTTGTCATGGCATGGCATGTCTACATGTGCAGGGACGGGATCACCGCAGAGGACTCAAGCAAGACATTGATTAGACGATTTTACATGGACATTGAACAACCTTGGGACCCCGGGTCATCACCTAAAATCTGTTTGACCCTGAAGACTTGGATGGCACGTGCAACTCCTTGTGCCGTCAGTTTCAGGGATCGATTTGGATGCATCGATGCGTGATTTTTACAGTTTACTTGCTGCAACCCTCGCGGTTTGCATATAGTACATGGAAATTTTGTTTTTGTTTTCTATTTGAATTTGATTATTTGTATATTGTAGAATTTATTAAGATAATGTGCAAACAGATCTTTATAACCGTACATTAGCATAGAAAACATCTATTGACAAATCTGTGTCTCCATAGACAAATTTGCGTAAATGTGTTTCCGCACCGACCAAGGTCTTCAGCTCGAGCAAACCTGCAGCGCTCTCAGGCACGGCTTTGATGGCACCGACATGTAGCTGTGAGTCAGTGAGTCGTGCATTTTGGCAGAACATCCTTGATGCAAAAAAAATATTGTTTAACATTCATGGTCATGCGGATTTTTCGCCATTGGTCGAAAACAGATGTTCCAATCAACCAATACAGGAAAATGTGTGTTTATGTGCGGGATCCAGTGAAAAACGTTTGCAGTATTGTCCCTCGCAGATCTCCAGTTTTTGCGTTTGCAAGAAAGTTCCCCACAATCTATATAATAATGATTAATTAGTTTTATCAACATATTTTTGGGGCGTTACCCTTACTTTATCAACAAACCAAAATCCCATGGGATATCCCCAAAGTAAAACAAACATACCCATTTCAATCCAAAAAAACAACGCACCCAAGACCCCCCAAAAAAGTTAAAACATGTTGCCCAAATCCCATCCACCCTGTTTTATAGTGACATGTTTCATTTTAGTTTCATGTCCTGTCAGGTTGGCCTTGCCGCTTGTGTCGCCATGGCGCCCAAGAAAGCGAAGGCCAAGGCGACGTCAAAAAGGGGTATTCCCATCAGACTGGACAATGATAATAGTTGAACAATATGGGGTTTCCATAAATGGAGATACCGGGATACCCAATAACTGGATGGTTTGTGAGGGAAGATCCTATTAAAATTGATGATTTAGGGGTACCCCTATTTCAGGAAACCACAAAATATCGTAATCACAATATAACACATCTTTGGGCACCAGGAAAAACATACGAACAATGATTATGGTAGTGATTGACAATGGTAACAAGTGACAACGGTAATGATATGTACTGAGAATCTGAGAATAGAGGACAATGACATACAGACAATTGATAACGACAATGATAGTATTTGTTTGTGTTACATAAATGGACACGGATAATAGTTGAACAATGTTCAACACGTTTGTTGGCTGATAATTGTAGGTAAATTATACCAATCAATAAATTGGGGTTATAACCAACTAATTATATAGTATAATCAACGACACAGGGTTTTGAACACTGTTCCTTCTAATAATAATATACAATATTTTTGGACACAACCATAACAACCACAATACAATGATGATACGTACAACGATGAAATGGCAAAACGACATTGTTTATTTCGGACAATGATATCAGGTGACAAATCTTAACAAGTGATGATGCCCACCAACATTCTAAATGATAATAATTGAACCACTGGATTTGTGGTGCATTTTCAGACGAACCCATTTGGGATTTTCAGTTGGGTGGGGTTTGGTCTGGGTATGTGGGTATACATGGTGCCCAAAAATTTCATGGTTGCTGGTTTATATTCTAAACAAATGCCTACTTCACTTCGACATTGCACACATAAACCAACTTGGCATAGTATGGGGCACAAATTTGTCGGAATTTGACAACCAGATGACCAAAACAGTTGAACATTCTTTCAAACACCGAAATTGTTTGATGATCATAACGGGTTTTCTACCCCCCAAAAAATTAGGGAATATCACAAAATCCAACGGTGAATCCCGTTGCATCATGTCGCCAAGACGTTGCGTTGGATGGATGTTTCAGAAAGGCACCAAAAATACATGCGCGCAAACATGTTCATATCGTCATATCTATTCGTCGGAATCTGTGGTTTAACCAGACTGCCACATCCAAATCGAATCTCCAATTCTGATGTTTTGCATCTTCAACATCCAGTATTGGAAGCAAGATTTCAGATTTCCCGTAACAGAAATAATGAAACAAAAAGACATGAAACAACAAACCAATGTGCATTTTGTTCTGAAACAAGATTTCCCGTGACTTCCGAATCACATCATGCCCAACACTCGTGTGCTTTAAACAATTCTTTGATCCACCTTTTGGCAGGGCTAAAAAGTAAGTGAATACCAAAATCCAACATGGACATTTAAGGGTAAGCCACAGTGACAAGCCCAAGAAGTCCTCAGATTGATGATGAAAAATGATGGAAGTCTTCTTGTGGTCTGGTTGTTTGGAACATGTTTTTTTTGATCTCTCTCTCCCTCTCTCTAAATATATTTATAATATATATATACATGATATATGGGATAATCCATCCCATCTAATATTTTGCAAGATGGTTGAAACCACCAACCAGAGATGATTGAAGCCTTCTTCTGGTTTATTGATCCCATATTCTTCGAGGCTTTGCCTTGGACCTAAATGTCGCGAACTCGACCGAACGGAAGCAACAATTCTCAACGTTCAGGCAGAGCCAAAAAAGGCTGAGTCCAAGAAAACTCCCAAGGCGCTGGGGTTCACCAGCGAACTGCAGCTATTGGTCGATCCTTGAAATATAACAAGTTTGGGAAAGTTTAAAATGCTTACGTTACTGTAATCATCTAGTTTTGGGGTCCGCTAGTTTTTGACTTAAAACCGTTGTTGTGTGTTTAACGGGACACTTCTTTTAAAGGCACTGGTCACCATTCATCAATCTCCCAAGCCTTGATTCTATTCATGTTTCGCTTGTGTTTCTCGATGGGCTAGGTTTTGGTGACTCTCAATGCTGAAAAAACCATACCAAGTTTGAACTTAGTAAGATGCTGGGATACATTATACATTATTTGACACGATGATAAAACACCACTGTTTTGGGGTGTCCTGAAAAACCATATGAATCGCAGCAACAAACTCCGGACAACTGGAGAGATCTGAGGATGAGGGTAATGTGGGATTCACCCAATGCATCCCAATGGCAGAAACAATAGCCGAACATGTGGGGATACTATAAACAGCTAACATAAATTGGTGATATTCTAGATCAATCTTGGACGGGTAGAAACTAATTCTTTAGTCTTTTGGGTATCAAATGGATTATCTACTAACCAGCTAAGATTTTTTTTGCAGGGCATCTAAGATTGGCAATGTATTGGGGATGATTAATTACTAATTACTAGTGCGTTTGCCCGTTTTAACCATCACTGCTACCTTAGCTATATTATTTCGGGGTGGGGTCACGCACCAAAATATTTTTCAGAAATAATTATCAATTTCATGCGAAAACCATATACTTCTGGCATAGGTCAAACCATGCAAAAATAATTTCAGGGTTAGAAATTATTTTATCGGGGTCCGACCCCATCAAAATAATTTTCCAACGAGGGGTCAGGTGCCAAACAATTATTTCGAAATAATTTTGGTTGAGCCTATCGTAGCATTGCCGTTTTGTTGTGTCAAGAATGTTTGTCCATTGTCCAATGAAACTGCGGAAGCTTCAGTAGCCATTTGGTTCACAATCACCCCTGCCCTAGTTACAGTTACCCCCCCCCCTTACAATAATAAAACATAACTATTTCAATGGGGCTTGACATACATTCGATTCATCGACTTGACCTAGGAACACCTGGGAAAAAAATCCATTAACCCCCCTCAAAATGTCTTTCCCCAGGGGTTCCCTAGAATGATATTATTTCAAAAACATTTTGACCCCCTTTCACATAATTATTTTGCAGGGAGTGCCACATGTCAAGCTTCAACCCCAAGTGTTCTCCTACCAACTCAATGTTTAAAACATGTTTTGGAATATGAGGGACGCCTTCAGACAATGCCCCGTCAATATGCATCAGAAATCTCAGAATAACAGAAGGATACCCCTATCAAAAAATCTAGCGACAAAAGGGAATGCGTAGCATTGCGTAGCCTACCGAAACAGAATTGAAGAAAATCACAAAGTACATTATATCAGGAAATCCTGCACAATGTTGGCTTTGCAAAGGCGTTTTACTATTTTTTAGGTATGTCTTGTTGTTTTTTAGGATCGATGCTTTGCAAATCCGGAAGCGCAAATAAATTTAAACATCATGTTTCATGTGTGCTCCCTCCCAGTCATCTCAGAATCTCCCTTCAATTTAAATTGCACCAACATCAAAATTTGCAACCCGCAACCAAAAAACGTTCTTTGAGAAATTATTTTAGGGGTATTGGAGATGCCCTGCACTCCTCAAAAATCAAACTGGGCAGCTGCCAGGACCATCCAACTTGCCCAGAAGCTGGAAACGAACTCAAAAACATATAAAGACCGAATGCTTACCATCGTTCTTTGGAGGCAAATGAAAGGAATATGGGAGAAATATGGCGAAGTAACGGAAAATATGAAAGGTTAGGAAAACCACTACAGGAAAGAGCCAGGTTGAATACTATTTCGTGGGATTTCTCAAGGGGAGAAATTATTTTAGGGGTATTGGAGATGCCCTGCACTTCTCAAAAAACAGCTACCAGAGCGACCCAACTCGCCCAGAGGCTGGAAAAATAATCAAAAACTCAAAAACCTATAAAAACCTAATGCTTACCATCGAGAGTTCTTTGGAGGCACATGAAAGGGCGAAATAAGGAAAACTATGAAAGGTTAGGAAAACCACTACAGGAAAAAGCCAGGTTGAATACTACTTCGTGGGATTTCTCAAGGGGAGAAATTATTTTAGGGGTATTGAAGATGCCATGCACTTCTCGAAAAAAAGCTGCCAGAGCGACCCAACTCGCCCAGAGGCTGGAAAAAAAATCCAAAACTCAAAAACCTATAAAAACCGAATGCTTGCCCTTTCCCACTCATTCCCACCGTCTTTTTTGACAGGACATGAAGGGAATATGGGAGAAATAGGGAGAAGTATGAAAAAATAGGAAATACGTAGGAAAAAATCAATAATGAAGATAATTATTGAACACCATTTTGCGGGAATTCCCAAGGGGAGAAGGTCTTATAGGTGTTTTTTTTCTGACCACTTGAAGTGTATATATACGAAATTATTTCAAAACTATGTTGACGGGTTAGATTATATTGGGACACAACAAACCATGGCGTGAGGAGTCTTGAAAACGGAAGCAGTCAATGAACCAACAGGGGGGGCTTGCTTGTGAGATGACCCGTGGAACCCCCCTCAAAATAATTAGGTGGAAGGACCTTGAAATTATTTCATGGATTTTGGATAATATTTAGGGGGGTCTGTTTCTGGAAATTATTTCCGGGTATCTGCACTTAAGGATGTGAAATATAGCAAAGGTCAACCCCCCCTGGAAATAATTTTGGAAATTATTTTTAGGGGGGACGGGGGCCCCTAGCTTAGGTAGGGGTGATTTTTCTGCCCGCGCAGCTGACGACGCGATGGAAGTCGATGCCATCCCGGCTACATCGCTGAGCACCCAGATCCACCTGCAAGCTTTGGGCGCCGAGCTGATGGCCACCATTCGGCCAGACAATGTGATGCATCCGCATTTGCGCGCCCATGTCGAATTCATGTTGGGTCTCTTCGCTTCGGTGCACTTGGCCCGTGGAGACAGTGCCGATGTGTTGTTGTCGGAGTTTCTGCTGGGCTGCGGCATTCAGGTCGAGGTTGCCGACCTGAGCGAACCCAGTTGGATCGCGGCGATCGCGGATGCCTACAACCAGCGACACGAGAATCCTGTGTCAGTGGTGCGACCCATGTGCCACACCAGCTGGGGTGAGAAGGTGCGCAACATCGAAAAACGGCTGTGGTATCATGAATCATGGCAATTTCACCACGTTAGTCACCATTTATATAGCCATAAGATGCCACAAGTTATACCACTCATGACCCATAAGTCACCCCTGAAACACGTGCAGCCCTTAGAGCCCTTAATGGGCCGCAGGCCAAGGCGGGCAAGCGCAGCGCCATGGCCGAAGTGGCGGGGTCTGCGAAGGTGCCCAAGGTGCGAATGGGATGGAGTGGCTGGGATTCTTCACCCGATTTCTGTTCTTTTAAAACGAACAAACTGCAGGTGTTATTTTTTCCATGACAAGAAGAAGATGAAGATGAAGATTATGATGGTGATGATGATGATGATAGAGCCTTCTGGACGATTTATGAAAAAACGGAAGTTGTGTTACAATCAGCTAATTCAACACGGCTGGGGAATCCCTCAAAAAATGGAGGTTCCTAGCTGGGAACATCCAAAGAAATTTGGGATTTTTATCAAACATTGTGAACCGGAGATACCCTCTGGTAAACTAGCATAACTATGGAAAATCACCATTTTTAATGGATAAATCAACTGTAAATTTTCAATAGCTATGTTTAATTACCATGCAGAGGCTATTTATTTTTGTTGGGGGGTAGAGGATGTGATTAAAAAAACCGCATGTGCAAACGGTTCAAAAAAATCTGCGGGGTTTTTACGAGTTGCCGTATCGCAACTGCGGAACGGAGAAACAATATATATATATATATACTATCTAGATATCATGTATAGTCTGATGATAGGTATTAAATCATATCAAATCTGGATTCGCGAATGCATCTTGAATCTTGATTGTTTTATGTGATGGCCTACTCCAGGGCTGACATAGGATTAGTTTGAAACCAAAGAAATTGAACAAGCACACATTAATGTGCTGTTGCTTTCATGGTCTTATCTTGATACCATGTGGTGTTGTTTTTTTGTTGCTTCTTGGTGACACATCTATGCATGTTTGGGTTTTCAGGCAGGCATAAAAAATGAGTTGGCATTCAGCAGGCCTAGAGCTGCCAAACTTCATTTGAGTTAGATCATGTAATTTCATGTAATTTCTAGCTCCAAACTGATGACTTGAGAATCACCCAACAAAACATACTTTTTGCCATTCTTTTGCCGTTTCTTTCACCCGTTGCTCTGGGCTTTCCGAGCGCCGCAATTGTTGTGGAGGTCGAGGTGGATGACTCCAAAGCATTGGAGGAGCTGCTGGGAGGACTGCAGGAAACAACCTGGAAGGACTGGGATGCCATGATTGGTGCTGGCCCCTGACCCCTGACTTTTTTCTTAGGATTTCCAAAATCACTTAAGAAGATGTGGGTCAGTTTCCCATACTTTGTTAACTTGGTAAATATAAGTAGATGCATGTTTATGATATGGTTATGCAATATGTGTTAAAAATAACCATATTTTTGGGGCTGGTCAAACGGATTTGATGAATCTACGGCAACATGTCACGTTGCCGTGGCATGACCTGTATTTCGAACTTCCCGAGCAAATGATAGCATAGTGAGCATAATTAACCACCAAAAGATGTACACATCATGAAAAGTCTATAATCACTATTGCAAGACTTTATGTTTTTTTTGGGTGGAGGTTACTACATTTGCCCACAATGGTGATTAAACCGCTTTGAACTGGTTTGATGCTAAGACCCTGAAGGTCACAGTGGCAAGACGATTTGAGAAGGGGAACCACCGATCCTTCCGGACTCAGTGATTGAGGAAGGTCCTCAAATTGATGAGTTCTTAGTGTGAAGGTACATACATCATGGGCCATGAAATGATTATAGATGTTCACACAATCCTACAGAATTATTCTAGGACTGTCACACATATCTCACATAAACTATATACTTATATTTATATATATATATATATATCATACATATACATATGTACATATACATATTTTTGCACAGAGATGGTTGGTTTGGTCATGTTTGGTCCAACATTCTGGTGGCCCAATTTCAGACACCACCTCACAGCTGCTTTTGATTCAATATCCCCTCTGGGGAGATATGGGGAGGAGACTTTTTTCAAGTTCATATCAATATTGTGGCTTTACATTGTTTTGCGTATCCTACTTAATAGGAATCCCATGAGTATCTCATTAAATATTAAGTCCCTGTTTTTGTGGTTAAATACCATATTTCCCATGAGTATCTTATGAAATCCCTTTTCTGGTTAAATCACAATAGCTCGAGCTGCCAGCTGATCAGCTGACGGAATGCGGTCCACCTTGATGTCACGCCATTGGGATACAACCAGTAGTTTTATGTCTTAGTCGTTCATGTTGTTTTTGTTTATGTTTGCAATTCTCATGGGAATATATTGAATATTTATATATTTAAATACATATATGTAAATAAATAAAAACATATATATATATAATGAATAGATATGTATTTAGTTTTATTTACTAACACAACGAACAAACAAAACACTCAGGGTATCTAAGATCGGCCATGTCCAGGAAGCTCTTTCCGACGAGTTTGGCAAGGACTACTTTGTCACTTGGACATGATGAAAAGTGTGACCCCCCAAAATGGGCGGGTTTTCCTACAAGGCGGTGCCCCAAGAAGGGTGACTTAAGTAACAAATATATGGGGATTTCACCGGATTTAACTGGATTTAGCTGGATTTAACCATGGTGAGACATGAAGATTTGAGCCATACCCCAATGCTCCATGGTGCTGGTTTGCCAAGATTTAGCCCCCAAGTGACCCAGTTTTGCAGGTAAATAGTCCATACATGGAGCATACGGGATAAGCAATTCCAAGCACCAAAGATGGGATATATGACTAATATTGACTAATTATAACCAACAAACATGGGGATTCCCTGGGAATAAACTTCCCTTTTTCAATTTCAGATCTACCGAAACCAACCGGCACGTGCCGTTGCCCGTTGCGCATTGGGCAACGGCACGGCCTTTTTTGGCCGATCGTCCTGCGGAGCCCAGGCTGACATCGCTCGCTTTGCTGGGAAACCAAGAGGCTGAGCTCGGTGCCAGGCCGTGAGGTCTTGGGTTGCAATGATCTGGGTGAGGAAAAACCTCACTACACCATTCAGAGTCATCAAACATGGCGTGCTGAAATCTATTGTCAAAGTTCGATGATTCAGCTAGAGATCTCTATTTGTATATTATATATATATATACTGTGTAGGATTTTCCAGCTAGCCATGTTTGATTATCATTGAATTACCGGTCAGTTATACATATATTTATATATATATATACACAAGTTTTTTATGTTATCCCATGACATTCCCATATTTATCCATGTTTTCAACCGGATTTGCCATCAACGGCCATTGTCACGCACCTTTCGGGTAGATCAGCCGGGCGTATTGTACGGGAGTACGGGATGATCCAAACGACGAAAGTAAATCTTGCAAACGAATGGGTGCATTCAATTTCCATAAATCATATTGTACTGAGATGCAATGAAAAAATAGTGATAACAGTGAACAATCATGATGGTAATGAAAATAATGGTGCTGATGATAATTTATAAAACAATAGTTAATAGTTATATATGATGGATGTATGTTTCTTGAACTTGTGAGGGTGTGAAATTGTCTATGTAAGATCAGGGATCAACTAGACACAGATGAGGCTATGATGGATAAACACAATGTTGCGGGAAGTGAAATCGATAAAATATCTCCATGTTTGTTGTAATTTTTATTTTGCTGGTCAAGCCTGGGGTGTGCTGCATCATCTTTGATTCCCAGAGGGTATAAGATGTTCCAAACAAAAAAAGCATGAAATCCACCAGATTCAAAGCTGCCACCGCAAACTCGATAGCCGAGGTGCAGGCAGAACGGGGCAGTTGTACCGTGCATCCTCCCACTGATCAGGTGACGGCTGGGGGGTAGAGAGATGAACGGCTGGGCCATGGTTTTCCCATGGGTTTTCCGAAGAACAACCCGGAGTTGCTGATGATATGTGATTCCCCACCTGTCAGGTGAGGGTTGTTAGATCTTATGTCAGCTCTACTCCTCCTTCCTCGTCCTTCCTCGTCCTTCCTCCTCCTGCTTCCTCTCCTTCCTCCGCCGGACCTCAACTGCAAGCTCAAGATCACAGCGGTCCCCGCCAGACGTCAACTGCAAGCCCGAGATAGCGAGTGGTCCCCGCCGGACCCGAACAGCAAGCCCCGGATCAGAGTGGTCCCCGCCGGACCTCAACTGCAAGCGCTAGATCGCAGTGGTCCCCGCCAGACCAGAACAGCAAACGCTAGATTGCAGTGGTCGCCGCTGGGCCCGAGCAGAAAGCGCCAGATTGCAGTGGCCCCTGCCGGACCCGAACAGCGACCGCTGGATCAAAGTGATCCCTGCCGGACCTCAACCACAAAGAATCTCCGAAAAGAATTCAGATAGAATGCCAGAAGATAGGCCCAGATACAGTAGAATGTCAGAATATATGTCAGATAGACTGTCAGAGTATATGTCAGACAGAATACCAAATAGATTGTCAGAATAATAGAATAGACGTCAGATAGAATGACAGAATAGATGACAGATAGAATGCCGGAATAGATGCCAGATAGAACGCCAGAATGAATGGCACATAGAATGACAAAATAAATGTCAGATAGAATGTTAGGTAACATGTCAGAATGTATATGTCCCAATATATGTCTTGAAATGCCATGGCGGGGATCACTCGAAGTAAAGTATTTTTTCATGCGAAATCCACTTCGACTGGGGCATTGACTAAGCGAACATGAGCAAATCCAAGTAAATGGTGGTTGAACAATGAAATCTCATGGGATCATTACTGGTATGTGATGTGATATAACTGGCAGTTGTCCCATTGACGGTTCTCTATGTGTATTTGCCGGGATATTAAACTGATGATATTTTGACCTGGCCTACCAGATGGAGATCGACTCCAACGTCTCATCGCCTCAAGAGTTACCACCCCGTCCCGACATGGAAAAGGTGATGCTCGACGCTGACGTTGAAATCTTCAATTGGGTCCTCCAGGCAGAAGAAAATGCTACTTCTACTGCCAACCGGGAGGTTGAGTCTTGGATCAGGGAGATTGCGGAGGAGGATCAAGCTCTGGAGCCTGTGCAACAGGACAATGCCGACTCCGATGACGAGATCGTGAAGGTCAAGGCACTCACCTTAGAGGACCGGATTGAAGCAAGACGTCAGGGGCTATCAGAAGAGCCTCTGGGTGATTGGTGCTGGTTTAATGGTATTTAATGGGTGTTGAATGTTGGATGAACAATGTGTGGGGATATAATGGGGATATTTGATGAGATAAAAAACAAATGTATAGTGCAATCTAACCAACTAAGACTTAAGAGAATCATTATATTGACATCATTGTTTTCCGTGATGCAAACCGATTGCGGGAAATCATCCTCAAATGGTTGTATGATAACAGCTATATACCAGTATTTTCCGGTTTGTGAATTGCAAAGTTCAATCAGGTATCATAGGGATGTAATTGATATTGTATAATGGCAATTGTCATGGTTGTTTCGTGCCCCGGCTCTCAAAAATAGTCTGTTCATTTGAAATTGCCTCTCAAAAAGTCCGTTCGTCCCAAGTTGGCACCTTTTCGCAATTGTGTCGGATACTTTGGTAGCTACACATCAGACATCAATTGATGTGTTTATATACTACACATGAAAGTTTAGGTTTTTAGATTTTGACGTCAAACTAGACCATGTTTGGATACCTCATGTTTTTAAAACCGCCGAAAAAACATGTAGATCATCGCAGCAACATTTTGGCTGCCAGGGCGATCCAATCCTGTGAAGTCCATTGGCAAGCGAACAGTGCACATATTTTAGTACTTCGACGGAGATACAGGAGTTACATAGTTACAACATGTTACAACATGTTGCAAACTTGATGGGCAATCACTAATCTCGACCCCAGGTGAATCTCGGTGATTTTTTGATAAAATTGGTTTTGAAATTCAAGTTGGTAAGGCCTCAACAAAATTGCCCAAGTGGAATGGATTTGGTAAGATGTTGGGTATCCATGTATATCCCCACACATGCATGAAAAAAACAATGAAATAAAATGAATGAAAATGACGATGAACAGAAATTAATTAAGGAATGCATTGATTGACCATAAAAATAATAACAATAATAATAGTAACAATAATAATAATTTATATTATACATTGTTATTGGTACCCCACATGACATCCCACTATGGCATCATTTTTGCTGTTCAAATCCCAATCCAAAAACCAATTACATCCCTACAATATCATTGTAATTTCCCCTTTTTGAACATTGCCATTTGCTGGTTAGATCATATAGAATATGAGTTTATACAACCCACGTACCACATTATTTTTAGTAAGATAGCACGAGGACGTTCCTGGTACTTAAACACAATGTTGGTCCAGTGTTTAAGCAAGTGTTTTTGATGATGGATTTTGAACCACTGTCTAAATTCACGACTTGTTGTTCTCTGCATAGGGTTTGATCATCAAACATCCCCAACCTTGGATGGGTAGTTTAATCCTTTGGTTTTTTGCCATAAATGGCAGGTCTTTTCAGCTTTCAATGAGACACCCTTTGACAAAGTGCCACTTGGTGCCACATACCAACGGGCAGTTGTGGTGATTTTTTGGGTACAGGCATGGTGGTTACCTTCATGAGGTGGGATATAACTCCTGTAATTTTTGTTATATCAGTTATATGTCCACTTATTGGTGGAACCCCGCACACAAAAATGGTGAGCAGGCTGATGCTGGTCTTTGAAGGTGCATTGTTTTCTTCATCGACACAATCATGGGCCTCTACCAGGTGTAGCTGGGTTTGCAATGCTATTAAAATGTTTATCTGGCTGGTGTATATGTCTCTAGTGTTTTTTTTCCTCATCCTATTCTGCGGTTCCATTTATATCTTCTAATATCTTCTACTTGAATTTACATTCTACTTGAGTTTTACCATTACCAATTACCAATAAATAAACATATATATATAATCAAATATTACCAATTTCCGATTACCTGAGCAAGTGTTTTTATAATCCATCACCAAATGCCGGAAGAATTCGACATGGACGCTCAGATTTGATCACAGACTTTGCATCAATTTGCACTATGTTTGCCTGTCAGTCAAAGATTATATATTCACCAGGTAAGTTTAATATCTTATACACATAATGCTGTATGTATATATATATATGTAATTATGATATATGTATGTAATTATTAGCAAATATTATTTATATATATATATCATATATATATATATATCATATATATATATCATATATATATCATATATATATATATATAACATATATATATACATGTCTTATACAAATATATAACATATATATATATATGTCATAAAGAAATATATAACATATATGTATATATATATATATATATGTCATGTATCATATATATATAGCATGGAACCGTACATTAGATTATGATCAGTTATATATACACCATATGGCGTATTTATATATATTTACATATATTTACAGGATTGCACCTGCACTACACTTGTGATAACGGTTCATCATGCAGAAGAGGCCTGATACAGTAGTTTTAGTAGTTGCACCTGATCCGCACATCCCCAGATGTCATCAACACGTGATCCACACATCTCCAGATGCCCAATTAAGGCGGGTCGTCATCATAGGCCGGAATGTTCTGGTGGGGCAGACTGAAAGGATGAGGTATCAAGTGATGCGTCAATTTTCAGGGTGTCAAAAAAAGTTGATACCGCCAATTCATAGCAAACTTTAACCATTTGAGTATATATTGAAACAACCGTGGTTGCGTGTTTTTTTGGGTTCCCAATTTTCAGAACCCCCTACTAGCGTTGGACATCCCAAGCCTTACATAAAGCCTTGGCATCACCGGTGTCCAGAGTCCAGTTGATTCGTCAAATGGTGCTTTGAACAAAGTGGATTCTTCTGCGTTTCTGATTTCTGGATCCATGTACTGCGAGAATCTTAGATATCTTTAGGGTGTACATACCCTAAAATGAATATAGAGCAAGTAGAAATTCAAACCCTACTGGTGACTTGGGGTTAAATATGGGGCCACGTTTGGAATACCTTTTCTGTAGAGTTCGTCAAACGATATGGAATGGCCTAATAAGATACTTATTTCAACGGATTGGATGAAAGGAACACTTCCAATAAACCATCATATTTCCTGGGAAGTGACATAAAATAAGTTTGTAAACCCAATGGTAAACCAACCATTTTTTACTCACTTACTAGTGAGGTGATTTTGCATCATCCAGTATACCTCTATTGGGGATGGTTTCCAGTATCTTTTGTTTTTTTGCAGTCAAATACATTTATGTATTATGTATGTAAATATATATATATATGTGTGTGTGTCTATCTCACTGTTGCTTAAGTGGTTTATTATAATTGTCCCTATTCAACTGCCAAAACTCGGGAGTTTGTCACGCACATGTGTCCCATTTTCCCACGAAGGATCCTTCGGCAATCAAACATGGTAGTTAGAAAATCCCTCATTTATAGATGATTGTCTTGTTAAAACCACCATTTACAAGGAGATGTTATTTTCCATTTGAGGGTATCAATATGAATTATCCATAATTATCCAACAGAAGTCCGTCCTCACGCATGTTACTTTGGCAAAAGGATGGGTTGTAAGCTGTTCAAGTTGTTACCCTCTGGTAAGCTAACATAAGTATGGAAAATCACCATTGGCCATAGGCAAATCCACGAACTCAATGGCCATTTTCAATAGCTATGCGCATCAAATTCCCAGATGGTATTGGGTTTGTCTGAACATATGCTACCTCTAAATCCATTGGTTAATCATCATCATAATGTGCCCTATTTTTCATGACGTTTCATGACCATTTAGAAGGTATGCCGGTATGCCTTACCCTCTGGTAATTTAACATAGCTATTGAAAATGGTGATTTATAGTGGATTTTCCCATTAAAAATGGTGATTTTCCATAGTTATGTTAGTTTACCAGAGGGTAGTTTTTATTCAACTAACAATTCATCCACCACGAGTCCTGCAGGCCAGGATCCCTACCATGAGCCCGGCCAAGCACATGGCATGTGTTTCAGCGTGCGGCCGGGGATTAAGACACCACCGAGCCTGGCGAACATCTACAAGGCGCCCGTAAAACAATGCCATAAACCACCCTGTTGGGAATAGCAACCATACAATCCCACTATATAGTCGTTTATGATCCACATGTATATATATAATTATATATATATATAAGCCATATGATGTGGGTAAAACAATAATACACCACCTATGACTGGGAATGGTAAGCATACCACCTATAAAGAATGATTAACCATGGTGATGATTGGGGAATGGTTTACGATTGTTTACCCACATGAGGAAAATTGTGAGTTTCACCGTCACCAGGGTAAGATTTGGGTTTCAAGCAAGGAAAGTTTGGTTTTGAAGCAAGGAAACATGCGATTTCAGGAAAAAGTGTGGAGATGAAACGAAAACACAAGCTTGTGTTTTTTCACTATGACAGGTGATCAATCTGGTAAAGACAGCTCATCGGAGACGGCTTATGGTAAAAATGGGAACTTGCTTCAATGGTTTATCCCTACTAGCAATATTTGTGATGGAGATATTCTATACCATTGGATGGCTTTATCGACTTAGAACTAAAGTCGGCCCCACTTTGTAGGTGATCGCGGGTTGATATGTATTGATATGTAGTATGGCATGTCTTAATACTAAAATGATCTAAAATTGCCAGTTGGGTCTTGATAATGTGAGAAATCGCATAATCCACCATTTTCCTTGTGATATTGGGGACGGTTTATGGCATTGGCTTTACCTTACATTACACTCTCTTTGATATTCCCAAACGCTTAAAAATCTGGGGATTTGCCGGGGATGACTGCTGGATTTGAGCTGGACAACGAGCTGTAGAACTGACAGCTCAGTACAAAGACCCAAGACCCTCCAATGATACATTTATTTGTGTATCGATTTTATTTTGCTCGTGCTGTGGATTTTCGCGGGTTTGCAAAAAACTGCTCTTTTGCAGAAAAAAGGCTCGAGGGGGTTCATTCCTTCCCCATTGTCAGTTGGATTTGTTACAGTTTTTGAATTTGCGGGTTTTTGCACTTTTTTGCGGATATTTGCGGCTTTTTTTGCGCAAATTTTCGCTCGAACTAGTGTCGCATCAAAGCAAACAATTCCTGTTTTCAGTCTAGCTCGGGTAGCCAAGAGAAAATAGATCGAACTCAGGAAAATTGCTCGGATCAGAAATTCACGCTACGAACTGGAAAAAGTGTATCGAGTTGTCGATTTCTGTATCGAATGACCATAGGGGATATTCCATTAATCTCTGCTGGAATTGTAGGAATTGTGCAGTCCATGAAACCAAAGATTGGAATCCTCGCCTATGACCTCGCTTGGGGGTTTACCCTTATAGATTTCCACGATGGCAACAAAATTATATGTTAAATCACACATAGTTGGGCAACGACAATTTTGTGGTAGTCCCTGCTTCCGCACAAACCAACACATCTTATTGTTGGTTATATATCCTGATTTATCCCATTATATATAATTATATATATATATGTATACATATATATATATATATATGCACTGTATATCTTAATATGTGTTTGGTTGATAGTTAAATCCCTTTGTTTCACCACCATTGCTGGTTATATCATGTTACATCCCCGTTTTGCTAAATGGCAAAATGGTGGAACCAAATCAACTAGTGATGTATTTTCTGATATGTTCTGTAGGCGGTTACTGACCATACCCACCCCCCTCCTCACCTGTGTTTTTTTTCGGGAGGAGCTGGAGATAGATATCCCTGGCTTTCAGAGTCCTGGGCATGGTGTCTTGGAAGAAAAATGCCGCAGAGAGTTTCCATTTTCTTTCGGAAATCTCTGTGGAGGGTAGGTTTTACCAGGAGAGGTGTCCACCACTTTCGCAACTGCAGATATTTCTCTGAAAATATGGTACCCCAAAATCCAACGGTCATCATTTTTCCGAAAAAAGTGGATAGTTGGGGTACATTTTCAGGCACACCGAAATGTCAACGATAACGCTAGTTATATTTGTTCAAAAGCAACTTATCGTAGGTGATTGACTTTCAGGTCGTAGGTGATTGACTTTCAGCTATCAGTGGGTTGAATATGGATGTCATATATAATGCTAGTAAAACAACTGTAAACCATGGGGATGGGAATCAGTTAGTGCCTCTCCAAATGACCCACATATCTGTTGCTGTTGCGGATTGATGTTGGTCTTATATCTGTGTATCTACATATGTATCTCGTACCTAGTTTATTTTCCTGTCGATCTACCAATCCATCCATTTATCTACCTATACTAAATTTATCTATCGATCTATCCGTACTATATTTACATATATGCATGTCTAGAAGTTGCCAGGGTATTCAACCCTGCAGATGTTGGAGACCTGTGCTGTATAGGAATTCTATCAAGGGATGATCTCCAAAAATGGATTCGCCAGCAGCAGCTCAAGCCGGCCATGCTACGGAGAGGTTCCCAGGGCGAACGGCCATTAGTGGGTATCTATGTTCAGACACATCCGAATATCATGAATAGTTGGTTGCAGTAATGATAGTTATTCTAACATAATTATCCTGGAAAGCCATACTCCCGTTTTTGTCATTACGGTTTTGATCGTCTGGAAACCACTTGTGTGAGAGTTGCCACGGTTTTTTACGGCCTTTGTTCAACAAAATGTCGAAAACATACGGTTTTGCTACGTGTAGGACCAGTTAGTGTATCCATTAAATTAAATCAGCATTAACATTACATTCAACCACTATGAGACCCCATACAGCTGGTGAAGCTAGATTCGATTATTCCCTTTTGACATCCCAGCAAAGAAAAATCACAGTTTAGCCACTGTAAATGCTTCAACTCCACAAAGATCCTGGTCCCATATTATCCCAAGTTGGTTCGTTATATCCTGTTACACTGTTTCTCTCTATGGAAATCCTAGTTTAGCGAAGTAAATCCCCGGATCAGCAAGTCCAAGAACATATCAGATGGTTGGTTAGTTACATACATATTTATATATAATGCAATATAATGCAATATAATAGAATATAATATATATATATATATATAATAATATAGTAAAATATAGTATAATATAGTATAATATAGTATAATATGATATAATCAAAATATAACATAATATAGAATAATATGTCATAATAATATATAATATTAATATGATTTAATATAGTTTACTATAAGATAAGATAATATCATCTGAAATTAATGTATAGGTATAATATATACATACATATATATTATAGATTATACTCTATTGTATCCCAATGATATTCCAACTCAACACCCATTATTGTTAGATTTTATGGCCATGCCCCACATGTCGTAAGGTTTCAAAAAAATATTCCCAAGTTTCTGATGATTTTCCAATGAATATCTCCCTTTGTCACTTGTAAATACCATAAATTCCATGTAACCCATGATCTATCTCCGTCTCCAAGCTGTTCTGTTTGGAGGATCATCCACGCGATTCAGAACTGGTTAATAACCCTGGTGATGGAAAAATCCACATTAACATTCAGTGGAGTTATCCCATATGTATTTACAGTCAGTATTTATATATATACATAAAAAAACAGTATATATATATAAACCGTATATAAACAGTATATAAACAGTATATAACCAGTATATAAGCAGTATATAAACAGTATATAAACTGTATATAAACTGTATATATATATACAATTATAAGCAGTATATATATAAGCAGTATGTATATATATATATATACTGTATATATATATATGCAGTAAAACACATATATATAAGCGTATATATATATATATATATATATAAGCAGTAAATATATATATATATAGATATATATACAGTATATATATATATACATGAGCTACAGCCAAAATTTAGATTAATGGAGAGTGAGTAGTATTCGAGATATCTTTACTTTTTGGAAATTGAGCTGGGGCTTGGAAAACGATCATACACTCTTCAAAAAACGATTGCATTTGCTTATATACCAAAACCTGTAACGATAATACACTCTTCAAAAATTGATGACTTGGAGCAAAAAAACAAATATTGACCGTGGCCCATATATATATATTTATTTATTTATATTTATATTTATATAAATATACATATATATATATGGTTTTTAAATATGTCTAACCATTTACCAAGTGGGATCCATCGTTAAAACTCCGACAAACAACGGCGACGAAGTCCATGAGGACCGTGGGATCCTCCGAGGCTATCTGCTCTCCTGGGCGCAGCAGGGGGTGCTGCTGCTGAATGCCACCTTGACCGTGCGCGAGGGGCACAAGGAGGCACGGTTCATGGGGGCAGGGGAGAACTTAAGGGGTGTTTCGGAGGTTCCCCATACGCTTGGTTTGTTTTGATATATGTAAGAACATGACTAAATCTCAATGTGTCCCAATAAAAAAAGTGTTCATATATGTTTAAGATGGTTTAACATGACTAAACCTTGGACAGTTTGGGTTTGAGGAGTTTAATGTTATAGCTTACCCTCCCGTTGTCAGCTCCATGGTTTGCTTGAAAATCAGCAATTTAATCATTTAGTTCTATGACAATTTCCCAGCGTTTTGAACCCAGCGTTTTGAACCTCCATTTTAGATCATTTTAGTTGATGGTTTACTGCCACTTTTGATTACCAGAGGGTGACGGGTCGTTGTTGGTGGTTTTTTCATGGAAAAAAACGATCTTTTTGGGTGGCTAACTTGGATTTCATGGTGATTTAATGGAGAAACCAACACCATCCAGCAATCATCTATATATATAATATACATATTTGGATCATCCTTGGCCAAGACTGGATAGAAATAGATCAAGTATATATAGATGTCATTTGTTCTGGGTTAAAGCCGTTAAAACCAATGTTTTTACAAGGAGTTTGCTGGGACACCACCTGGTTAGGAAACTGACTGTGTGCAAGTAGACCTGTGCGGCAGCTGGGCGGAGAGCATCCCCAAGCAGGTTGTGAAATCCCCAGAATATGTCAACCCCCAAATCATGATTTGGGATTGTCATATTTCAATACCATTGGCCACGATGAAAATCAAACCAAAATAAGTTTTGGCCATAAATAGCTTAAGTAGGGTTTTCCAGCTTTTATCGTGGATAGAACATAGTGAAATGGGTAGTCCCTGGTAATTTAACATAGCTATGCAAACCATGGCCCATTTAGTTCGAAGAAACATATGATTCCATGACTATGTTCAATTACCAGCGGCTACTGGGGTCAACTCAAGAATCATATCGAGTTGGTTAGTTATATCCTATTAGTTATCATGTAAAAAGATGTTGGTTTATGGTAGATAAATGGATAAATATATATAATAAGAGATGTTGGTCCAAGTTATGTGCGTCACTTTTTGCTTCTTGGGGGCCCCAGCAATTAATCTAGCAATGTACTAATTTTGGGAGATGTTCAGGTAAGTTTCCCAAATGAGGAATAATCAGGTGATAATCCACTGACTTTCCTGTTGTGATGTTTGGTAATTTTCAGGTCATAATTCACTGATCCCTAGATCCAATGAACAACGCCGTTGAATATATTTGAATATCCGATGAACCCATCATTTCACGTTTGGACGGGGACATCCGGGCTGGCGCTTAGCAAACGCACCAGGCCAACTCTCATGCGTCCTGCGGTTGGCAACGCTTCACCGACGAGGTCATCAAAGCCTTGAACGAGAAGCGAGAAGGCCGAAGAATTTCACGGGGAAATCGACTTGTCTTCGGTAGAACCACCAATTTTCATGGTAACATCGAACTAAATCATTTTCCATATTTATTGTTAGTTGGAGTATACTTAGTGCCTCATCCCACTTACCAAGCAGGTTAGTTCACACCAGTTTTTTTCGGTGGATGAAAAGCCTCCTTATCCTACTGGATGAACCAGAGATATAACCAGTGGATTCGTGGATGTTGTTCGGCACAAAGCTAAATATGGATCTGGGTCAAGCCATTTGAGACCTGGACCACAGATTTGAGACCATAAATATCGTATTGACATGTGGTGGTGGGTCAAAACCTATTATTATCAATTCTAATGGGATGAACATTCATTTACCAGCTATTTTGATGTTCACCAGGGGTACAAGGTTTTGACACACTGCCATGTATTAACAATCTTAAAAATTTGGGTACCCAATGACTTGACCCAAAAAAAGAAGACACATACCCTCCAGTACTCGCTGCTAGCTGGAGAATCCACAATTTGTCGATGGTTTTCCCAAGTATAAACATCCTTTTGTATCCTTTGGTAGGGATTTTCCAGCCAGCCACGTTTGATTACCAGATGGTAACTGCACAACCTTGGAACCTTGAGTTTTTGTTCAAACAAATATTGGATTTCAATAGGGATTACATAGTATATAACCACCATTGACCAACTATATGTGGGGCTTAATGCTGGTTTAATGGGATGGTGATCGTTATTTAACAGGAAAGCCATCGATTTTATGGGATATGATAGAACTAACCAACTATATTATATATATAGGGGTTTGTCTGGAAATTTGGTTTACTTTATATATATATAATATTTTACTATGATATGTATATATATATTGGTTTGTCTGGAAATTAGGTATACTCTATTATATTTAATATAATATATATATATGGGTTTGTCAGGAAATTAGGTATACTCTATTATATATATAATATAATATAATATTATATATATATATGGGTTTGTCTGGAAATTAGGTATACTCTATTATATATATAATATAATTTAATAATATATATATAATATTATAATATATATATATGGGTTTGTTTGGAAATTAGGTATACTCTCTCTCTCTATATATATATATTTATAATATATGATATTATGTATAATATAATATATTATATATATTTTGGCATTGCAGGTCATTTTGAGAGGGACACAACGATTTGGTGGTTCACCCCTGGATCCTCAGTCATTGCATCTCAACTGGGCGCCACTACCCTCTGGTCCACCATGGTCAACCACGGGAAAAGCATGGGAAAACCATGGGAAAATGGTGATTCATATGGAAAGATCCACCATTTTGAATAGGTAAATCAACTATGTCTATTTCCCCACCTGCCAGGTGAGGGTTGTTAGATTTTATGTCAGTTGCCTCCTCCTCCTCCTCCTGCCTCGTCCTCCTCTCGTCCTCCTCTCCTCCTCCTCCTCTCCTCCTCGTCCTCCTCGTCCTCCTTGTCATCCTTGTCATCCTTGTCGTCCTCTCGTTGTCCTCGTCGTCCTCGTTGTCCTCCTCGTCCTCCTGCTCAACTGCGACTCGCGATCCACAGTGTTCGCTGCCGGACCTCAACCACGACCATCCACGCCCAGTGTTCCCTGCCGGACCTCAACCACGGCCATCCACGCCCAGTGGTCCCTGCCGGACCTCAACCACGGCCATCCACGCCCAGTGTTCCCTGCCGGACCTCCACCGCGAGTATCCATGCCAAGTGTTCCCTGCCGGACCGCATGTAGGAAGATAAAATGTCAGATAGAGTGCCAGAAGATTTGCCAGGTAGAATGCCAGAAAATATGCCAGAAGATATGCCAGATAGATATGCCAGAAGATATTCCAGAAGATATGCCAGATAGAATGCCAGATAGAATGCCAGATAGAATGCCAGATAGAATGCCAGAAGATATGTCAGAATATATGCCAGAAGATATGCCAGATAGAATGCCAGAAGATACCTTCTATCTGACATTCTATCTGGCAAACCTTCTGGCATTCTATCTGGCATATCTTCTGGCATTCTATCTGACATATCTTCTGGCATTCTATCTGGCATTCTATCTGGCATATCTCCTGGAATATCTTCTGACATATCTTCTGGCATTATATCTGGCATATCTTCTGGCATTCTATCTGACATTCTATCTGGCATATCTTCTGGCATTCTATGTGGCAGATCTTCTGGCATTATATCTGGCATATCTTCTGGCATTCTATCTGGCATACCTTCTGGCATTCTATCTGGCATTCTATCTGGCATATCTTCTGGAATATCTTCTGGCATATCTATCTGGCATATCTTCGGCATATTTTCTGGCATTCTACCTGGCAAATCTTTCCCTGCCGGACCTCATGTAGGAAGATATGGGACAAAGAATGTGCAGAAGAAAGTTAGAAAGAATGTCAGACAAGTATGTGATATATTACTTGCGAACTTGCAGGTGTGTGGTAGTGTGATCGGGGCAATGCCACTTCTGACTTTGCGGGTGGCAAAGTTTGAAGCAATCAGTTTGAACAGATGACAGAGTCACTGGGGTGGACAGAGACATTTCCATTTCTTTACCTTTGGAGCTGTTTGCAAAGACGCTTGAGACAGGCAACATCTTACAGCAAGTTACTACAAATTACTTGAATGGATCTCATGCTGGATTGATGCTTGAGACAGTCAACATCACACATAGTTTCTATTGTGTATCACAGCTATGGTAGCATGGTGGATATGTGACATCGGAACATTTGTTGGAGCATTTGAGCCCTCATCTACTCGATCGCGGGCCAGAGGCAGGATGGACATCATCATAGAAGCATTCAGCAGGAGGAGGTTATGTGATCAGTAGTGTCTTCTTGCGTGTTTTTGTTTGCTTGGCAGGTGATGGCAGAGGGTGACCAATCTGCGAGTGCTGCGCAGGCGAGGAGTTTGAGTGGAAGTAAGCACATTGGCCAGTGGCTGCTTTCAAAAGTGTTGGATAAGTGATTTGGAAAGCAGCTTGTGCTTTGGGACCTTGCGCAACAGCCGACGCGAGCTCAAGCACAAGCAGAAACGTGAATAAGATAATAGTGCTCAAAGGATAGGGAGATGAAGCGCTTGAGAATATAAATGTAGTAGGTGTATCTCTTCGAAATGTTTCAGTGAGAAAGAGTGGAGAAGTTACATACGATCTAGATATTTAGATGTCGCTTGACACTGCAAGATGGACACTGTCTTTTTGCACTTGGGAAGTTTGAACACATTGGGACTGAACTGGTTTTGACCGGGAAGGTCTTGTGTTTCAAGAGCCATGGCAAAGAGATCATGGCCATTTGGTGTCACGAGTTGGGATGACACTGTGAAATTTGCGCAGCTTTTGTTTGGTGTAGACGTTGCCTTTGAGAACTATGCAGAGAGATTGCCGCATAGATCGAATAAATCCTTCTTGCTATTCGCCAAAGGCGCTAGTGCTGAGGGAAGGCCCTTCTTCGAGATTGGAGATTTCATTGCGCCACAGCTAGAAGAGAATCAACGTTGGGAAGAAAATGTTCGCAACAACAATGCTCGCCCAACGAAATCGCAGCAGATGCTGAATGCTGACGGATGGACTGTGTACTACTGGAGTGCGCAGGTGACGCGTGCTCCGTGTCTGTGTCGCTCCATCTTTGGAGCTGACGCTCACCAGAAACACGTGCCAACTTCATCGGCCATGTGGAAAGCTGGAAGCAGATTTGAGAAATTATGGGACGCCACATTGATGAAGAACTATGAAGCTTTTCAGAATCGAGACCTGCGTCCCACTTGGCTTGACAAGTCGTGGCAGGTGTTGTGGAACTGGAATGATCACAACAAAAATCATGGAATCAGCCCTCATTCAGATGAGTCTGCCACCTACAGCAATGTTGATCCGATCACGTCCTTTTCCTTTGGGCATGGGGGTGTGTTGACCTTGGGCCCCAAAAAAGGTCCAGTGACAAGGATGTTGTTCCAAGAAGGCGGTGACGCTTTGGTGATGGCAGGAGACTTCCAAGCAGAGTTTTGCCATGGTGTGCCGGCGCGCTCCACTTGGAAAGACTTGAAGTTGCTTCCTATGTTCGCTACAATGCAAGAGTGGGAGAAAGTGTGGCTGCAGCAGGAAATTGCTTTGCATGAAGGTGCTGAGCCAGAAGCCAAGCATGTCCGTATGAATTGCACGGTCCGCTGGCACAGCACACATTGGGCTGGATGTCCGGTGCGGGGGCAGGAAGGTCATGGGACTCAACCGGTTTCGACTGGAGCTGTCCAGACGTCTTCAAGCTCTTTGGCGCCTGGCGAAGACCCTGTGAATGTTTCTGCTGGAGCTGCGGCAAGTATCCAAGGGACTCAACTGGTTGTGACCGGGGCTGTCCGGGTGCCTGCTGCAAGCGTGGTGGATCCAAAGCAGTCGCTTCTTTTCACTGGCATTAAGAAGCGAGGTGTGGAAGAAGAGGCAATGCCCTCTGTCAGCACAGTGAAAACATCTCGTTCGGGTGAAGACTTGCTGCTGGAGCGCTCGGATGAGACAATTAAGATTCTACTGGATTGTATTGAAGCATGCGTGCGACAGAATGATCTGTTTAGGTTGGCCGTTACCAGCACTCCATTGGTCGCAGCCACACAGGTGCATGCTGAGATGTTGGCGAAGATTGATGAAAATGTGAAAAAATTGAGGGCCCGGCTTCTGGCGGCATCAGAAGCCGTTGAAGCATGTTCGCGTTGTCGAGTTGACCGAGTTCAGTTCCAGTCGCTGAACCTGATGGAGCTGGCAGCGCAGCAGCGCAGAATGATTCACAGGGACCTTGGCAATTTCTACACTGTTGAAAATTCGTCGTGGCTGATAGAAACAAGAATCAAACCCCAACAAAATTGTATGAACGAAGAGATGCAGTATCGCAAGTGTTTGCTTTTGCATCGTCAACTGGAGTTACTTCTGGAAACTTTGAGCGAAACAATGATGAAGGAGTATAAGGAGATTGCCTTTGACTTGCGCAGCTTACAGCGTGAGGTTCTTCCATCGAAGTTGACCTGTGCAAAGAGGCACCAACAGGCGAAGCAACATCAAAATGAAGATTTGGGGTTGGATGTGTATGAGTTTGCTTCTGATTCAGTGCTCTTGGTGAAAGCTTTGGAGGTTGGTCACTTATTGGACATTGACAAGGCCACGCGCCTTCAGACTGTAACAGGTGCGTGGCAGAAGTTGCTGTCAGTCATGTCCGTTGGTGAGATCGTGCATAGCCTGAAACAAGGGCTCTGGACACTGCTGCAGCATTTGCGCACGATGGATGTTGACAGACACTTTTGTGATCGGACCTCTGGGGAATTAGCGAGCAAAAATTATGACATTTGGGTTTGGATGACGAAGGTCACGCCTTGAGCTGGTACAGCCTTTGGGCTTCAAATGTGAACCTGTGGCCCAGGAGGATATGTTTACAGCTGTGTCTTTTGCAGCTGCAGCCAGTACCCAAGGGACTCAACATGTGTTTTCGATATGTCGTCTGGGTGCATGCTGCCAGTGCGAAGATCCAACCAGACTGCTGATGTGTGTGAAAAACAAACGCTGCAACGCCAAAGGAGCCATGGCAAAGAGATCATGGCCATTTGGTGTCACGAGTTGGGATGACATAGTGAAGTTGCCTAGGTGAATCGGATATGTTTCGAGGAATGGACACTAAGAAGTCATGTGGAATTTGGTTTGGCTGAAACATAGTTTGTCTGAAACAAAGAATTTGGTTTGCAAGTTCTTTGTCGATTCAATTTCACAAGATATTGGTCTGCTGAATACAGATTGATTGGCGGGATGTTCACTAATGATTTCGTCTGTCGCTTTGCCAGGTACATGCGTGGCATGGCAATGGAAGAGGTCATGCTCAGGAGCTTTACTGTGGGCATGTGGGAGTGGTTGAGTTTTGACAGTGAAGAGATGGGATTGTGTGTGGAGATATGTTGTGAGAAATGGTCACGAAATGAGTGACTTTTAGCAGCATTAATGCAGCAGTGCGTATTGGCTCAACTCTTGCTGTAAGGGACTGAAGTTTGCTTTTCTTCGTCAAGCCATGTCGGAGCCTGTTTCTATCACAGGCTTGGTTGTGGCGTCTGAGCGTCCAGAGACAATTTTCATTGGCACCCGGAGCCGATTTCGCAAAGGAGCTGGGCATGTGTGGCGCTACCAGTTGAGTTCTGTCGGTTCTCAGCGCATCTACGTATGCCTCCAGCCACCGAGCACTACACATGCAAACGATGTGATGTTCACAATTGATTGGCGGGGGAGGCATAGGCCTGACACGTTGCTCTACCTGTGGGACCTAATCGGTTTTGATTGAAGAGGCCTGGTGGAGAAATAGAGAGTTGCAGCTGCAGCGATCTGATGAAGTAACACTGACATGGTTTTGTCGAGTTTACACGTGAGCTTGCGAGCCTTTGACTTTGGTTCAGGGGTCCACTGGCTTGGTTCAGTCATGTTTGTACAAACATGTTTGACAGGCGGCGTGCTGACATGTTTGGGCATGTTTGTTTGTTTGGCTCAGGTGGTCCACTGGCCTGTTTGGTCATGTTTAAACAAACCTGTTGAGAGCTCTGGAGTTTACTTCACATGGTCCACTGACATGTTTATATCCTGTTTGACAGTCTGACCTGTACAATGACCTGCCAGGTGAAACAAATGATTGGGATAGTTAGTTGGGCAAAAGTCCCGTGACAAAAGCTTCAGACAAAAGTGGTGTCAACAAGCTGTTTTGAAATGTCATGGTGGGGATCACTCGAAGTAAAGTAATTTTTCTATGGGGTATGTTGAAGTTCGCAAACTGTAACAGTCATTACCAGAGGGTAGCCACTTGTACTGCTGGTGGTGCCGCCTACTTTCCATGACAGGAGACCATGGAATCTCACCGAGCTGGTAAGTCAACCTTCGGAAACGTCGGAAAGATTGCCACAATGTGGAACCCACCGGTGATGTTTGTTGGTTTATAAACCCCATGAACTGTAGTTATTTGCGTATCATAAATCCTAGTTATTAACAATTGAAGTTATGTTCACCAACTTAGCTATCGTTTGGGGGCCTCACATTGCTAGGAATATGGGTTCAATTTTAGGCGATTCTGGAAAAAATGGGCATCCATACCATCCTACCTTGCATCTATTCAACTTGCGGCCCGCCTTGTATGAACGCACCATGTCTACTTGGTGGTGAACTACCCACGAATCCTAAGTGGGTCAAAAAGGCTTAGTTGTAAGTGGATTAACCCTACTTATCCCACGCAAATAACCATGTTTATGACCCACTTACCCACCAAGTACGTCCCCAGCAACCAGCATTGTCAAAGAGATGGATTTTCCCAGAAACATCCCCTGGAACCCATGGCTGGCTCGACGGCTCCTCCCGCAAGGTGTGGTGTTCTTGCTTTGGGGCAACTTCGCACAGAAAAAGGCGGCTGATCTTTGAGAAAAGATGGTGATTTCTCTGATGGATGAAATGCCACAGTGTCCACCAACAACAAAAGCAGGGATGTAAACAAATACAAGGATATAGCCAATGTTTTTGAACAAATACAAAACACACAACAGTTCAATCTTGGGATCAGCGCTGGTGCGGCATCAACTGGGCAGAGCCTTTGCTCGCGGAGCAGCGATTGAATGGAAAGGTCCCCAGGGATCATGGTCATGAGAGAGACTTGCCTGAACCGTTGATGGCCGAGCAAAAGTACAAGAGGCGTTCACAACTTGGCAGGAAATGTCCTAGCCCGGACTGCGTGGCAACCATCAGCAGCAGCTCGGGCCTTGCCAAACACTGCAACTCTGCCGGGGGCCAAGGGTTTCCCGACGTTGTATGAGACCCACTACCTGGCATCTCAAGTATATGATTTGGAAGGTCATGGCAAGGCTGGTTCTCCATGGAACAACAGAAGTGGTGCCAATTGTTCATTGCGGCGGCCGAATGCAATCCAGCCCTCTTTAAAGATCTTTCCTTGGTGGCAAAGAATTGCAGAGCCCCGTAGGACCCATATACATATATATATATATATACATATATATATATACTGTGAAAGCCAGGCCAGTTCACATGTGCTTGAGGTCATTCTCTCATTTAACCAGGGGGTTCTTCCAGAAACCAGTTGTTGCCGCAGCCTCTGGGCTGGAGGGAGGGATTAGCTTGAGCAATAGCGCTATCAGTGACGCTTAGCGGATACAGCTGTGGCCAGCTGTGGGTGCGTTGGACTGATTGCAGGTCGTGGCTTAGCATTGGGTAAAAAGGAGCTTCAGCATTTGGACAGGGTTCCAATCTGGGTGGAAGAGTTGAAGTGATCAAGCTACCAGTGTCAATCTGACATTGGTAGCGGAGCTACCTGGCGATCAGGCGCCACAGAATTCATGGCTGAATCATCTGGAGGACAGACTGGAACTGATCGGGGTGGAACCATCTCGAATCAGCTTGCTCTGTTAGTGCCTTCGTTTGATCCTGCAAGTGACAATGTGGACATTTGGTCCAGCAAGGTTCATCTACTGCTTGAAGCATGGCCCCAGACCAAAATCTTGGAGCTCATCACCCGACTGATCCTCAACACAAAGGGATCAGCTTACCAGAAGCTTCATTTGCATCAAAAGGACCTCTTGGTGAATGACCGTAAAGGGGTTCAGAAACTGGTGGAATTGGTTGGGGGCACCTGGGGACAGATTCCCCTTGAGCATCGTTTTGAGTTGGTGGAAAAGGCCTTGTATCGATGTCAGCAGAAGCCTGACGAGACAGGTGACAGTTTCATCGCCCGTGTTGATGTGGTTTGGACTGAGCTTTTGACCAAGGACGTTGACATGGATCAGATTCGATCGTATGTTTTGCTTCGTGGCAGTCGCCTATCAGCTGAAGACAAAAAGCGCGTGTTGGTGGAGTCCGGAGCTGAACAAATTGGACAGAAACTGGAATGGAAGAAGGTCGTAGCAGCCATACGTATGTTAGGGTCATCTTTCTTTCAAGACTACACGGGTGCCAAACGAGAAAAGAACATGAAAACCTATGACCATTTGGCTTTCAATGTTGATGAAGTAGAAGAGGATGAAGAACATGACACGTATTGGACTGTTGATGATCCACTGGATGATGAAACCTTAGCACAGTTAGCCAATGACAATGATGAAGATGCTGCTGTGGTGGTACAGTTTGAGGACGCAGTGACAGAAGCAGTGCAGAGTGATGCAGACCTAGCTGCCTATTTTTCCTCATATCAGGAGGCACGTCGCCGCCTGACAGAACGTGCCAAATTCAGAGGGTTTTGGCCCGTGAGAAAAGGAGGGAAAAGTGGGGGCAAGAAAGGTTTTGGAAAAGGAGGCGGAAAAGGAAAGTCACTAGCACAGAGGATAGCTAATTCTACGTGCAGACTGTGCGGGAAAAAGGGTCATTGGAAGGCCGAATGTAGCCTTCGTCAATCAGCCTCATCCACTGGCCCTCCAAGTGATGGATCAACAGTTCCGATTTCCATGGCGGTCGTCGATGATGTGTCAGCAGAGATCCCACCCGAGATCTTCCATTTGCCTGAGATGAGATTTCCCGAGCCTTTGCCAGATTGTGCAGTCGCATGTTTTGGGGTAATCACGGGAAATAAACTTGGGAATAATTGGAATAATGATAAGGGTAAGAAATGGGGATTTAAATCACATGTCATGCCACGCATCCGAATGGCCCTCAGGAATGAACTGAGCATCCGTGCCAACCACCGTGATGCTGCGCAGCCAAAGTCCCATGATGTAAAGTGTCCCTCGACGTCTCACATGCATGATCCGAAAGATCACCCGGCATCCAGCGTGATTTCCCATGACATGCACTTTGCATCATCAGGTACCCATGGCATTGTTGATTTAGGTGCTTCACAGACAGTGATTGGAAGCCATCAGGTGACAGAACTTTTGCAGGGTCTTCCCGAACAGATCCGAAAGCAAGCACATCGTGCTCCATGCCATTTAGTGTTTCGATTTGGTAACCATCAAACACTGACGAGCCAACATGCACTTGTGCTCCCGATCCAAAAGGGATGGTTCCGAATTGCAGTTGTTCCAGGTCCAACACTGTCCAACACCTTTTTTACTGTCAAGTGCGTTTTTGAAACAGATTCAAGCTGTGATTGACACTGAAGAGGGAACCATGTGGAGTAAGGCCTTACGAAAGTTTCTCACCCTTGAAAGATCTCCAAAGAATCTGTTCTTAATGGATTTGAATCAACTTTGGGATGATAGTTTTTCTGGTGAATCAGGTGAGGCCTTGCATGGCTCAGACTGAAACTGACCGTGGTGCCAAAATGACAGTCAAACAGCCGCAGGGAAGCCTTAGGGGTAGTGAGCTCAACTGGACAGACCAATCACCTCCGCTAGAAAGTTCAGTCAGTTGCCATGAAACTGTTTTGAGAACCCATTTGCCGGTGAGCCCGTCACCATCATGTCCGACCGACTCAGCACTGTGTGGTCCAAAGATCAGCGCAGGACGTGACTCAACACCGGGGGAACATGACGTCCCTGGCTTTGCAGCTCAAGGAGTACAACAAGTCGCAGAAGAAGCAGATCTCTCGAGAGGTCGTGAGTGCCATGACTCTGGAAGAGTTAGCCAGCGAGAAGATCACCTTCGGAGAGTCAAAGAAGGGTATGACCTATGCTCAGGCGTTCGAGGACGCCCAATGGACCGAGTTCATTTTGAACAGGTTCGAGATGAGCGACAAACCAGAGCACATGATGTTTGTGCAGTATGTCCGTCTGCGCCTGAAGGATGTCCAGGTGAAGACCAAAACCAGCAACCAGAGCACCAAGCCGAAAGAGAACAAGAGCATGCCTCCCGTTCCACAGGAGGTTTGGGAAGATGTCATGCCCACGGACGGCTCAGATACAGCCGACCTGATGCACCTGCCCTTCATTCAGGAGGAGATGCAAGATCTACGACAGAGCAACCAGCATCTGTCCAATCGAATGGGACAAGTCGAGATGATGATGCACGAGATGCTGGAGCACATGAAGAAGATGCAGGTGAAATCCGAGAACTGAGAGTTCTGAGTGCAACTGAGGCTGATCTGATCCGGCATGGTATGTTTGCAGAAGAGATGCATTTGAACATGACCCTGGACACAGACTTTGACTTCACACATGATGTTTCCAACAACAGTTATCACCGACGAATCCAACGTATGGTAAAACAATTTCAATCTGAACTTGACCAAGTGATTCAACAAAATCAGAAGAACAAGTTTCAACTTCCTCAACTTGATTTGTTTGAAGTCATGTGTTCCAGTGACAGTGAACTCACAAAGCAAATGTCGTCCATTGGTGGTCGCTCCAAAAGATTCGGATTGGCAGAAGGTGACCTCCAAACAGCTGCAGGACGCCGAAGAATGTTTCACGTGTTGACCACCCAGAATCCCAAGAATCTGTGGTACAGCCCTGAATGTGGACCCTGGGTGCGTGGACACGGTTCTGTGTGGAAACCGCCTATAGGTCTTATGGGGCGGAATAAATCACTCCATGGGTTGCATGACATTCTTCAGAAACGTCTTGCAAGCCTCTGGCAGATCAGCTTAGCCATTGTTCTGTATCGATTTCAGGTGCAGAGATCACTGCATTTTCACTTAGAACAGCCGGATGGTTCCAAGATGTTGCAGCTCCAACCACTAAGTGAAATTGGTGAACACACAATGCTTTGCCGCTTTGACCTCTGCCGCATGGGCAACTTGACCGATCCAGAATCAGCCATGCCCATCCGAAAGCGTTTGAACGTAGCAACAACGTCAGATCCGTTGGCCCGAGCCATCCATGGAAAGCTGTGCAATTCCGATCACGAACATCGACAAATTGCAGGAAGCATTAAACATGAGGGAAAGCGTATGTCATTGTCCACTTTTACTGAGAAGTATCCAGCCAAATTTGCTCGACAGGTAGTCAAGATCTTGCTTTATGAAGTTCCAAAGGAAAAGCCTGCGTTTGCAATGGATGACCCACCTTCTCAGGAAAATAACAATGAACACCCAACCAAGAAGAGACGCCTCATGTCAAAATTGAGTCCACAAGCCATTGCACAGCGATTTGCTGACGCCAGCTGGCAGACAGTGATGAGACGTGCCAATGTAATGGCCCCACGTGTTGGACCACTGGTGATTGACACTGGAGAAATCATTCATGAGATTTCCATGTTATGCCCTGAACATGAGATTAAACATGTGATCCTTTGTCGTGGCACAGACCGGTATCCTGGCCCTACCAGAAATGTTCCACCAGGTAGTGCTCCTCTAAGAAAACGCATTTGCATCCGTCGCAAGCATGAAGATGTGGTTGTTGATGATGAATGGGAGCCCTGGGAGAAACTGACATTTAAAGGCTTGCGTCGAAAGGGAACGCCAGCCAGAGTCAGTCTGACCATATTTGCCAAAGCCAAGACAGTTGTAGGCCAAGAGATACCTGTTTCCGAACATGTTCCAGTGCAGTCTCAATCTTCTGCCGACGTCCGTGCTGTTCGCTCTGCTGAATTCGAAGGATCAGAACCAGAATCAAAGCGACCGCGCACTCATGAGTCAATGGATGTGGCCCAAAGGGTTTCCGAACCAGAAAAGACCGAATCAATAGATCGTCATGTCATTGACCTAGCCTCTCAGAAACATGGACCACGTTTCATGATGTTGAAGCCAGAAACTCAGGCATGGCTTCTCAAAGTTCACCGAAACCTGGGCCATCCGGGAGCTATGAAATTGACAGAGTTCTGTCGACAACTGGGATGCCCCAGTGAAATTCTCCAAGCCATCGGAGACCTGAAATGTTCAACATGTGCTGAGAATCAAGATCCCAAGATAGCTCGTCCAAGTTCCATACATGACCATGGGGATTTTGGAGATGTTGTTGCAATTGATGGTATCACATGGACTAATAAGATGGGGCAACAGTATAACATCTATCATATGTTGGATCAAAGTACCTTGTATCACACTGCCGTGGTTACTCGTGCACATGATACTGAACAGGCCATGCATGCGCTTCACCAAGGGTGGATTCAATGGGCTGGACCTCCAGGTCTACTATGCATGGATGCAGGAACAGAACTGAACTCCAATGACTTCATGACATTTTTACAACGGTACTCAATTAAACATCGAACCATTGCCACAGAAGCACACTGGCAAAATTCCAGGATTGAGAGACATGGAGCCGTACTGCAAAGCATTTTGAACAAAATGGACACCGAAGAACCACTTGATTCCTTTGAAAAGGTAAGCCAAGCAACCGCTTTGGCCACTGCAACCGAAAATCAATGGAGCCGTCACAGGGGTTATCCACCAGAAGTCCTTGTGTTTGGAAAGTCAAGTAGGGTAGCCGGGTCAGTAGTTTCAGATATGCAGTTGCCTTCCCACAGTTTAGCCATTGATGATCGTCCTGAAGGTCTCCGATTTAGAGAGGAACTGGCCCTGCGAGAACGCGCACGTCGCGCCTTCACTGCCACTGACAATTGTCAGGTCCTAAGAAGAGCCCTGGTCCAAAGGAGTAGACCCAATCGGGGCAAGTATGTCCAAGGAGATCATGTCATGATGTGGCGAAAACGTGGTGAAGCTGATGGCTCTTGGATAGGTCCCCTTCGAGTTGTGTTGCAAGAAAGTTCACATGTTGTGTGGATCACCATGGGCAGCAAGCTGTATCGCGTAGCTCCGGAACACCTCCGACCGCTGTCAGCAGTTGAGGAGTGGCAACACCGATCCACAATCAATGAAAATCAATCAGGTGATTCTCCAAGTTCCACGTCACCAAATCAAAGCATTATCCCACCACATGGCGGAGTACAATATCACAATTTAATTCCCACTGAAGCACCAAGTTCAACTACCACTGCCAATAATCAAGATGTGAATCAGATTCCAATAATCCCCAATGAAGATAACCCTAATGTTTCAGTAATCCCAATAAGTGACAGTAACTCTGAACAACCTGATGGTGAACCAGTTCCCAACAACCAGGATCCCTCCGAAAATGTTGAACAGCCACCCAATCCAGTGGAAGTGCCAGTTCCAGATACGGATGATGAACTCTTTGTGGAAGCCGATCATGTTTTCCAAGTTGACAATGATCAATGCTGGAAATTAGAGATTCCCATTTGTGCTCAAGACATCACCCGCTGGCGTGAGGAAACAAAACCACAGGAAATGGCTTTCCTTGTTTCAGCAGCAAAACGACAGCGCAGTGAGGTGAAACTGTCAGATCTCACGGCTGAAGATCGCGAGCGTTTCCGGCAGGCCAAGATGAAAGAAGTGGAAAGCTGGATCAGTACCGAGACTATCACAAAAATCATGCGTAATCAGATCCCAAAAGCCAACATTCTCCGAAGCCGATGGATTTTAACTTGGAAAGAAGTTGATCCCACAGCTGATCAACCCCAACAATCCCAGAAAATGAAACCGAAGGCTAGACTAGTTGTGCTTGGTTTTGAAGATCCTGAAGTATCAGAAATTCCCCGTGATAGTCCGACAATGAATAAACTGACCCGGATGCTTCTCCTTCAGTACTGTGCCAGCCGAAAATGGGATATCCAAAGCTTCGATGTACAGACTGCATTTTTACGAGGCAGCGAGCAGAGCAATCGCGTTTTAGGCATGGAACCACCAGAAGAGATGCGACAGAAACTCAAGCTCCGTCAAGATGAAGTGGTGCAACTTCTCAAAGGTGCCTTTGGGCGTGTTGACGCACCATATCTCTGGTTTGTTGAACTGAAGAAGACCCTAGAGGAGCTGGGATTCCAAGCATCACCGTTTGATCCGTGCCTGTTCCATCTGAGTGACCCCAAGACCCAGGAGACACAAGGTCTGATTGGTGTTCATGTTGATGATGGGTTGTGTTGTGGAAATGAAACTTTTCAGAACAAGCTCAAACAACTGGAAGCCAAGTTTCCTTTTGGATCCCGTAAGATGCACAAATTTGTGTTCACTGGTTTACATGTCACGCAAGAAGCTGATTACACTATCACAGTGAACCAGTCACAGTATGTTCGGGATATTCATGCAATTTCCATCTCTCGTGATCGAAGGTGTCAACCAGACAGTGTCGTCACAGAAGAGGAACGACAAGCATTGCGAGCTCTGATAGGGAGCCTACAGTATGCAGCTGTAAACACGAGACCTGACATATGCAGCCGACTGGGTTGGCTTCAAAGTCAAACCAACAAAGCAAAAGTGTCCACATTGGTTGAAGCAAATCGAACCCTCCATGAAGCAAAACAACATTCCAATGTGGCCCTTCGAATACAATCCATACCAGTTCCTGATTTGCGGTTTGTTGCTTTTTCCGATGCCTCCTTTGCGTCAGAGAAATGCCCTGACTCACATCAGGGAATGATGATCATGTCTGCTCACAAGTGCATTGGTGAAAATAGACGCAGTCCAATCAATCCAATGGTATGGCATTCTAAGAAAATCTAGAAAGTAGCAGTCAGCACGTTGTCAGCCGAAGCAATGGCTCTGGCAGGAGCAGTGGATATGCTTTCTTGGGTGCGCCTTTTCTGGGCATGGATATGTGATCATCGCTGTGATTGGAGACAAGCTGATAGCACTCTCCTCCGACTTCCACCAGCATTTTCAGCGTTGACACCAGAACTGCCTGAGAAACAGCCGATGCCTGAAGTTGTCAAAAGAATCCTCAATGATATTCCCAAGGAACGTTCTGATTTCATTACCACTGATTGTAAATCACTCTTTGACTTAATCAACCGTAATGCTCCCCCAACTTGCACTGAATTTCGTACTCAACTTCAAGCCAAGCTGATTCGAGAACATATCCAAAATGGCATTCAGATCCGATGGGTTCCATCCGCCGCTCAAGTAGCTGATGCGTTGACAAAAGTCATGGACAATACCATGCTTAGGACATGCTTACAGCAAGGTCACTACAGTTTGCATGACGAGCATGAAATACTCAAGGCTAGATCAGATGCAAGAACCAGAATCAAATGGCTTCAAGCTCTCAATCCCGAAAGTTCAGAGCATCGGTAGTTTGTGGAAAAGCCACGCCGTCCATGTGCTATCCGATTGAAGTTTTGAAAACCCAATTTGATCTTTCGATGATGCAAGCATGGTCTCTGCCTCACAGGAGACAACTACAAGTGATGAGGTTGACATTGTCTTCAATGTCTAATCAACTGGGTATTTTTCAACATCATGTCCGTGATTGTCTTCACCATCCTGATCACCGAAGTCGTATCTGGAATGTGCACATGATGAACAAAATTTTGATAGTACGAATGTGAAAGCCAGGCCAGTTCACATGTGCTTGAGGTCATTCTCTCATTTAACCAGGGGGTTCTTCCAGAAACCAGTTGTTGCCGCAGCCTCTGGGCTGGAGGGAGGGATTAGCTTGAGCAATAGCGCTATCAGTGACGCTTAGCGGATACAGCTGTGGCCAGCTGTGGGTGCGTTGGACTGATTGCAGGTCGTGGCTTCGCATTGGGTAAAACAGGAGTTTCAGCATTTGGACAGGGTTCCAATCTGGGTGGAAGAGTTGAAGTGATCAAGCTACCAGTGTCAATCTGACAATATACATACATATATATATATATGTATATATATATATATATATCAGTGCCCTGCAGCTGTTCAATTCTGCCCCTTGGAACAGCGCTGGGTCATGGATGGGGCTGTCCCATGCTTTGGTATGGAAAGGGAAGACAATAGCGAAGATGCATGGGGATAATCACAGGACCATGGTTGTGGTGACAGAGGAGGCAGTGTGATGTTGCGATTTCAGGGAGAAAAGTAGCTAGGCATTGTTGATCCTTTAGAAAAGTAAGCTGGTTCCTGTCAGCCCATTCACGACAATCCTCCTCCACCCCCCTCATCCTCCCCCTTCATCATAGACTATTGTAATTGCAGTACATTGCAAGCACCACCGTCATCGTCATCGTCATCACCATCATAGTAATAACAATAATCATCATAATGTCCATCATGTTCACCAGCATAGTTGTTATTGTTATCTCTCTATGTTATTATTCTTATTATCGGTATTGGCTGTTGTTATCAGTGTGTTGATCGTATGTTTATTGTTTATTGTTGCTGTCATGGTTGTTATTATTTTATTATTATTATTACGATTGTCAGTAATGGTTTTACTGTCATTGTTGCTATCAGTTGTGTTATTGTTTTTTGGTAGTTATTATTGTCACTGGTGTTTATGGTTGTCATTATTGTTATTATTGTTATTGGTATAGTGGTATTGTCTGGAATTGTTGTATCAGATAGTATACCACCATGTTTGTAGCCTGATTTTTAGATCCATCACCATACTTATTTTGGTTTGACATCATCCCATTTATCAACGCAATGGCTTTATTTTTCAGAAAAAACAAAGACAAATGAACCCAACCAGCGGCGCCAGGGGAAGGTGCTGGATGCTTGGCCGGCTATGGCGATTTTAAGCTCAACCATCATGGGATGTTGGGAAGTGGGATCTATGGGATTGAGGAAGTCGGCTGGGCTGAACCAGCAACCATGCGAACAACGGGGGTTTCCTCTATCAACTGTAGGGCAGTACTTAGAGTTTTCTGGAGACAACACGTGTTATGTGTATATACGTATATATACAAATATACATATGTATATATATATATATACATGTGTGTATATATATAGAAATCGCATGTATCGTATGTTTCTCGTTATTTTAGGCAAACACACACGCACCAAACAAATTGGTTTGCATTTTGTTCTGTTTGTTTTTAGTTGGCCATGATACTAAAATGACCAGTTGCTTTGAGTTCATCGAAGGTTTTTTTCTTACATGTGGCTGGGTTGGTTTACACGAAATGAAAAAGGCCAACTCTACAGCGTTTTCCAGTCACATATGGGTATGGTTCAAAATTAGATACAACCTTGCAGGATTTTCCTTGGGTCAAATCTATACCTTGAGGAAACACGAAATCTTGTATTTTTGGGAAACACTTGAGATCCACAGGAGCTAAAGATTTGAATCCTAGCTTCAGGGGTCAGTTTGCACGGTTAGGTGCTTGTATCTTCTTATGATCGTAAGATGGTGACATGTGGCTGTTGGAAGAACTTATCCCAACATCTGCTTGCTGAAATCGGGTCCCCACCGTATTGTCGAAGCCAAAACCACAAAGCTACCTGAAACGTAATGATATATGAAACTCAAAACAACCGTCTCAAATAGTTTTGGATGACCTTGATTTGTGTGGGTTTGTCTCGAAATTGAACCCACAAATTCTAACAGCTCAGATTGTCATGATTTTCACCATTTAGATATCAAGAACACGTTGTACCCTGCGTTAAGTCAAACAAAGCCAAGTACGTTCTCATCTATTGTTGGTTTTATGACATTTTATGACCCATTTAACTGTACTTAATCACCTGAAAACCAACATTCAATCTGTTGTTTTTGTGGATCCCAACTTCGCCCAAACTGGGGCATGACGGCTTCGCCGGAATGGGGCGCGGCCACGAAGGACAAGAAGCGGCACAAAGTTCTGACCGCAGGTGCTGGGGGACCTCGTCCCCTGTGGTTCGTGGGAAAAAAGGTCCGATATTTTGGTAAAGATAATAGATTGATATATCTGTATACATATTCATTCACATACAGAATACAATATACTGTGGGTGGTGAATCATGATATCTCCATGTAGTATCCTGGTTGGTGGTTTGGAACATGAATATTATTTGTCCATTCAGTTGGGAATTTCATCATCCCAACTGATTTTCACTCATATTTTTCAGAGGGGTAGGTATACCACAAACCAGTAAATCACCTAGACATCACCATTAAATCACCATTAAATCACCATTAAATCACCATAAATCACTATGTTTCAAAATTGTTAAAGCCACCAACCAGATAGTAATTGCTTAATAACCATAGGAATTGTTTTCCCTAGATTTATGGGATAACCCCACCCAACTGGGACTTAGTTTTTGTTTTTTATCCGATTCACCTATCTTGGGGGGCTTCCAGCTGGTTTCATGGGATGGTTCTGATGGTTTTGCGACAGGTGTTTGCCACACAGCATAGCTGGCTGAGATAGTTGGACAAACCTACAATCTGCAGATGATTATCCTATGATAAATGATGATTTTCCATGTTTTGACTTTCTAAGTTCGACGTGATTGGATATGATTAGGATAATGGAATATAATTGATATGATATGATAGCCAATCAGTTAGATGAGTATTTCTGTTGGATCTGTTGGATATGATGATTTTCCACTTTGATGCGGGTCTTGCCCCCCATCTTAGTGACGTTCGTTTCGTTTTTATTTGCCCGCCATGTTCAGGTCATCCAAGCCCTTTGAGTGTGACTTGGCTGTGCAAACGTGGCTGGCTGGAGAATTTCTATAAATGGAGGTTTGTAGTTGGGAAAAAATTACGTATTTTCCATTGCCAAGTTTGATTACCAGAGAGTAACTGACGCAGAGCCATAAAATTAAAATTTCACCAAACATCATGGAGACTGAGGGTATATTGTTCTTTAAAAGCACACAGCATAGATAAGGTTTTTGCGTTTGTTTTGCGGCACCTTAGCAAATCCAGGAAAGAGATTCCACCAAGCCTTGGAATCAAATCTGAAAACCTAAGGCACTTCACAAAGATCTCAGTGGATCTCAGTGGTTGTATATTGCACATACATTGTTTTAGTTCCCCAAAATAATATAACAAGTACAAGGGCTCACCAGACTTTGATTTTTTCCAGCTCAGGTGAGGTTTTGGCGAGGTTGCAAAATCTTTTCGACACTTGGGTTTCGCTCGCGGCGTCTGCATGGAGTACACGGCTGTGTCACCCCATGGTGTGGTTGAGAATCACAGTGAGATTCAAGTTTGTTCATGTGGTAAACCCAATGAAAAGCCATCGGTTTATTCGCCACAAATGGGTGGTATATTATTTCCAAAACTGGTGGGTTAATGAGTTTACCACAGTATTCCGATGTTCGCTAAAAACACGCTCAGATATGTATTAAATGGTTGAAAATAACTGCTCAGATTTAATCAATGGCCATTTCAGGATGGATATATATATATATATATATATATATATACATCAAATTTCTATGGCTTTATATGCTATTTGGTGGCTCATCCCACGAATCCTACGTAGGTGAAATATCCCTGGTTTTAAATGGGATAAGTATGATTAATCCGTATACACAACTGGGGATAGTCATAACCTACTTACTAAGTGGGATGAACCACCAAGTATAGTACCTCTTTTTTAGGATCCTGGAACTCCAATTGATCAACATTGTTGTTCCATTGTTATGGGTGGGTTTATAAACTCCGTATTAATTTATAGATATATCATAAACCCTGTTGATTGGAGTTATACGCCAACTTAGCTACGTAAGTTTAACGAAAATGCCCCAACTTTATCGAAGCAACAGGGTCCTCCCATCCTCCCGGGTTGTTGAGAGCTGGGTAGCTGGGTAGCTGCTCGTTGGTCAGCTTGGGCTCGACCGGCGGCACAGCGTTCAGCTTGGTGCTGGAAATGGCAACCTGGGATCCACTCAAAAACAAAACATCCCTTGCAACCTGGGATGACAATGATATATATATATATTTATATACATATATATATAATGATACATTTAGATTATATAGATATGTATGAAAACATGAATACGTACATGAGGATGTTTACAACTTCAACTTGGAAATATGACATCTGCACTTTGCTCAAGGCTTCAATTTTTGTGCCACTGAAACTGTAGCCTCCTGGGTGCGGAGTGCCCACGGCCATGGTGAAAATTCCTGGAAAGCTCGCGAAGACACCCGAAGATGCGGAGAGGACACTCGCCGAAAGTAACTGAGAATTCTTTTAGCAAACTGGAAACCATTAAAATCAGAGGCAAAATCATCCTAAATCTACAACTTTACAACTATAACTGGTTGGTGGTTTGGAACATGAAATTTATGATTTTCCATTCAGTTGGGAATTTCATCATCCCAACTGACGAAGTCCATCATTTTTCAGAGGGGTTGGTTGAAACCACCCACCAACCAGTAAATCACCTAGAAATCACCATTAAATCACCATAAATCACTATTTTTCAAGATGGTTAAAACCACCAACCAGATAGTAATTGCTCCAAAAAACCAGTTCGTGCCATCGTTTTCCCGTCATGGGATAAGCCTACCCGGGACGGGAACGATCAGTGGGATTTGACCGTACAGAACCCCTTGAGGACTTGAGAAATTGATACAGAACCACTAGAGGTTACCCTCTGGTAAACTAACAGTTTGCTATTGAAAATGATGATTTATAGTTGCGTGATTTTCTATAGCTATGTTAGTTTACCAGAGGGTAAACTATGTTAAGCTATGTTAAACACTTTTTTGCAGGGGCGCTGGGAACCAACCAGGACATGTTTCAAACGTGGGGACCCCAATAGATGGTCATCCAAAGCAATGCTGATCGTTGACCATGCACCATGTGATACAGTTAAAGCTCTAGAAACCAGTTCTTTTTATGGTCATAAATAGGGTTGTCATTCCATAGAGCCATAAAGTGGCTTATACCTTATAACTGACCTATGACTGGAAAAGGGCCATAAAATCTGTGCTTCCCGACATTGAGGTACCCCGAAACCATGTGCTTCTCCATTACACATAGTCAATAAACGTCAATAACCTGGATGATTTCAAATGTCCGGTTGGAGGAAACCCCCATTTCCATTGTTGGTGGGTTAGAATCACATCATACCCCGGTTATGCATGGAACATCCCCAGTCACAAACAAATGGACTGTATGGGTCTGGTCCCCCAAACGAATCCACATCTTAACATATTTTGAATAGTGTCTTTGGGATTCTTCGGGAACAAAAACTAAGAAGTTCTTGAATCAGCCAAAAGTATGACCATCCAATGCGTGAGAATTCCATTCACCCAAACGGCTGACACGAGGAGCTGTACGGATATTTGCTGCCTGCTGATTTACGCGGCAGTGATGGCAGGCGTCGAAGAGCGTCGGGAGAAGTTCTAATTAGTCAAAGCCTCGACGGTGACGCTCTTGGGAAGAAGTACATTATGCGACTGCGGTGTTGATCATATATTATATATATAATATTTGTAATTTCCCGAAAAAAAAGCGCGTCATCATCTACATGCCTTTATATCTTCCATCTTTTTTAGGGGTTTGACTTGTGTCCACCACATCGCCGTGAATCAACGCCAGGCTTGGGCGTCTGCGTGTGGTACGGCATGTCACAGGGCGACATCAGTCGACTGGATTCCCTGCCCGACTATCAAGGCCTATTGAGCTGGTGAACGTAAAGCCAAGTCCACTTTTTAACTGGGAAGCCCCACCTTTTGTTTATTATTATTATTATTATCAGTGATACGTAGATAAACACATCATATATATATATACACACACATTCTATGTATATATATATGTATATATATGTATCACGGTAAATTATAGAGACTGCTTTTGACCTCACCATAGATGATTGTTATTATTGTGAAATTCACCCCCCCAAAACAGCCAAACTTTTCCCAGATATATGCGGTGTATGATGAGCTATTAGTTAGTATGATACACAACATGACATATCATATATGGAGTGCATTGAACTACATTATATGAGATTAGAGTGATTAGGGTTCGATATGTCTGTACATATGATTATACCAGTACGATATGGGATATCTGCGTGAAGATGCATGAGCAAACTGGTCGGTGAATGGATAGATAGTTTATGATAGATCCACGTTCCAGGCAGAAACCCAACAAACTCGCCCCATACTTGATCGGTACCGGCTCTACCCTTGATGCTGACAATTCAATTGCTATAGTAGATCCAGTTTAGCCTAGACGTCTTGGAGTTCAACCAGTCTTGACACGTTTTGACTGTGTTGGGTTAGGATTATAATGGATTGTATGATATGTCAGCCAACTACATATATATATATATACATATGAGATTATTTGAGTATCTTCAATTATATATCATGTTGTTTGCTGATTAGTGTGGGGATCCACTATAGTGTCAAGTTTTTCCAAAATAATTCTGGATCGGTGGAAATGATTGGGGGTGCCACTGTTGTGTCAAGTTTTTTTGGGGGTATTTTTGGTTTCATGTTTTTTATTTAAGTTTTCATGTTTTTAGTTGGTTTTTCTAATTTTGGTTTTATTATATTTCATTTCTTTTCAGTTTTTTCATTTTTTGTTTTGTTTAAAATGTGTTTTTTGTGTGTTCATTTCATTTTTCAGGTTTTTCATGAACAATATTGATCCTAAATAATATGTTTGTGGTGGTGGTCCTATATTGTGTCCAGCTGTTGTTTGAAGGATTGTTCTTTAAGGTTTGTTATGACCCATCAACAATAGTTATATAATTAATTATATAGGATGCCTTAATGCTTATTAAAACCCAATTAAAAAAAACAGCGCTCAAACAATTTTTCAAGGGGGTAGTCCATGAGCAACCCTGATCCTCAATAGTATGCTTGTCGTGGGGGTCCAGTATTGTGTACAGCTGCTGTTTGAAGGATTGTTTTTTAAGGTTTGTTATGACCCATCAATAATAGTTATATAATTATATAGGATGCCTTATTAAAACCCAATTAAAAAAACAGTACTCAAACAATTTTTCAAGCGGGTAGTCCATGAGCAACCATGATCCTCAATAGTATGTTTGTCGTGGGGGTCCACTTTTGTGTACAGCTTTTTTTCGAAGTAAAAAAAAAAAACAAAATCATTATCGCCTTTCCTTTTCCTTTCCTTTGCTAATACTTTTCTTTTTTTTACTTTCTTAGCTCCATTCTTTTGGAATTCTCAACATGTCTAATTTCCAAAAAATATAGGATACCTTATTAAAACCCAATTAAAAAAACAGCACTCAAACAATTTTTCAAGCGGGTAGTCCATGAGCAACCCTGATCCACAATAGTATGTTTGTTCTGGGGGTCCACTATTGTGTACAGTTTTTTTTCGAAGTAAAAAAAACCAAAATCATTATCGCCTTTCCTTTTCCTTTCCTTTGCTAACACTTTTCTCTTTTTTACTTTCTTAGCTCCATTCTTTTGGAATTCTCAAAATGTCTAATTTCCAAAAAATATAGGATACCTTATTAAAACCCAATTAAAAAACAGCACTCAAACAATTTTTCAAGGGGGTAGTCCATGAGCAACCCTGATCCACAATAGTATGTTTGTTTTGGGGGTCCACTATTGTGCCCAACTTTTTTTTGAAGTAGAACAAATCCAAAATCATTCTCTCCTTTCCTTTTCCTTTCCTTTGCTAACATTTTTATTTTTTTTACTTTCTTAGCTCCAATCTTTTTAGAATTCTCAAAATGTTTAATTTCCAAAATATAGGATGGCTTATTAAAACCCTTTTGAAAACAGCACTCAAACAATTTTTCAAGGGGGTAGTCCATGAGCAACCCTGATCCACAATAGTATGTTTGTTTTGGGGGTCCACTATTGTGTACAGTTTTTTTTGAGGTAAGACGTGTCCAAATTCATTCTCTCCTTTCCTTTTCCTTTCCTTTGCTATAGCTTTTGTCTCTTACTTAGTTCAATTCTCCTGGCATCTCTCCTTGATTTCCATGGTGTTTCTATGGAATTTTGACAACATTTCTATGGAAATTCTATGTAATTTCTATGGTGTTTCTATGATATTCTATGGTGTTTCTAAGGTGTGTCTATGGTAGTTCTGTGGGATTCCTATGGGGTTTCAAAAGGATGTCTATGGGATTTCCTTTGGGTTCCTATGGGGTTTCTGTGGTATTTCTATGATGTTTCTATGGGAATTCTTTGGGATTCCTATGGGATTCCTATGGCATTCCTATGGGAGTTCCATGATGTTTCTATGATATTTCTATGATATTACTATGGGATTCCTGAAGGAATTCTATGAGATTCTTATGGATTTCTTTGTGGTTACTATGCAATTTCCACGTTATTTCTATGATTTGTCTATGGAATTTCTGTCGGATTCCTATGGCATGTCCATGATATTTCTATGATATTTCTATGGGATTCCTATGGGATGTCAATTGAAAGAAGTACATAAGTTGAAATCAATTGAAAAAAACATCAAACTACATTGAAATGAATTGAACATCGATGGAAAGTAAGTTGACATCAATTGAAAATCAATTGAACGTAAATTAAAATCAATTGAACGTCAAGTGAAACTAAATTGAAAACAATTGAAAATCACATGAACGCAAATTGAAAATAACATTAAATCTATTGAAAGTGAATTGAAAAAATGACAATGAATTGAAATCAACTGATTACACACTATGCAGTACCCCGATCATTAAAAAAACACTTTAAAGTGGATCCAAAAATTGTTTAGGGGGGCCCAACACTAATTATATACATATATCCCATTATCTCAAGAAATCTCATCATCTCCAATTATCCAGATTTCTCTTCAGTGAAAAGACCCTTTCAACACTCACAACGACCGACCGCCTCGCAATTCCCAGCTCGATGCAGGAACTCAGTGCGTGAACCAATTCATCTTCTTTCCGGAGGATTGGCCTCCGGGAGTGGAAGGTATCAACTTGCATAAGCATGCCACTTGGACGTGATGCTCTGGTTGGTGATTTGGAACATTGCTTTTATGACTTTCCAGAAACAGTTGGGAATTTCATCATCCCAACTTTTCCAAAGTCCATGATTTTTCAGAGGGGTTGGTTGAAACCACCAGTGCTAGATATCGTGGAAATGTCCGGAGACACGGAGCATGTGAATTTCAGGATGTAACAAGTGGGCCACTGGGCCATTTCAGGATGACCATCCGGGAATCAAAAGTGGCAATGGGAATTCCCGTATCATGGAGCTTTGCAGCTTGTATCAGCTTGTCATGTTTAATTTTTTGGGTGGTATTTGGACGTTGATTTAAACTTACTGGTGCGTTTTACGCAGGGAATGGATGGGTTGCTGGGGGTTGCTGGGATGATTATTGATAGTAATTGTGCATCATTCGCGAAAATTCCCTACGTTTACCACCAGTAAGTAAAGCTATGCGAACTAGGACAGGAATTCGTTTGGCTTGCCAGGTTACAAATTGATCTCGCATGACTAAGCTCAGGGTTGCTATATGAGAGGTTCTTAAAATGGGTTTGCTCTCATCCATTTTCGGCAATCTATGGCCACCAACGGGGGAAACTGTTGATGTTACCATTTACCCAATTACCACCCTTGTGTACCTGGGGTGTTGGGAGCCACCCGCAGAAAAGCTCCCAAAATCATCCAACATTGGAGCTTTTTCAAATTTTGAAACGATTTTGGGGCCGCCTATTTGAAGAACCCCCTAGTTCCATCAATTTTGAACCGCCAACTTCGAAGGGATCTTACGTCCCTTGACCAGACATGTCGGGTATAGTACACCACACTGCATGAGTTGATGTTGTTTCACCTGGGAGGGGTAGCCTGCTCCCACGAATCGTAGGTTATTTATATCCCTGGTTCAGGGGGATAAGTAGGGTTGATCCATTCACTGGGGTGAACCAACATGAACTAACCGTAATACTTACGATTCGCGGGTAGTTCACCACCAAGTAGCTAACTATAGTTGGTCTGTTTGTAAAAGAACTTCTAACCGGGGCTTCCCACCTTGAACATGGTAGAACCCAATGGCTGCCGCCACAGCCACCACCAGTTCTGGTTGCTGTTGCCAACCAACTTCCCTGCAAGGTGGTGCCCCCCAACTAGCATCCATTAGCTATGTGTTATACAACTGACTGGTAAAGCAACATGATTTGGGACACCTTGCATGGTTAGCCAAAATAGCGTCAACTTATCGCTAGCAAAACCTACAAGGTGGACCCCCTCAGGTTTTGTGTTGGTGAAGTTAAACTTCATTAACGATACCAGTACCATAACCCCATTGATCCGTTCATCCAACAAGGTTTGCGTTGACAGCTGCCCAACGAACTCTTCCAGCCGCACGGCTGAAGAAAAAACTGGGGACTGGGACTTTGAATGGAGGCTTCAGCCATCGAACTCCATAGTTTTTACCAAAAAGGGAGCGATTCGTGGGATTTAAAGTTTCGAACCCTTTGGTTTTAAGATGGTTTAACCTTTTATATAATCCTTCAAGAATCTGCGGTGATAAATATAGCTACGTATTCAGTGACCTCTCTGACAACATATTACAACCGTAATTGAGCCAACAAGTTAGTCAGCGACCCAACAGTATGTTCGATGGTGCTGGTGGTTGTCACTCACATTTGCTATACCGGCAAAGGTGGCAAAAGTACCATTCGTGACTTTAAATGTACATCAGAATCGTAAACCCACATTTATGTTGGTTGAATCGCAAATTCTCTTGCTTAAATTTGGTTAGATCACCAGCTAATGTTGGTTCAGTCCACATGTCTGCTGGATGATCTCTCCATTTCTGCAGGTCAAATCCATCAACATCACCCATGTTCACTACTCAAATCGCTCGGTGTTCCTCAGTTTTCCATCGTTTTCCTCGGTTTTCTCCACATGTTCCCCATTTTTCCCTGACTTTTCCCAATTTTCCCTGGGTTTTCCGTCCATTTTCGGGGACCCACAACGATTCCACGGGGGTTCCCCCCGAGGCACCGTGGTGACCTACCTCTTCCCCGACGAGAGCACGGCGGCCGCCGAGGAGCGCCGCCTGGGCGGCCTGTTGGACGCGACGGCGACGGCGGGGATGGCCGAAACCAACGGCGCCGCGGATGACATGGCCATGGCTGATGGAAAGATGTAAAGATGTGTGGGATGAATATATATATATATATCTATATGTATGTAATGTATGTATGTATGTATTGTATTGTATTGTATTGTATTGTATTGTAATGTAATGTAATGTAATGTAAGGTAATGTAATGTATGTATGTATATATATATATATACATGTTTAGACATGTATAGATGGAGATGGTTGGCTTCTTTGGGGAATATGATTATATATGATATATTGGAAATACTGGGATATACTAGTAATATGTTTGAATATACTGGGAATATGATAATATATATATATTTCTATAATATTACTCATGCAGTCATGGCCCTTTACCAGTTTTAGGTACTGAAATAACCCCATTTATAGAATGTATAATCCCGTAAAAAATAAACACTTATAACTAATCAATGACCAGAACTGCATTTTAGGACGATGATGGAAAGATGTTTGGGAATATCCTGGGAATATGTGTATGTATATGTATATATATATATGATATGTATATATGAAATGTTTGGCTTCTTTTTGGAAGATGATAATATTATATGATATATTGGAAATGTTTGACATGAAGTTTGATATGGTGTGGTGATTTTTTGGCGTTTTTCATGTGTATATATATATATATATATATATATGTCATGTTTGATCAACAAACAATAATATCATGGTGATAGTGGTGATGTTCTTGTTTCATGTCGAATGTTTGGTTTTTTTTTTACTAATATAAGTATAGGAATTGATTTGTTTGCGTTTCATGGGGGATTTCACCAACAACAAGATGGGGATGTGATTTTTCATGGGACTAGAAATGGACTATTCATGTGTGTTTTTTTTATTTTAGGATATAGTGGCAATATTATGTATATGCATATATCTCTATATGTATATAGTGATTTTGGGTGTTGGTTTTTGATGGGACATGATTGCATGTAATCAATGGGAAATCAGCTAATATAATTGGGACATATAAGGTGGGGTATGGAAAAACTATCTTAGATAGAATCGATCCAGCAATAATAATACAATATTTGTGTTTTTTCAAGGGATAGGATTTTCAGGATATGATGGGCTTTTTTAGATGGTACCACATATGAATTTTGGGGAGATGACGGGATATAACGGGATATAATGGGAATATCAAGATCTAATGATAATATTTGATGGGATATGGGAGATAACCCTATGGGCATATTATCAATACTTTGACTTACAGGGAACATTGATGTCCTTTTGCAACTGCTTTGAACAAACCATCAATGTAAGGATCTCATGTGAATATTTGATACGGATTGATACAGAATATAACCAACCCGAGTTTGAAGGATGTATAAGGAATATAATGGTGATGTAATGGTGGCACGGTGGCACAAGCAATAACACTAGTTTTGATGTGCATTTTGGGAGATGACGGGACTTTTTAATAGGATTTAATGACAATGGGAGTCGATGTTTGATAAACCGAGAAGAATGCAAGGATCTAGCGAGAATAGTTGATGGGATGTGGAATATAGTCAAAATAGAATCAACCATACATTTTCAGTTCAATGGGGTTTACCCTCTGGTAATTTAACATAGCTATGGAAAATCACCATTTTTAATGGGGAAATCCACTATATATGGTCATTTTCAATAGCTACGTTAAATTACCAGAGGGTAATTTTCCATGGGAACACATTCGGAGGACATTTTGGGTAATCCCAAGATTTTGAGGAACCATGGACCTGGCAGGGTGGTGGCTTCTTTCTTAAGGTGAAAGGCCGCAAGATTCAGGTTAGTGAAGTATTTTAATTTACCCAGATATAATATATATATATAATATGTATATATTAATATGTATAATATAGATACTGTATATGATGTTAGAAGGTGGTGCCCAATAGGTAGAAGTTAGTTTATCACTTTTCAAACAAATAGTTACAATCACCAACTCTACCCAAGAGTTAACCTAGCAATCAACTAAGTTAGCTAGTGAAATGGGGCACCCATCCTATTATTATCTAAGGCAATTTGAACATACCTCCTGAATCCTTTCATAAATTATTCTTAGGTGGCAAAAGGGTATGTTCTCGGGATTTCTCGGGGTTTGTTAGAATTTTCGTAGAAGTACATGTGATCATTCACCTTGCATGGTTTATTGGTATTTATGCGTTAAAAACATGTCATTTTTTATTATATATACCGCCGGACCGAAAGTTAGAATGACACACCTGCCACCAAAAAAAATCCATTGAAAGTTAGAATGCCACACCAAAATTGTCTTAAAAATTCTACTAAAATTCTACCTTTCAGTCCGTATTATGCTGGTAAATGTGGATAAACATGTTCAAAATTTGTTTGATCAAACTTGCCTACCTGTTGTGCCGGGGCCACCAAACCTTTATTTTTTGTAGGGTTAGAATGCCTCCGCAGCATATGCCCCCAAAACAGCTTATATATATATTTATTTATTTATTTATTTATATTTATATCCTACATCAACCAAATCCCTGAAAAAAGCGGGTCGAGGTATCAAAACCTGGTTTTGAGCTAGTTTCTGCCGAAAAAACAGGTTTTAGCCAACAAAACCAGGTTTTTGATGAAGCAACTTCGCCACAACCCGTAGAAAAACCGTCCAAAACCTTTAACAACTCATCAAAACCCTTAAAAAACCTTAAAATACCGTAGTCTAAAACCGACCAAAAGCTTGGTTTGCCGGGGCCACCAAACCTTGTTTTCTGTAGGGTTAGAATGCCTCCGCAGCATATGCCCCCAAAACTTCTGAATTCTATCTATATTTTATATAGATAAATGAAATCTTGGTCCCCAATGACGGTTGAGATAAATACTTACAGTACCAAAAATTGATATCATCATCATATATCCTACATCAACCAAATCCCTGAAAAAAACGGGTCGAGGTATCAACACCTGGTTTTGAGCTAGTTTCTGCAGAAAAACCAGGTTTTAGCCAACAAAACCAGGTTTTTGATGAAGCAACTTCGCCACAACCCGTAGAAAAACCGTCCAAAACCTTTAACAACTCATCAAAACCCTTAAAAACCCCTAAAATACCGTAGTCTAAAACCGACCAAAGCTTGGTTTGCCGGGGCCACCAAACCTTGTTTTTTGTAGGGTTAGAATGCCTCCGCAGCATATGCCCCCAAAACTTCTGAATTCTATCTATATTTTATATAGATAAATGAAATCTTGGTCCCCAATGACGGTTGAGATAAATACTTACAGTACCAAAAATTGATATCATCATCATATATCCTACATCAACCAAATCCCTGAAAAAAGCGGGTCGAGGTATCAACACCTGGTTTTGAGCTAGTTTCTACGAAAAAAACAAGTTTTAGCCAACAAAACCAGGTTTTTGATGAAGCAGCTTCGCCACAACCCGTAGAAAAACCGTCCAAAACCTTTAAAAACTCATCAAAACCCTTAAAAACCCCTAAAATGCCGTAGTCTAAAACCGACCAAAAGCTTGGTTTGCCGGGGCCACCAAACCTTGTTTTCTGTAGGGTTAGAATGCCTCCGCAGCATATGCCCCTAAAACTTATGAATTCTATATAGATTTTAAATAGATAAATTAAATTTAGATGTGAGTAAACGACGTGTTCTTGGATCGGCGGATGACGATATTGCATTTTTTCTGCATATGCCATTTTTTATTGATCTTTTTTTGCTGATCATGAACATGTTTTTTTGGCAAATACCTGCAAATTCTGCATATTTATATTTACAATATAATATTATGATATGTTTTATTGGTCATGGGTAGATTCTTTTGCAAGTTACATGCATATTCTGCATATTTGCAGTACATGGAAGACACGGGACGGTCGAAAATGCGTCAAACATTTTGGAGTTTTAGGGGTTTCAGGACTAAATACCTAGGGTTAGAATGCGCGTCGGGGATTTTCCCACGGTATTCCCCACGATAATGTAAATGTTGATTAAACGGAATGGTAACCTCCAAAAACGGCATTATACACACATATATATATGCGCTGTATATATTACATAATATGCATACATGTACATACATATTGGATGATATTAGATGTGAGTAAACGAGGTGTTCTTGGATCGGCGGATGACGATATTGCATTTTTTCTGCATAGTCTGACATTTTTGATTGATCATGTTTTTTTTGCTGATCATGAGCAAGATTTTTTGGGCAAATACCTGTTTATTCCGCATATTTTAAATAACAATACGATGTTGCATTTCTTCTGCACATCATGACATTGTTTATTGTTCATGGAAAGATTTGGTTGCAATTTACATGCAAATTCTGCATATTTGCAGTACATGGAAGACACGGGACGGTCGAAAATGCGTCAAAAATTTTGGAGTTTTAGGGGTTTCAGGACTAAATAAATAGGGTTAGAATGCCCGTCGGGGATTTTCCCACGGTATTGCCGACGAAATGAAATGTTGATTAAACAGGATGGTAACCTCCGAAAACGGCATTATACACACGTATACAGGCGCTGTATATATTACATAATATGTATACATGTACATACATATTAGATGTGAGTAAACGAGGTGTTCTTGGATCGGCGGATGACGATATTGCATTGTTTCTGTGCATATTCTGTGATTTTTAGTGATCTATACTTTTTTGCTGATCATGAGAATGTTTTGTGGCGAATACCTGCATATTCTACATATTTAAAATACGATATTGCATTCTTCTGCGTATTATGACATTGTTTATTGTTCATGGCAAGATTTGGCTGCAATTTACATGCAAATTCTGCAAATTTGCAGTACATGGAAGACACGGGACGGTCGAAAATGCGTCAAGAATTTTGGAGTTTTAGGGGTTTCAGGACTAAATAAATAGGGTTAGAATGCAGAATGCTCGTCGGGGATTTTCCCACAGTATTCCCCACGATAATGTAAATGTTGTTTAAACAGGATGGTAACCTCCAAAAACGGCATTATACACACATATATATGCGCTGTATATATTACATAATATGCATACATGTACATACATATTGGATGATATTAGATGTGAGTAAACGAGGTGTTCTTGGATCGGCGGATGACGATATTGCATTTTTTCTGCATAGTCTGACATTTTTGATTGATCATGTTTTTTTTGCTGATCATGAGCAAGATTTTTTGGGCAAATACCTGTTTATTCCGCATATTTTAAATAACAATACGATGTTGCATTTTTTCTGCATACTATGACATGTTTTATTGGTCATGGGTAGAATCTTTTGCAATTTACATGCAAATTCTGCATATTTGCAGTGCATGGAAGACACGGGACGGTCGAAAATGCGTCAAGAATTTTGGAGTTTTAGGGGTTTCAGGACTAAATAAATAGGGTTAGAATGCAGAATGCCCCTCGGGGATTTTCCCACGGTATTCCCCACGATAATGAAATGTTGGTTAAACAGGATGGTAACGGCATTATACACACATATATATGCGCTGTATATATTACAAAAATGTACATGTACATACATGTTAGATGTGAGTAAACGAGGTGTCTTGGATCGGCGGATGATGATATTGCATTTTTTCTGCATATTCTGTCATTTTTTATTGATTGTTTTTTTGCTGATCATGAACATGTTTTTTTGGCAAATACCTGCAAAAACTGCAAATTTAAATTTACAATTTACAATACGATGTTGCATGTTTTCTGCATATCATGACATTGTTTATTGTTCATGAAAAGATCTGTTTGCAATTTACATTCATATGCTATATTTGCAGTACAAGGAAGACACGGGACGGTCGAAAATGCGTCAAGAATTTTGGAGTTTTAGGGGTGTCAGGACTAAATAAATAGGGTTAGAATGCAGAATGCCCCTCGGGGATTTTCCCACGGTATTCCCCACGATAATGAAATGTTGGTTAAACAGGATGGTAACCTCCGAAGACGGCATTACACACAAACGACATTTTTCAATATTCTGTCATTTTTGATTGATCATGTACTTTTTTTTACTGATCACGAGCAAGTTTTTTTGGGCAAATACCGGCATATTATACATATTTAAATTTACAATTTACAATACAATGTTGCATGTTTTCTGCATATGTTTACATTGTTTATTGTTCATGAAAAGATTTGTTTGCAATTTACATGCATATGCTGCATATTTGCAGTACAAGGAAGACACGGGACGGTCGAAAATTTTGTGAAGAATTTTGGAGTTTTAGGGGTTTCAGGACTAGATAAATAGGGTTAGAATGCCCGCCGCGGATTTTCCCACGGTATTCCCCACGATAATGAAATGTTGATTAAGCAGGATGGTAACCTCCAAAAACGGCATCATACACACATATATATGCGCTGTATATATTACATAATATGCATACATGTACATACATATTGGATGATATTAGATGTGAGTAAACGAGGTGTCTTGGATCGGCGGGTGACGATATTGAATTTTTCTCTGCATATTCTGTCAATTTTAGTGGTTATTTTTTTGTGCTGATCAGGAGCATGTTTTTTTGGCGAATACCTGCATATTCTACATATTGATTATACGATATTGCATTATTGTCCATGGAAAGGTTTGGTCGCAATTTACACGCAAATTCTGCATATTTGCAGTACATGGAAGGCACGGGACGGTCGAAAATGCGTCAAGAATTTTGGAGTTTTAGGGGTTTCAGGACTCAATAAATAGGGATAGAATGCCGTCCCGGATTTTTTTAAGGGGTTTCAGGACTAAATAAATATGGTTAGAATGCCCGTCGAGATTTTCCCACGATATTCCCCACGACAATGAAATTTTGATTAAACAGTAACAGGATGGTAATCTCTGAAAACAGCATTATACACACACATATATATATATATATGCGCTGTATATACGACATATATATATATATGTACAATTACAATCATGTCCATACATATCAGATGTGAGTAAACGAGGTGTTCTTGGATCGGCGGATGACGATATTGCCTGTTTTCTGCATATTCTGTCAATTTTAGTGGTCATATACTTTTTTGCTGTTCATGAGCATGTTTTTTTGGCGAATACCTGCATATTCTACACATTTATAATACGATATTGCATATGTTCTGCATATTATGACATTGTTTATTGTTCATGGAAAGATTTGTTTGCAATTTACATGCATATTCTGCATATTTGCAGTACCATATGCATGGAAGACACGGAACAGTCGAAAAACGTGTCAAACATTTTGGAGTTTTAGGGGTTTCAGGACTAAATAAATAGGGTTAGAATGCCCGTCGGAGATTTTCCCACGGTATTCTCCACAATAATGAAATGTTGATTAAACAGTATGGTAACCTCCGAAAACGGCATTATACACACATATATGCGCTGTATGTATGTACATTTACAATCATGTACATACATATCAGATGTGAGTAAACGATGTGTTCTTGGATCGGCGGATGACGATATTGCATTTTTTTTGCATACTGTGACATTTTTTAATTGATCATGGGTAGATCCATTATGTTTCATTGGTTTTTCGTTATTTTGACGATGTGTTTCATTATTTTTCATTGTTTTTTTCAATTATACAGTACAACCGAAAGTTATAATTTCACTTTGGTGGAAAGACATGGATTTCAAAAAAAAACGTGTACCGCGTGAGAAATCCGGGAGGCATTCTAACCTTATTTATTTAGTCCTGAAACCCCTTAAAAAATCCGGGACGGCATTCGGTGATCTTTCAGTATTTTGAAGATGTTTTTTCATTATTGTTCAGTGTTTTTTTATTGTGAAGATTGTTTTCATTGATTTTTCATTATTTTGAAGATGTTGTTCATTATTTTCAATGATTTTTCATTATTTTCAAGATGTTTTTAATTATTGTTCATTGATTGTTCAATGTGTTTACATGTTTTTCATCATTTTTCATTGACTTTTTAATGTTTTAAAGATGTTTTTCATTATTTTTCATTGTATTGTTGGGTCGGTTTCCTGCATATTCTGCATATTTGTAGTACATGGAAGACACGGGACGGTCGAAAGTTCGATATTTTGGAGTTTTGGGGTCTTCAGGACTACATAAATAGGGTTAGAATGCCGTCCCGGATTTGTTTAGGGGTTTCAGGACAATAAATAGGGTTAGAATGCCTCCCAAATTTCTCACGCGGTACGCGGAAATGGATCTCTAAATCCACTTGCCGCCACCAAAATGGCATTCTAACTTTCAGTCCGGCGGTATATAGTCCATTATTTCCAGTGAATACCACCATTTTCCATCATTTTCCCATTTAAAAACATCTGATTCATCACCATCATTTTCTCATTTGAAAACCGCTGATTTACAACCATGTTCCATCATTTTCCCATTTTAAAACCTCTGATTTACCACCATGTTCCATCATTTTCCCATATAAAAACATCTGATTTACACCATGTTCCATCATTTTCCCATAACCCCCTTCTCATTTACCACCATGTTCCATCATTTTCCCATATAAAAACCTCTGATTTACCACCATGTTCCATCATTTTCCCATATAAAAACATCTGATTTTCACCATGTTCCATCATTTTTCCATATAAAAACCTTTGATTTACCACCATGTTCCATCATTTTCCCATATAAAAACCTTTGGTTTCCCAGCAGCTTTCACAGTTTCCGAGGCTTGCTGATGGCTCCAACGGTGAGTCCTTCCGCCGCGGCACCCGTGGAGACCGCGGAGCCAACCGCGGAGACAGCGCTGGAGAAGGCAGAGAAAGCGCTGGAGGCGGCGGAGCCGCGGGCGGGAAAAAAAGAACGCAGGAAATTCAATGGTAATAGTAATAGTACTATATTAATAGTAATAGTCAATTAGTACTACTTAATATTCACCAGTCAATATTCACCATTCAATAGTAATAGTCAATTAATGGTGAATATTAATACTATAGTACCATAAATAATGGGTTAATAATGGAATAACTATATGTGGGTAGTAACTATACTTAGATGGGCCATGGAGTTAGTTAACTACTTAGTAAATGGAGTATTTCATTGGGATTGTTTGGGGGTAACAAATCCCCAGTTACTAACCAATTAGCTAATCCCATGGCCCATCTAAGTAGTACTATAACACAGAATTGAATTATAACATGTGTAATATAACATCTGTATTTAATTATTTTGCTATACATAGACAAAGCCCCTTTTTAATCCAGAGACTCAAAAAAGTACGTAGAACACGTGGACCTCTCAGAAGTACGTCGTATGGTACAGATGATGGACCTTTTGAATCCTTTTGATGTGAGGCATTTTTTTTGAAATCGTCGAGTGATCCCCACTGACATCAAAAAATATGGCATGCTATCTGACACTGGTTGGTGATTTCAAACAGTTTTTATGTTCCATAATATATAGGATAATCCTTCCCATTGACTTTCATATTTTTCAAGATGGTTAAAACCACCGACCAGTGACACATATTCTGACATTCTATTTGGCATTGTATCTGGCATTCTTACTGATCTTAATTAGATTAATTCATCTGACATTCTACCTGACATTTTATCTGGCATCCTTTCAGGCATTCTGTCTGGTATGTACTCTGATATTCTAGCTGGCATCCTTTCTGGCATTATGTCTGATATCAAATTTGACATACTTTGGCATCCTATCTGGCATTCTCTCTGGCATTCTCTTTGACATATTTTTTGACATTCGAGTTGGCATCTCTTCTGGCATCCTTTCTGGCATCTATTCTGACATTCTTTCTGGCATGTGCGCGGGCCTGTGTGTGCCCAACTGATCTGGAGCATGCCATGAGCTTCTGGAGCGATTGCTCCACTTGAGCTCGCACTTGCTGTGAGATCCGGGCTCGTTGGAGCCCACCATGACGACAAGCTGGCAGAAGGAGGGCGGAGGTGTGAGTGAGGAGTTGCACCTTTGATAAAATCTAGAGACCCTCACCTGGTAAGTTGGGAAAAAGGAACTTTGCTGTAACATCCTTTAGATGTACCTTTTGAGGTCCCGGGCCTAAAAAGGAACATACAACATCCTTAACCGTGAGTTATCGTGAGTAATCGTGAGTAGGAGCCCAAATAAGTGCGGTCTTAGGGCACTAAAAAGTATGTAAAGGCCCTAGTACGGGCACACATAGCGAATGAGAAATTATTATTGTGAAATATTGTGAATAATCGTGATCGAATCGTGAGTAATTAATATGAATTAAAATCGGGTTCCATGTTAGCGCACCCATGTTAAAATCCATGAGCGGGATAAGTGCCAGGTAGGTGCCATGTTGGTGCTGGTGAATTTTGACATATTTGCACACTTTTTGGCTGCATGGCATACTAACATAGAACCCCACAAGCTGCCAGAGAGTGATCATCCAAAAGTTCCATGTTAGCCATGGCGGCTGACACGGGGAATTCGGAACCATTATGCCCTTTGTGGTGGTTGATGGATGTAAGATGCTACATAATAGCTCTTTTGACTCAATGAGTCATTTTGTCCAAGATGAATTCCAAAGTACAAATTCTGAAGACAAGTTTAAAAACATACAGTACATGTCAAAAAAACAAACACACACACAACAAATAAAACAAACTATCCTCAACACATCTTAGAAACACACCGCAAACATATTCAAAGCATAAAGAGTAAACAAAAACATATATTCAATATATATATATATATATATTCAATTTCAATTTTTAATATGTTATAGACATAGAAATACCTTTTCCCATTTACCCACCATAAACGTGACATTTCTCATTTTCTCGTTGTGGCTTTCCCGTTGTGTCTCCCCGTTGTTCTCTTTAACATAACGGGCTAAAGGGAAGCCACCAGGCTCGCGAAGAACGGACGGCGATTTTTTTCGTCCTTCGGGTCCACATGGACCCCAATGGTACCTTTCCCATGGTGACCTCCGCCATACCCTGAAAGCTGGAAACCAACATGGAAACAACATGGAAACCAACATGGACCCCCAACGGTACCTTTCCCATGGTGACCTCCCCCATACCCTGAAAGCTGGAAACCAACATGCAACCCAACATGGAAACCAACATGGCCCCCCATGGTACCTTCCCCGTGGTGACGCGGTACCTTTCCCATGGTGACACCCCCATACCCTGAAAGCTGGAAACCAACATGGAACCAAACATGGAAACCAACATGGACCCCCATGGTACCTTTCCCATGGTGACCTCCCCCAAACCTTGAGAGCTGGAATCCATGTCGATCCCCAAAACCATGGGACCCAGGACCCTGGATTTAGAAATCAACATGGAACCCAACATGGACCCCCATGGTACCTTTCCCGTGGTGACCTCCCCCATACCCTGAAAGCTGGAAACCAACATGGGACCCAACATGGAAGCCGACATGGATGCCCATGGTACCTTTCCCCTGGTGACCTCCCCCATACCCTGAAAGCTGGAAACCAACATGGAACCCAACATGGAAATCAACATGGACCTCCATGGTACCTTTCCCCTGGTGACCTCCCCCATACCCTGAAAGCTGGAAACCAACATGGAACCCAACATGGACCCCCATGGTACCTTCCCCATGGTGACCCCCCATACCCTGAAAGTTGGAAACCAACATGGAACCCAACATGGAAACCAACATGGAGCCCCATCGTACCTTTCCCATGGTGACCTCCCCCATACCCTGAAAGCTGGAAACCAAGGTGACCTTTCCCATGACCTGAAAGCTGGAAACCAACATGGAACCCAACATGGAAACCAACATGGATCCCCATGGTACCTTTCCCATGGTGACCTCCCCCAAACCCTGAGAGCTGGAAACCAAGGTGACCTTTCCCATACCCTGAAAGCTGGAAACCAACATGGAACCCAACATGGAAACCAACATGGATCCCCATGGTACCTTTCCCATGGTGACCTCCCCCATACCCTGAAAGCTGGAAACCAAGGTGACCTCCCCCATACCCTGAAAGCTGGAAACCAACATGGAAACCAACATGGAAACCAACATGGATCCCCATGGTACCTTTCCCATGGTGACCTCCCCCAAACCCTGAGAGCTGGAAACCAACATGGAACCCAACATGGAAACCAACATGGACCCCATTGTGCCCCCACGGTACCTTTCCCATGGTGACCTCCCCCATACCCTGAAAGCTGGAAACCAACATGGAACCAACATGGAACCCAACATGGAAACCAACATGGACCGCCATGGTACCTTTCCCATGGTGACCTCCCCCATACCCTGAAAGCTGGAAACCAACATGGAACCCAAAATGGAAAGCAACATGGAACCCATGGTGACCTCCCCCATACCCTGAAAGCTGGAAACCAACATGGAAACCAACATGGACCCCAATGGTACCTTTCCCATGGTGACCTCCGCCATACCCTGAAAGCTGGAAACCAACATGGAACCAACATGGAAACCAACATGGTCCCCCCACGGTACCTTTCCCATGGTGACCTCCCCCATACCCTGAAAGCTGGAAACCAACATGCAACCCAACATGGAAACCAACATGGCCTCCCATGGTACCTTCTCCGTGGTGACGCGGTACCTTTCCCATGGTGACACCCCCATACCCTGAAAGCTGGAAACCAAAATGGAACCAAACATGGAAACCAACATGGACCCCCATGGTACCTTTCCCATGGTGACCTCCCCCAAACCTTGAGAGCTGGAATCCATGTCGACCCCCAAAACCATGGGACCCAGGACCCTGGATTTAGAAATCAACATGGAACCCAACATGGACCCCCATGGTACCTTTCCCGTGGTGACCTCCCCCCTCCCTGAAAGCTGGAAACCAACATGACCCAAGAGGAATTCAACATGGACCTCCATGGTAACCTTTCCCTGGTGACCTCCCCCATACCCTGAAAGCTGGAAACCAACATGGAACCCAACATGGACCCCCATGGTACCTTCCCCATGGTGACCCCCCATACCCTGAAAGTTGGAAACCAACATGGAACCCAACATGGAAACCAACATGGAGCCCCATCGTACCTTTCCCATGGTGACCTCCCCCATACCCTGAAAGCTGGAAACCAAGGTGACCTTTCCCATACCCTGAAAGCTGGAAACATCAAAACCAACATGGATCCCAATGGTACCTTTCCCATGGTGACCTCCCCCAAACCCTGAGAGCTGGAAACCAACATGGAACCCAACATGGAAACCAACATGGACCGCCATGGTACCTTTCCCATGGTGACCTCCCCCATACCCTGAAAGCTGGAAACCAACATGGAACCCAAAATGGAAAGCAACATGGAACCCATGGTGACCTCCCCCATACCCTGAAAGCTGGAAACCAACATGGAAACCAACATGGACCCCAATGGTACCTTTCCCATGGTGACCTCCGCCATACCCTGAAAGCTGGAAAACAACATGGAACCAACATGGAAACCAACATGGTCCCCCCACGGTACCTTTCCCATGGTGACCTCCCCCATACCCTGAAAGCTGGAAACCAACATGCAACCCAACATGGAAACCAACATGGCCTCCCATGGTACCTTCTCCGTGGTGACGCGGTACCTTTCCCATGGTGACACCCCCATACCCTGAAAGCTGGAAACCAAAATGGAACCAAACATGGAAACCAACATGGACCCCCATGGTACCTTTCCCATGGTGACCTCCCCCAAACCTTGAGAGCTGGAATCCATGTCGATCCCCAAAACCATGGGACCCAGGACCCTGGATTTAGAAATCAACATGGAACCCAACATGGACCCCCATGGTCCCTTTCCCGTGGTGACCTCCCCCCTCCCTGAA